TGCTACAGCCTGTGTTATTCTGAGCCAAAATGAGCAAAGTTGATATGCTCTAAAAATAGAGATTAATTATCTCAGTAACTAGGTGCATAATTGGAGTGTTCTTTATTAAAAGGCATGCATTGCAAGGTCCCTGGTCCAACCCACAGCTCATATGGGAACTTCCTAGATGGCTTTATATGCCATATTTCTTAGCCTTAGCATCTCATTTTAATCTGAAGACAAGCCATTTGTGAATATTATTCAGGGTGCATTCGCACCTATGTTTTCAAACAGCTGCAGTTAGCAAAACCTTCAGCAGGAAAATACTTCTCTTCTGTACTGTCTGCACTGTGAAATGTGAAGCACTAGAGAACTTAATAAATGCATTGTGCAAATACAGTACAGTAATAAGCATTTAGCATTCTGCAGGTGTGGAGAAACTATGCCCTTGTTTTTTGCTTTCCCATCTAGGATGGAGAGAGTTAAGTTCAAGCAAGAACTATAAACGAAGGCTATATATAAGTGCAAAGAGGATAGCTGAAATTATTAGGCACTGCTTCTGACAATATTTCTGAAATGTTACTAAGTTTAAAAAAGATAAAAAGAAAATAAGATACTAATGCTGGCACAGTAAAATTAGACAGTGATCAAGAAATCAAGATCATGAGAAGGGATAACTTTATGTAACTGAATAAGTAAAGGGAAGGGCCTTTCCAATATATTTTGGTGCCAATGTATAAAGTCTGATTTATGTTTTTCCTTAATGATAAATATATACTAATACATTAAGTAGCATAAAATCTTCAGTCCTTTAATGGTGCTTGAAGTCTGCCACTGGAAGCAGCTCCTATGAGTTACATCACTTCTAGAGCCAAGATTATTGTATGCTGCCTACACTGGAAAAGACAGCATTGCAAGTACATCTTTGTAATAATGTTGACAGGTCTATGGGCTGTCTAAAGCAATAATCTTCAGAGAGATTCCCCTGCCCGGAGACCTCATCCTCCTGGATGCATTATGAAATCAAAGTGTGGAAACAGAATGAGAAGAAATGAATTAACTTTGTTCAAAATAAGAACATTGCATAATTGTAAGGTGGAATTTCCCCTCTTAAATATGATGTTCTCTGTGTTAGGTGCATGGAATTAGTAGGTTGTTCCCAGATATGACTAAGGTCTTCATTGTAAAAACTTTTAGGGGCTCTTTAATAAAGATGTATAAAATAAATACGTATTCTCAGGGTGGAAGTATTAAAATAATAGAATTTTAGAGTTGGAAGGGACACTGAGGATCATCTAGTCCAGCCCCCAGCAATGCAGAAATATGCAGCTATCTCATATGGGGATCAAATCTGCAACCCTGGTGTTTTCAGCAGCATGCTCTAACCAACTGAGCTACCCAGGCAGGGTGTGGGAAAAGATGTAATATGTAGGAATTTTTTAATATCTGGGTGGCGCTGTGGGTTAAACCACAGAGTCTAGGGCTTGCCGATCAGAAGGTCGCGGTTCGAATCCCCGCGATGGGGTGAGCTCCCATTGCTCGGTCCCAGCTCCTGCCCACCTAGCAGTTCGAAAGCACGGCAAAGTGCAAGTAGATAAATAGGTACTGCTCCAACGGGAAGGTAAACGGCATTTCCGTGTGCTGCTCTGGTTCACCAGAAGTGGCTTAGTCATGCTGGCCACATGACTTGGAAGCTGTACGCCGGCTCCCTCGGCCAATAAAGTGAGATGAGTGCCGCAACCCCAGAGTCGGCCACGACTGGACCTAATGGTCAGGGGTCCCTTTACCCTTTACTAACAAAATAATAGTATTAACATTGAAAAAATGGGAGAGGAGTTTAATACAAATGGTAGAGCCAGACATGACAAATATAGGTTTATAATCCTCACATATGGCTGTTTTGCCCATTAAATGCTTCTTTTGCCCTGATTCTTTATCTTGTGGGCAGAGGTGATGGATTCTGAATTCTTTACTGAATTATGTAGACTAGAAGGTCTGCTTGTTTTATGAAAACAACAGAGGTTATCAAAATTCTATCACTATCATCTTTGTTACTCATCTCTGTCCTAAAGTTTAAAGTGTCTTCTTAATTTCCTTTATTTTTGTGATCACTTTGCATTTTTATAGAGCAGTCAGCTGTGAAAGTGGTTAATGTGTAAAAGTCATTGTCCTTGAATAACACCACAGAGACAAATCAGGAAGACAGCCTCGCTACAAGGACTTGTGAAGAAAACCTCTTTGCTAGGCCCCTGCAGCAAGGATAGTACCTGAATGTATGAGGAAATCATTTGGAAGCTACGCAGAAGAGACAAGATTAAACTTGCTTTACTTTGGCAGACGTTTTTGCTTGAGCTGTTTATTTTTTTCCATTTTAAGTGAAGGATTTCACTTCTGTTGGCATTCACCCATATCATTTCAGCGGCAAACTAAAATGCTTCATGTTGAAGAGCACAAGAATATGGCAATAGCAAATATCAGGCAGAAGAATGTCTCTGTGGGTCTCTGTTGAATACATATGAGAAAACATGGGTCTGTGAGAAATATCTTCAAATTAAGTTACAACTAGGGATGGAGGAAAATTTCTTTTTCTTTTGCATTGTAAAGTGAACCTACCTAATTTGCACTTCTTGAACCAACGTATGAATTGAAACACAGCTATCCTTCAAAATTTACACTTCTCCAAATTTTGTGAGGCAGTTCTCCAACCAAACAATATAAGCAAAAATGCATAGTTTGGAGGGTAATGTACATAAAACACACTAGTGAAAATAACATACAAAAATCCTTTATATTAGGGCAAATTGTTTACAATAATGTTTACAAAGATTACATAGAAAAATGTGTTTATTAGGAGAAATTTGCCCTGAAACGTTGACTAATTTTCATGTTTGTTTTTTTAACTTGTTACAGAAATGTGAAGAATTGGATTTAAGATTGGAAAAATGAGAAATGTAGAGAAACAAAAGTGACAGGTTCATCCATCCCTAGTTACAACCTTTGCTTTGAGCTGGAACCCTGTTTGAACAGTGTCTATGCTCTGAGTCTTTGGAATCTGTCCTGTGTGAACCAATTATGATATCATTTTGTGAATACCATTTTGTGGAAATTTCAAAATGTAAAAACCAGGACACCCCAAAAGTTGTAGAAAATTGACTTGCCTAAGATCCAGGGCAAAGTGCCGCCTTTTGGAAATTCCCCCCAGATGTCAATTCCGCCTTTGAAATCCCTGTAATGTCCAGGAAAATCCGGACGTATGGCAGCCCTGTGTAACATACTATATTTTGCAGAGTGTGGTTTGAGTATCTCCTTGATTCAGATAGATGAATCCATAAGAATTAACCCCATGGTTCTATATTTGATGACTCACCCAATTTATAACTTCCTTTCCCCTTGAGGCTTTGGAAGTGTGCTGTTTCCAGCAGGAGTTCATCTAAAAACCTTGCTATTACAGTCACTCTGGATTGCTAGTACTGTACAAAAGGCCATGCAGCCTCCCCACCCCCACCCCTGCAAGCATTCATAGGAAGCTGCCTTGTATTGAGTCCGGCCATCTAGCTCAGTATTGTCTACTCTGACTGGCAGCAGCTCTCCAGTTTCAGACAGGAGACATTCCTGGCCGAACCTGGAGATGCCAAAGATTGAAAATGGGATGTCCTGGATTCAGTGCTGATCCCCTACCATGGAGCTATGGACCTTGCCCAAAGAGAGCTGGAGTGGAACCAGTAACAATTTAATCACCAGGCTTTCAAGTTTTGTCTTTAAGGGCACTCAGCAAGGACTAGTTACCCCCTAACATCCCTAGGTTTGAGAGGGTGTAGGGCATTGCCTTCCCTGAGTTATGAAACAAGACCATTTTGATGTTGTATTGTTTCCATTTGTGTGTTTTTGAGACAAAAAATATGGTGCTGCATGGGCGCCCAACAACACGTCTCTATGTGGCAAGCTTACCATATCAATATGTGACACTTATTCAAAAATGTCCCTTCGCAGAATCTATTTTATTGTATGGCTCTTCTGTTTATTTTATTCTAACTTCAATAATGCACTCCATTGGTCATTTAAAAAAATTATAATTATCTTGTTTGTATGTTGTTCTTTTTGAAAACTGAATAAGCACCTCATTTTTTTTTAAATAAAATCCCCTAGCTATCCTGCCACACGAAGAATCAGAATGACTGAGGGGTGTAAAAAAAGAAAAGAAAAAGGGTGTGCTCCTCCTGTGTCTTTTTTCTATCTTTGAGACCTCCAGATACTAAGCGGTCTATAAATACTCTTAATGATAATAAAAATATGAATAGTAAAATGTGTTTATAATGAGCAGGCATGCCTAGGATGGCGCTGTTAATAAGAGAATAAGTTGAATTATGTTTCAAATGTTTTTCTTTGCTGCCTTTGTAAATAGATGCTACTCTTTTTATTTTTAAGATATTGTATATTCAGTGTTGATATGATTTGCACAAGTATGATCTATGTGAGTTTACTGAACTTTTTGAATTTTGAAAAATAATAATCGAAAACTGAATATTAACTTTTTTAAAAAAAATATGTCGTCGTCGTTCCCTTCTCCCCCGTTTCTAATCCGTGCCTGCTTCTTTTATTTGATGTATTTCCCGCCTTTTCCTCCTCAGGCGTATCCCTTCCCCTTCTGCTCCATCAACCCCCAAACCGTCACTGAGGCGACTCTCCAAGCCCTCCCCTCTTGCCCCCACCCTCGGCGCCGTCTTTCATATCTAATTCCACCAATCCCAGAGTGAAAACGAGCCTTGTCATTTCATAAGCTCCGCCCCTTTACCTCTCGCAACTGATAAAGAGGTGTGGCTTTTGGCAGTAGGAAAACGGTTTCCTGTTTCGGCTTTGAAAAGCCTCCGTTGTGCCCGCGCGCGCGCGCACACGCACGCACGAGCGTCCCCAGGGTTTGGCAGTGGTCGGGCCGCCGGCGGAGCTTTGGAGGTCCAGTCCGCGCGCGCGCACGCACAGAAGGGGAGGGAGGGGTGAGTGTGGGCAGGCGCGTGCGCGGCGGCGGCGACTGCTACTGGCTGTGATTGGCGCGAGGGCTTAGTTCCATCCAGGTGGGAGGGGCGGCTCGCTCTCGGTCTCTCTGTGTCTCCTTTGCAAGCTGAGCAGTGAGTAGCATCTGCTGCTGTGCGCGAGACCAGGCAAGGAGCATGTCTGCAGGCAGGGCCAAGAAAGTGAAGATGGCCACCAAGTCCTGCCCAGAGTGCGACCAGCAGGTAAGGCTTTAGTAGTGTGAATAAGGAGATAGACCCGAAAACGTGGACCACGTCCTCCCTGGCTCAGGTTGTGGGTAAAGGAGGACACATCGAAATGCCCCAAGTGCTTTTTCTCCATCCTGAGTTTAACAGCTTACCTTAAGCATCCAGGTGTGTTGCATTGCATTGCATTGCATGCCCACATAGGCATTGCATGCCCACATAGGCATGTCGAGGACGAGGATGGCACTCCTCCCCCCCCCGCAAAAGTCTTTGCCTGAAAAACTGCACTGAATAATTCTATTACATTTGTAGAATGCATTTAAAAACAAATATTTTGCTTTACACCCCCCAAAGTATTTGCTGCAAATGTCATTGCATTGTATTGTTGGCAGCTGCAGTTCCTTGGCAAGAGGACAAGAGGAGGTTTGGATTGGTGACTTGTGAAGCTTTAAATAAAGGAATCCTGTGCTTTTAGCCCCTGCCCTATATAATTTTGTGGCGCTGCGAGTGTTCTGAATAAATACATTCAGTATGTTCTCTTGAAGAGTTATCTGGAAGAGGTGACAGATGGAAGAATAATAAGGCTGTTGAACTTGCAATATTAATATTTCCTGATGAACAGGATTAGGGATTGGCAGTGCACTCCTATGCACGTCTACTCAGAAGAATGTCTTACTGATTTAATCAGGGCATATTCCCAGGGAAGTATGTATAAGATTGCAGCCTTAGGAGCTGAAAATGAGACTGAAGACTTATGTACACTCATATATTGATTTTTGTCTTTTAAAAATACTGCTGTGCTACTTCCTGTAAATGATGGTGTTTGTTCTTGCCCATGTTTTGTGATTATATCAGTCAAGTTTGACTCTACCACTATTCCTTTCAAAAGATGTAGCAGAGGTTTTGAGGTGTTACAACTGTATGTAGCCCACTGCTGCCCTATTTATTGTATGTTTGAGCTGGAGATATATACACACAGGTACTGTTGTGACCAGGTCACTCAGTGGCTAAACATCCTTACATTTGACACCTTGTGTTGCAGTTGAGAATTGGCTGTTCTTCATTCTGCTGGGTGAAAAGGTTCATGAAACTCAAATAATTATATACCCCACAGTATTGGTATGGTAAAAAATATTGTGTGTTTCATACCTTGTTGAAATAACACAGAAACTTTAATTATATTGAAGAAAGAAGCCTGTGTTTTTCTTTTTTCAATTCCCAGATGCTATATTTAATTGTCATTTTCCTCTGTCCTTAACCTGTTTTGTTTAAGGGGATTCTTATTGCAATTCTCTCCTTAAAACTGAGATTATAAAATACTGGAAGTTGCCTTGGTAGGGGGTCAATACTAGCAGAACACTGTTGTTGACTCTAAGAAATGTTATGTCTGTGGACAGAGCTGGTACATGTTGCTGCCACTATGACCTTTTATTTGCTGATTTATTAATTTCAATCTTTCATTTTCCCCAAATTGCTCAGGGGTGCAGTGAGCCCCCCCCCCCCATTTAATCCTCACAACAACCCTGTGAAGTAGGTTATGCTGAGAGAGACTGACTAGTCTAAGCTCATCCACAGCTCAGTAGGGATTTGGTCTTGGGGCCCCCTGGTTTCTCTGTTGGGCACATTAATTACTGTTGATTGGATTATGGTAGCATTTGTCTTTTAAGCTTCAAGTTGATTTAGTTGATCTAGTTGATCTTAGTAGGCCCAGAATCACTCAAGCTCAAATCTATTGGTTCAATTCATCTCCTCACAATGCTTAATGGGTTTAAGCTGGGTTTGAAACTACTTAACTAGCTTTAGCTCCACACTTCATGTGACAAACATGTTGCTGCATGTAAACTGGGTGTTTACTGTAGCAAACATGTAAAGTGTGGATGGCGCGTCTTTGAATGCCTCAATATGCCCTTTGGGGAAATCCGTCTCAGTCGGGTTTTCTAGATGCTCCCTTTCTCCCCCAGTTTATGCGTATGCTTTAGGAATCACTACCGTATGCGCAACAGATACATTTTCCATGTAAAGTGTGGAGCTGCTTTTAATTATGGCATTTTCCTGATGCAACTTCTCAATGCTACGCAGTTCCTCACAAAGCAAGGGTTCCTATTTTGTCAGATGGGTGTATTTTACACAGCATGGAAAAGTTATTCTGAGAGTACAAGTTTGTAAGTAGCTTATGGGATGTCTTGTGGCCCTATAAGGCCTTGTTTCGCTTGCCCCAGTGAGAATCTGCTCAGAGTTTATTTTACCCTCTAAGACTCCTGCATCACAAACAGCTGTCTCTGGATATGTTGGAGTTTATGCAGTTGTGTCTGGCGTCCGTGTCTTGATCTTCAACCTTGTGAAAGCAGGCCAACTCGGTTTCCTTTTTTCCCATCCTAGAGATTGCCTTTGGAAGGAGTTTGCTCTGTGCAATCTGTCCTTACCACCCAAGAAGGAGCCTGACTCAAATGTGGGGGATTCTGCATAGCTATTGCTGTCTCTGCCTGTGCTCCAGTTCTTTCCATATGCTCCATTCACTCTTACCACACTTTTTCGTGTTCTGAGGGGATTTGCTGAATGTGTAATAGGGAGGTAGTCATCGTGCTCTGGCAGAGTTGTGCCGAATAAACCGTTCCCCCCCCCTCACAGGCCTAGTGGCACACAGCTGTGAAGAATGAGAAATTAAAAAAAGAAAGAGAGCTTATTATAAAACAGCTTCTGATCTTTAGCATTTAAACACGCCACCCGGCCAGCTTGCTGCTTAGTCATTTCACGGCTGTAATTTTTTAATATTACGTACATGCTGTGTTGTGTTAGTGCTCTGATAAAAGGGCTTGCGGCGGCACCTCAGTTTGACAATCTCTCAGCCTAACCTGCCTAACAGGAGAGACCCCATTGCCCTCACAGAGATACAATTCTCAAGAGTGGTTTAAGAAGCACCCCTTCTCCCCAGGGAATTGTAGCTCTGTGAGGTTGAATAAGGGTCTCCTAACCTGGAGGTTAGTGCCAGAGCTTGGCTAACCGTAGCCAGGCTGTTGCTGTCCAGGTGGGGTTGCAAGCTGGTGCACCAACTCGATTGGTGAAATGTACCCAATGTCACCAGAGACTGCGTTCCTGATCCTTGACGGGAGTGCAGCCCCATCAAGAACAGGTTGGACAGATGAACCATCTCTTGACAGCACATCAGGACAAATACTAAAAGGAAGTACTTCTCCATGCAGCACGTAGTTAAACTGTGGAAGTCCCACAGGAGGTGGTGATGGCCACAACCTTGAATGGCTTTAAAAGAGAATTAGGCAAATAAATTCATGGAGAAGAGGGTTCTCAGTGGCTACTAGCCATGATGCTGTACTGCCACAGTTGGCAGCAGTAATGCATCCAAAGGCTAGTTGCCGGAAACAACAGGAAGAGAGTGTGCTTGAATCCTGCTTCAAGGTTTCCCAAAAGAGGCACTATGAGAATAGGATACTGGACTAGATGGGCCATTGGCCTGATCCAGAAGACTGTTCTTATGTTCTTTGTTGTCGGGGTGAGCTTTAGTTTATTGGCTGACATCCAGTCCACAACTGATTCTGAGAATGACTCGGCACTTCCTCACATGAATGTGAGAGAAAGGGGAGGGAATTGTGAAAATATTAATGCCGTCCACCTTCAGAAGACATCTCATTCTGTGGTTGTAAAAAGTGGGAGGGGGATGCCACAGAGCTGAAGTCTAGTCTTTTAGTATCATATTCTGAAATGGGCCCTCCAGAGAGGTGGAAGATCACTCAAGCACTGTTTTTTCAACTCCCTATCCAGAGGGTCAAATCTAACCGAGTACTATTCAGAGTAGGCCCATTGAAGTCGGTGAATGCAGGTTAGTCATGGCCAGGTAGTTCAGTTGGTAGAACATGAGACTTAATCTCAGGGCGGTGGGTCCCAGCCCCATGTTGGGTGAAAGATTCCTGCATTGCAGAGGGTTGGGCTAGATGATTCTTGTGGTCCTTTCCAACTCTATGATCCTTTGGTTAATTTCAGTAGGTCTCCTACTAAGAGGTATTGGATGAAAACCAGAGAGCCTATACTGAATATTGGATGAAAACCAGAGAGCCTATACTGAAGGGTGCCATGGCTGATGTTATCAGAAGCCTCTGAGGGATCCAGGAAAATTGGCGGGGCACACTCCCTCTGTCCTGCTGGTTAACATGTCATCAATCAGGGTGCCCAAGATGGCTTCTGTATTGAAAATAGGCCAAGCTGAAACAGATCCAAATTAACAGTTGCATCCAGGAGTGCCTGAAGTTGTGTGCATCTTCTTAATTCTGACAGTCTGCTGCTGTTTGGAGGAGGCTGCTAGTCTTTGCATTTCCAATAATTAGGTGTTTGTGTCGAGGCTGATTTCAGCATGCCTCTGCTTTGAGTGAAGGCTTCCCATTGACATTTACAATAGTAGATCTAACGCAAATCTTTCAGGCTGCCATCCTAAACAGGCCTGCCTAGGTGTAAGACCCACTGGAAGAAGAGGTCCTTGTTTCTGAATGAGCATGTTTAGGATTGTACTGTGGTGCCGTTACCTTTTTTTAGCTTTATACAGTTATATAGGTTTTGTGGCCTGGCCTCTTTCATGCTTTAAGTCTGCAGGCCTTTGCTGACACTGATAAGTTCAGCTAAGCATGACATAGTTTCCTGAGCTAAACAAGTTTAATTCTCATCTTTTGGGCCTGGGACGAAAACAATAATCGCAGAGAATCTACTGTGGCATAAATGTGTTTTTGAGGAGTTTGGGTTTTATTTGTTTTCATACGGTCCTTCACTAATTATTTTGAATTTGTAGGTTAATATTTACAGCTACTCAAAGTGTCTTTTCTCAAGTTATTTGGTGGAAACTTTCGGGGTCCTTACCAAAGGGAGAACAGTTTGATTTGTATGAGTTCTCAATGAGATGCTGACATACAGATTTGGGTAGGAAAATAAATTGGCTGTTGAATAGAGTGCCTCTGATGAAATGTTAACAAAAGTAGCACCGATTTTTAATCCTCTGCCACATGTAAAAAAGCACATTCCTCAGGTTGCAATCCTGTACTTTTTTTAGCCTGAGGACTGCATTCTGGGCAACTTTCTGAAGGCCAGTGGTAGCCCGAGCCAGAGGCAAAAGTGGGCGGAACCAGAAATGTGAATGTTACCTTTCTACGATAGGCTCATTTTGACACACACATGTCCCTTTGTCTCTTCCATGCGGACAAGGCCTGAGACGGAGTTTAAGGACCTATTCCAACCAGGCAAAGATACTTGAGGTGTGAAGCCTAGGGGAGCCAGATTAAGAGACATGAGGGCCGCATCCATCGCCTGGGCCTGAGGCTCTCCACTTCTGCTGCACGTATTTAACTGGGTTGATTGCCAACCCCACTGGTGTGAGAAAACACATGCAACAAATGTGGGTTCAGACAGAGCACCGCTCTCCACATTATATCAAAATGCACAGAAGGCCATTCACGCGTGGGGACCTCTTAAGAGAGTGGCAAATGTATTTTGGGTCTTCTTTATGATGACAGAAACTTTAATATTAGTCAGCTGCTTAACCGTAGCTGCATGCTAGGCTGTAATCAAAACTAGCCAATACAACCGAAAGAACTGCAGGGTGTTAACTTAAAAGGGGTTGCTGACGTTTTCCTGGAAATGGCAGAATAGATGGTTGTCGATTAAGGAATCAGTGTTTCCACTGAAGCGAGCCTTTTTGTATGCAAGCATAGATCGCTTCATGAGCAATGGAACTCCTTCCTTTCTCTGAATAGCAACTTTGTGCTGCCTCGGAAACTGCTTCTGAAAATTGTGGGGGTGGGACGCTTCTTCCTGTTTTCTTCACTGGATGTGGAAGCTCCATGACTTCTGGCTCTTGCAAGGGAAGCAGCAGTAATAAATACCACTGCAGTCTTAAGATTGCGTGTGAGTGGTGTTCTGAAAGAATGCCTTTCTCATTTTTGTTTTTCAAATGGGCTTATTCATAAAAATTACGTGAATGAGATTATCAATGAAGGTTGCCTTGGGGTTTTTTGATCCAGTTAATTACCTCCAAGTGCATCATGAATGGGGCCCATTGTGAATAACGCAGAGCCTTGGCAGATAATGCACGACCTAGGAAGAGCAGTAATCTGCTGTATGAGGGCTGTCTGCTCGTAAACTTGCATCTGCATGTGGGGTTGCACAGGAAACGGAGCCCTACCTCTGGTGGCACTAATAACTCAGTGTGATGCATACAGTAGGAATATTCTTGCCCCTTTTCAAAGAAATGCAAAGGCTGAATACCATTTGTTCTTCTAATATTAGCTCATGAAAGGGAAACCCATGTGTGGTTGGGACAGCTTCAAGGTTTCATTCTAATTTAGCCTGGGTCTAAGCTGTTTTAGCAGAGCTATCTGAAAGACCATGTTTTTAATGAAAGGGGTACTGTTGTTGTTATAATATGTATTTTTAATCAACATTCTTAATATATTGTTTTAAATCCATTACTGCTTAATTACTTTTTCTTTGTTTTCAGCGGTTTCCATTTTATCTGTGTTTTGTATTTTTTGCCTGTTATCCGCCTTCATCCCTGGTCTGGGGAAAGGGCATGGTATAAAGAAATATAATAAAAATTGAAATTTATCAGGACTAACGGCAGGCACAATGACGAGCGCTATGGCAGCTGGCAGGCGTAGATTTGCGATGTGCTCGTTGTGCCAGACGTAGAACACATAATCAATACCTGGCCTGTGTGATAACTGGGCAGCAGGTCCTTCTGCCACGATGCTGTTTTGTTAACATTTCCCGTGGCACAACCTCTTTATTGCACAGTTCGTTTATCATTAAGATAATGACATTATGAATCAGAATGAGTTGAGTAGATCATTTACAGTGGAATCCCATGCTTGGGAACATGGGGGGAGGTTGCATTACATTTTGAACCGGGCTATTGGTCCATCTAGCTCAGGATGGTCTACACTGAGTAGCAGCAACAGCTGTCCAGAGTTTCAGATGGAGGACACTCCCAGCCGTATCTGGAGATGCCAGAGATTGAACCTGAGGCCTCCTTCATTCAAAGTAGATGCTTGACCACTAGTGCTTGCAGCCCTTGTCAATGTCTACTCAGAAGGAAGTCCCACTGAGTTCAATATGGCTTACTCTCAGGACAGTGGAGTTGTAACCTTAAACTCCCCAGGTATCAGTATCACCAACAGGTATTCTGCACAAACCACAGATGACGTCATAAAATTGTTCCTTGGACTGTGTAGCCATAGATGGTAGTTGAACACTGGAGTGTTTACCCATTAAAAATTGAAGAGATTGTCTCCTCCCCTCCCCCCCAGTCAGCCAGCCTTCCCCAAACTGTTGCAATCCAGATATTGATGGGTGAAAGCTCTCATCAGTCACAGCCAGCATGGCCAATGGTCATGGTCAATGGGGGCTGGAATAAGCATTTGGACCACACATAATTGCAGTCTAAAATATATGGGGGAAATTGCTATAGCTCAGTGCATAATCCTTGCATGGTAAAGATCCTGGGTTTAGTTCCTAGCATATGGCTGCCTGAATCCCCGGAGAGCTGCTGCCAGTCAGTATATAGACAAGGCTGTGCTAGATAAGGACCTAAGAGGCTGCTGGATCAGGCCAGTGGCCTATCTAGTCCAACATCCTGTTCTCACAGTGGCCAACCAAGTAGGAGCTAAGCACAAGAGCGTCCTTCCCTCCTGTGGTTTCCACCAACTGGTATTCAGAAGCATTTCTGCTACTGTGGAGGGCAGAGCAGAATCTTTATGGGCCAATAGCCATCAATAGCCTTTTCGTGCATGAATTTGTCTAATCCTCTTTTTAAGCCATCCAAGTTGGTACTTTTGAAGAAGTACTTTCTTTGATCAGTAATGGATTTTCCAACAGATGGACCCATGGCCTCACTCAGTGTAAGGCAACTTCTCATGTTCCTGTGCAAAGCAGTGCAGTCCTGGGGCAGTTTTTAACCTGATATTTGTCAGTTCTCTTGAAATGTAGTCCTTTTCTCTTTTGTCTCTCTTCCAGGTTCCTGTTGCATGCAAATCCTGTCCGTGCGGCTATATATTTATCAGTCGAAAACTCTTGCATGCTAAACGTTCTGAAAGGCTGCCGTCCTCAGGTACTTTTCTACTTGATGGTTTTGCTTAGATTGTTGTGGTTTTAAAAGAGTACAGCTGAAGGGGAAGGATTAAGTAGTGTCCCCACCCTCCAGGATATCCCTGGGTGCCAGCTTCCACTCCTGGCTCCTGGCACAGACCAAGACTGCTATACATCTCTACTATATAATATCTGTTTTGTCCGGGTGTTGTAATGGGTATTCTGCTGCTGGCATATCAGTTGGGCAAAATGTGGGTTTTCTTTTGACACGGAGGTTCAGAAATGTTTTCTGTCTCTGGCTTTGTTTACCCAACCCTTTCCCTACCTCCTTCCTCTGCTTTCTTCTGTATCTCTTGTACAGTGGTACCTCGGGTTAAGAACTTAATTCATTCTGGAGGTCTGTTCTTAACCTGAAACTGTTCTTAACCTGAAGCACCACTTTAGGTAATGGGGCCTGCCGCTGCGCCGCCACTGCACAATTTCTTTTCTCATCCTGAAGCAAAGTTCTTAACCCTGGGTTAGCAGGGTCTGTAACCTGAAGCGTATGTAACCCGAGGTACCACTGTACTCCTTTTCATTTATGCCAACTCCTGCCTGTTTGATGAGTTCTCTCTTTCTCTTTCTCTTTCTCTTTCTCCCTTTCCCTTCCTTCCTTTCTTACCAGCCATTTGATTTTTAACCAATTTCTGTCAACCTGTTGCCCTTCAGATGCTTTAGACTGCATTTCCCATCAGCCTTCTGATGGGAATTTTAGTTCTAAGCATTTGGAGGGTGCCACTAGCTTGGCAAAAGCTGCTCTTACTTCCTGTACACCTCTGCTCCTGTTTTCTTTCTGGTTCAGCAATTTGGGTATTATTCATTGTGCAGATTGTGGCAAGAAAAAGGCGGATCGGTTTGGTTACGTGATCTTTTGAAGAATTGGATTTAGGAAGAAAAGCATCACTGGTTATAGAGGCAATTTCATTTTGACATTTATGCTTTGTGAATAATATCACTTTAAAAATAGCTGGGTGAAGAGGCTGGGGTGGTGCAGATAAACACTATGGTGGAGTCAAAGGGCTCACATTGAGCAATGTCAGAGAAGCAGATCTTAAAATGTACAGTATCATAATAACGGTGGTGATAATGTGTTGAAACAGAAAGCAGAAGTGAAGCTAAGAGGAGACGGACAGAGAGAGTCACAAGAGAGAGGATAAACTCCGTGGTAAATAAAGATTTAGAAAACAGGAGAAGATCCAGATCAAACAGCCATTCGGATCACAGTAGAAGAGGAAGAGGACGACCAAAGACCACCTCAGCGAAAAAACACGAGGAGGAAAGAGGTATAAAAGGCAGAGAGGTGCTGCTTGCTGATCTTAGCATGCTGTAGAGGCCACAAGCATGTGAGGGTCTGTGAATTTCTTTCCCCCTCACACACACGAGGAAGAAGGGGAGGGGAACTTCCTTTTTGCCTTTGTGATGATTTCCTCATTTTGGGGACTGTTGTGGTAGGGAAGGCAAACATCCTTCCTTCTGAGGAAATTAGAGTTGTTTTATAAGCTATGCTTTCAGTGCTGCCTTGTGAACCTACCCAGCCTTTGCTTCTGAGGCTTCCTCTTACTTGCAGAGATAATCACTGGGTGGGAAATGGAAGAGGTCAAAACATCAAACACCCCATCACATTTCCAGTGTCAAATCTAGATTGGGCAGGTCAGGGAGTGGGGGAGCAGGATACTGTCACTGGCTTCATGTGAGGCACAATGCAAAGTCACATTGGCACAGGGCAGGATCCTGGTGGCCACAGCAAACCGCCAGTCAGATATAGTGGACCGCTGAGGATCAAGCTTAAACACTGATGTGGTTTGCCAATGGTAAACTGTGGCTTGTCGTGAATGAGACAGCCTGCTTGTGCCACTGTGGCTGTTTTGCTCCTCCTCAAGTCTTACTGCTGCCACCACACTAGCCATGGTTTGGCTTAGTGTTTCGTGCAAACCTGGGCTCATGGCTTGTCTCATTCTGAACAAACCATGTTTTTTTCCTTGGCATGTTCCAAACAAACCACAAGCCTGGGTTCAGATGCATTGCTAAGCCAGGCCACGTCTTAACTCATAGCCACAGGAGTGGGGGAGGAGTGAAGCAGCTACAGTCGTCGCCCTGTGCACCCTGCATACATGTCCGTCTGTGGTAAGCCATAGTTTGGCTTACAGTGGCATGCAAATGAAGCCATTATGATGATTATAAAATCAAGGCAGTCCCAGCTGTGAGTGCAGTAAGTAGGACAAATAAAAGAAAGCCTGCTAAGAAATTGCTGAGTTACGGCACTTCAAAGATTTCTGACTTGAAGTGCAGTTTGTAATATATCCTGCCCCCTCCCCCTGGCCACCTAAAATATAAAGGTAAAGGTACCCCTGCCCGTACGGGCCAGTCATGTCCAACTCTAGGGTTGCACACTCATCTCGCTCAAGAGGCCGGGAGCCAGCGCTGTCCGGAGACACTTCTGGGTCACGTGGCCAGCGTGACTAAGCGGCATCTGGCGAGCCAGCACCAGCGCAGCACATGGAAACGCCGTTTACCTTCCCGCTATAAAGCGGTACCTATTTATCTACTTGCACTTAGGGGTGCTTTCGAACTGCTAGGTGGGCAGGAGCTGGGATCGAATGACGGGAGCTCACCCCGCCGCTGGGATTCGAACCGCCGACCTTGTGATCAGCAAGTCCTAGGCTCTGAGGTTTTACCCACAGCGCCACCTGCGTCCCTACCACCTAAAATATACCTCCTAGCTTTTCCTTTCTTCAGGTTTAGGTTGTCTCAAAAATTACAGGGGTCTGTTTTGGTAAAATTTCTGTTTTTCTTTAACTATTTGGTTCATTAAAGTAATGTTCTCATTTCTGAAAAATTGGCTCATAAATTAAGGAGATCTTGGGGTGCAACTGAACTTATGGATTCTGCCTCTCTTTGGCAGCTGTGTTTCTTATGACAGGCCGATCATGGGTGTTCATACCAGTTGTTTTGTCTTTTCTGTATATCTGGTTGGTTTTTTTAATCCAATGTGTAGTCTCTTGAGAATGTACTTTATTTTATGAGATAATGGTTGTGAACCCTGTTTGTTTTGTACAGTTTTTTTATTTTAAAAAGAGTTCATATTTCTTACTTGGATGTTACTTTCACTTCATAATAAAGCCTTGAAAATTATATATTAAAAATACCTGACACATTAATAACATTAACTGTTAAAACCTCATTTTTCATGGTGTATACATCTGAGTCACAATCTGTTCATTTTATCTCTATGCGACGCGGCTGTATATAACTAGAATGGCTGAAATGACCTAAACGAGGGTCATTCTTTTATAGGAAGGTATCTGTCTTCACATAATCTTCATATTGGCAAAGTGCACAGCATAATTAATTGCATGGCTTAAATCAACAGAGCGATTATTGACCGCTGTCAGGTTTTATACAAGCCGGTTTTTCTTCATGGGGGGAATGTGGCTAAATATATTTAGACCAACACAGCAAAAAGTGTGTTCGTCTGCGTGTCCAATTCCCACTTTTAAAAAGTAGCTGAAATAATACTTGGCTCATGCAGTGCCTTTTCTTTTTCTGCAGAGAAACAAGAGAAAGAAGTCGACATGTATGCAAACCTATCTGACGAAAAGGCTTTCGTATTTTCCGTGGCCTTGGCAGAAATAAACAGAAAAATAATCAACCAGAGGCTTATTCTGTGATTGCCTGGCCCAGGACCTATGCATGCTATGGTGTTTAAGCCAGGCAGTGGATTTCGAACTGTCGGTGGCCTCTCAAGCAAGGAATGCCGCTGCCTGCCTTAGTGAAGGCTGTATGTCTCTTTTCCTTGCTGACCTTCTGCTGCGGCTGCTGCTCTTTGGATCATGCAGACTTCTTGTTCCAGCTAATTGTCAAGAAGGAAGACGACCAGCACTTTGCTTGGGGCGGGGGAAGAAATCAAAATCTGATGAACATGGCATCTTGAAGAACTCAACAGAGTTGTTAAAAACTGTTCTTTTGAACACTTCTGCAATTAAAATGCAATGTTTTAATTAATTTAAATCTCCTTCACCATAGAGGTCAGATTTTGCAGCTTTATTGAAGCTTACATGTACATAGTTAAGCTAACTTCTTAATAAATTGATATTCTGGTGTTTGTTTTTATTAATCTGCTGAATTGATCTGGGAGCCATAGCGTGTTTTTACTTCTGGTTTAAGAGAGTATGAATAAATGCTTCTTAAGTCAGCATACAGATCATTTGTGCACAGAGCATAAGTGTGATGTATGGGCAATAAAGTGAAAATCAATTACCGTATTTTTTGCACCATAACACTCACTTTTTTCCTCCTAGAAAGTAAGGGGAAATGTCTGTGCGTGTTATGGAGGAAATGCCTACGGGTGGCATGCCTACGGATTTTCCTCCTCTAAAAACTACGTGCGTGTTATGGTCGGGTGCGTGTTATAGAGCGAAAAATACTGTATTCCTCTTTTTTTCCAGACGCATTGATGCATTTGTGTTGGACTGTCACTCCTTTAATCTCAGCTGCAGAATCAAACTAGTTTGATTAAACAACCCATACTTTTGCTGTAAGACTAAAAGGGTTTTTAACAGGGAAGACCTGAAATCTTGCTAGGAAATCTTCCGGAAGGGGATTGTATAGATTCCATGTTGGGCTGTTTTAGGTTTTTCCCCTAGAGATGCTTTGCACTTGTGCAAACCTTGTTTCTTTTATTTATAGAAGTATTTCCATAGCTTATCTGCAAGTGGTCCCATTTTGGATACATAGTCAACAACACTCATACTTGAACATTGAAAATAGAGGGAGCCAGCTGGGCCTGCAAGAAAAGGCAACAGTATGGAGTGCTGTTTCTAGCTGGCTAGCAGACACACTGCCCTTTTCCAGGATACTCTGTTACATCCCCTCTTAATGTTATGCCTGCCCCTTCCAACAGTCATTCCATGGCCACTGAGCTTGCTCAGACTCCACAGCCTGGGGCCGCCACAATTCCGTCAGAGGCCGAGTTTGGGCCGTGAGCCACCTACTGGTTCAATCCTGGTACTGCTAGTGCATTTAGCTTACTTGAAATTCTTTCCTTTTGCATGCTGATGATAAGAATTCCTTTTTCCAGGGGGCATCATGGACCCTTGCGACTGAGTGGGCTAAGTGAGTGCCTTGAAGGGCTTTCTAATGAGGATAAGCAGAACAGCCCACTAAAAGCTGTTGACAGTCGAATGGAGAAAACAAAATTCCCAACATCTTTCAGAATGCAACCATTCACACACACACACACACACACACATATATATATATATATATATAACGATCTTTAAAAAATGGAAACAAATTTCTTTGGTAAAACATATATCTTGTCTTTTGGGAAACCATCTCAAGAAACCAACCTCTGCGCAGGGAAAAAAATAAGCTGTTGCCTCTTTAATTTCGAATGCGATTAAAAATAACTCTCGACATCACTGGAAAATCATTTCACTTCCTGCAAGCAAAGCCTATAATTTATAACATTGTGGGGAGCTTTTGTTTCTGTTGCGTGGTTTCTCTCCCCCGCCCCCCGCCTTTACCTTCCTGCCCAGTTCTCTTGCTCTCCAAATTGTAGGCTGTGCCTCTACATTTTTAATTCGTTGTGCATGGAGAACATTGGTGCTGAGTTGTCTTTGAGTCCTTGAAAGCTGGAGTTTGAAAGCTGGACTTTGAGTGCTTATTTACAGCAAGCGGGCAAGCTTGCCGTTGCTTTAAGTATTTGAGGCCAGGAGCAATTATGGAAATAGGATTGTAGAACTAATAAGATGTGTCTCTCTCCCTACCCCCCCAAAAAAACCAATACCCATATGGACAACTTGGAACAACTTTGGAAAAGCACCAACATCGTATTAATTTACATTTAGACCAACAGCAGCAATTTGGAATGTAAGAGCAGAAGAAGTGCCCTGCTGGATCAGGCCAGTGATCCATCTAGCCCAGCATCCTGTTCTCACTGTGACCAGCCAGATGCCGGTGGGAAGCCAGCAAGCTGGACCTGAGCAGAGCAGCACACTGTGTATACCAGCAAGTGGCATTCAGAGGCAAGATGTATCTGACAGTGGAGGTAGAGCTTAGCTATTGTGGCTAGTAGCCACCAATAGCCCTCTCCCATTATTTATTCCAATCTTTTAAAGCTATCTAGGTTGGTGGGCATCACTGCATCCTGCATCCATACTTTTAACTGCTGCATGAAGGGGGACTTTTCTCTGTCTTGCATCTTCCAACATTCAGCTTCGTTGGATGCCAACTAGTTCTGTCGTTATGAGACGGGGAGAAAAACTTTCCTATCCATTCCCCCCCCCATGCCATGCATAATTTTATGAACTTCTAATCATGCCACCATGGGTGACACGTGTGAAGCTTGTATCTTTCCAGGTGGTTGTTGGACTCCCAACTCCTATCAGTGTCAGGTCAACATCTGGTTAACAGAAAGATGCAGAAACGCTAGGAATGGAGGAAAAAATCCAAATTGTATCAAATTTGCCTTTTGAAAATACGCAAACCGAAACAGCTATCATTTGAAATTCGCACTTACCTGAATTTTCTAACAAGGTTCTCCAACATTCACAAAAATGCATGTATTAGGGGAAAGCACACATGGAAATGAAAATATCAGTGACTATGCTGTATATTCGGGAAAATAGCTTGCAAAACTATTTGTCAAAACAATATAAAAAGTGTTTATTGGGGAAAATAAACACTTTTTGAAGATAGAATCGGTGCAGAATGTAGAAAAACAGAATTTAAGAGTGAGAAACAGAGATCCAAAATTAACTGATCCTCTCATCTCTAATAAACATCCTACAAGCCTTTCAGAAGGGATACACATTGCTGCATAAACCACACTGCTAACAAAATGAAGCTCAATGCTCTGCGGATCGGGATCAATGCTCATCTGGAGGATGTATTTGGGACTTTCTTTATCTAGCAGTTATTCATGCTTGGCACCTATTGAAAATCAAAATTCGGATGAGGCAGCTTCTCTTTCCCCATTCTACACTTCTTGCTCAAAGTAATCAGAGATGAAAGCAAAACTGCAGAGCTCAATGATGTACACATGATTTGCATTCTTTCAAACAACATTCCAGATGCACACAGGAAAGAAAAATATGATTAACAATAAATCGGAGCAAATGCTTGTCAAAGCCCAGGCATAATAAAAAACAACAACTGTAAGCTTTATTTATGCAAACAAGATCAGGGCGGCTGCTCATTTAGCAGGCTGGCCTGGAGGGGGAGCTCCATGACATTCTCTTGCTTTAAAGCCTGACTTTGGGGGGGGGGGGAGATACATGGCAACTTCTACGGCTAGGTGGCAGTATGTTCCTAAGAGAGAAAAACACAGTATACTGCTGTACTGTGGCTATTTGGTCATTAGAAGCAATGGGCATGTCATGCTGCTGCCTGGTAGCCCTGGCTGCCCCTTCTTATTTGCAAAGCACCCTCGGGAGGGAGCGATTTGCATCTGAGAAATATGAAGAAGGCTGTGCCTTACCCTTTCCTTGCCACATGCTTTCAGCTGAAACTGCTTTCTGGCCCACACCCAATACCTTTACTGCTGGGACGCTCCAGGCCCATGCTAGTGAGCTGTTTATTTTTTAAACACCTCATCCATCATTCTGGAAGGTTGCCTGGATGGAAAAGTGGCCATTAGGTTGGAAACCCTCCACTGTTTTACATCTCCTTTCATTATGCATTTCCTCTTCTTTTCAGTGAAGCCTAAGTTGGCACCCTGGGGCTTGATGGTGGTGGTGTTGAGTAGAAACATGCCCTGCGTGCCCCTCTGGCAGATAGAGAGGAGAAGACCATTGGGTCAAGAAGGCGGTTTTTGCATATGATATACAGTATATAGAATAAATGTTCATAAATGTACAAGGCAAACACACACGCATAAGTACAGTGTCTGAAACAGTACAGGAGAGCAACCCTGAAGCCATTTTGACTCTCCCAAATTAACCTCAAATATTTATTTGCAAGGAGGAAGGTAATGGGAGAAGCTTTCCAGTTGTCTTTGGCCTGTAGGGGCTTACACCTCCCTTTGCAAATACAGTCTGGCAAGTATCTGTTAAGCTGAGCAAACTATCAATATATGTAAGAGATTCAGGAACTACAGTATTTACCATCACAAAAGAACAGCCAGAGTGCCCAGGTTGAGCAATGATTGACCATTATCAGGTATCCTGATGGTGGTCTTGGGGGGGTGGTCTAGTGTGGTGTAGTGGTTAAGAGCGGTAGTCTCGTAATCTGGGGAACCGGGTTCGTGTCTCCGCTCCTCCACATGCAGCTGCTGGGTGACCTTGGGCTAGTCACACTTCTCTTAAGTCTCAGCCCCACTCACCTCACAGAGTGTTTGTTGTGGGGGAGGAAGGGAAAGGAGAATGTTAGCCGCTTTGAGACTCCTGAAGGGGAGTGAAAGGCAGGGTATCAAATCCAAACTCTTCTTCTTCTTCTTGAGCTACAGGGGATGCAATTTTAAAAGTCTATGTAAGAGCTTGCACACCATTGTTCGGGGTTCCTCTCCTCCCTCCCTGCGTGCGTGCGGTGAGCGGGGGACCCTGTTGCAACAGTTTGATAATGATCATGCTTACTTGCTGCTTTGCTTCTTAATATTCTCTGGTTGGCCTCTGCTATTTTCTCCTACCGATAGAGAACCTACTTAAGGACTCTGTACGGGCTCCTGGATACCCCATAAGGGAAAAGGAGCAGTATTTTCTTATAACACTTGGAAACATTATCATTTTTATTAGAGCAACTGATTAAGGTGGAAGCCAACATGTTTTGCTTTAAGAAATTAAATTTTCTGTTTTCTGCTCACTGTAATAAATACACACAAACAAACAAGCACACTTTCTTTTTCTTTAAAAAGAGGCCATGGCCTAAACTCGTCTCCAGAGGGCAACCTACACTGGCAAACTGCATTTTATAAACAAGAAACAAGCCCTGATTTTCTCCCCAGCCTCATGTAGCCTACCTCAAAAATGAGAAACAGCCGGGAGAAGTGTCTTGTCCCTGGCAATGTTGCCAGGATGTATATATAGGTGATCAGCCTTCTGGGGGAAGGTTTAAAAATGGAACGCCTTTGGTCCTGGGGGGATTTCCTCCCTGTGTGTTAAGAGATGCAGGAGACAAATAGATACTAATTAGCTGTGGAGAGAGCCTTGTGGCTCCCTGACCTTTCGCTCTAATCCATTTGGAGCGGAGCACCCTATTGAAATATGTTTGTGCCAAGGCAGGACAGTCAGTGTAGCTCAGGCTGCTGCGTGATGCCTCTTCTGCTAGAGACCTTGACAGATCCATAAGTGTTTGTTTCCCTTTCCTCCTTTCCCCCCAATAACAGTCTGCAACGGTCCTTTTACATCTTTGTTTTGTTATTTAAGGCTTCTGCCCTCCCAGCCCATCTTCCAGGCTTTCAGTGTTGCGTTGCATTCCTTCGTCTCCCCTGCTGCTGCTCCTCGGAAGTGCTATATGCTGGTATCCAATGCGGCTTTGGTGCACGGATGGAAGACGAATGAAAGGGTAGGTACCAGTGGAACGGGCAATGCTGGCTTTTCTTTCTATTTGTGGCTCTTTCAGGCATATTTCTTGTGAATCATGAATGTGACGTTGCAGCCTGGGGCCCCCTTCCAGGCTGCTGTTTTTCTGTGGCTGCATCCTGCAACATGCTATCGTAATGGATTAGTGGTGGAATTATCCTGGGCCGTCCACACATCATGCTGCTTTCTTAGCATTCCTGTCAAGATGCAACAGGTGCATGCTATCTGCACTTTCTGGAAACAATTGAAGACATGCTTGTTCTGACAAGCTTTCCCAGGATCAAAGCAGTTTGATCAAAAAGGATAAAATGATAATTTTTTTCAATAAAAACAACGGACAACAATAATTTAAAACAATTGAACAAATTTAAAGCAGCAATAAACAAATAACTGAAATAAGCATGAACATTCTGACTATCTTGGTAGGCTTGTCTAAAGAAAAATGCTTTAAGCAGAAGCTCAGAAGAGTACAGTGAAGGCACCTGCCTGGTATCAATAGGCGGGAAGTGTGGGTTCTTCTGTCTTGATTTAAATATATATGTTTCTGTGTTTGCAACTCTTTTTAACCATCTTACGTGTAAATCGCCTTGTGGCGGTGGTTTAGAAGATGATTAATAAATCAGTAACAACCACAATATAATGTTTTGTAATACCTCCTGAATGTTGTTGCATTATTGCCATCTGGAGGGACACTCTTGTTCCACAGAGCAACAAAACAATAACCCCAGAACATTGGCAGTATGAAAAGTTAGAGGATTTTATCAGGAAGTTGTAGGACACACAATGATTGCAAATGAAGCAGTCTGTCCACCCAGGAACTTTTGCAGACACAAAGAGTAGGCAAAGTGGGATTGCATTTCTCTGCCTTGAATGTGAGCACAAATCATATGTCTCTTATTCCCATTTAGTTCCACTCTTTGAATTCAACCGTCACACTGTCTCATTGTAACACGAGCAGTATATGCTCTCTTGTGGGAACGGGGCACATTTTCTTGTTATGTTTTCTTGATCTCTCGCATAATATTGAAAATTGTCAGCTACTTGGCTGACAGTGCTATTTGACTCAGTTCAGACAAAATGGCAAAATGTAGCTTGGACCTATGAAAGCAAGCCTTGAAAGAGGCACACACACCCCTCCCCTCACATCCTCAGAGTAATTGGCTGCTTCCTGGGTTTTAGAAAACCATAGCTGGTTGTTACATCGAAACAGGAAACGATGGGTTGGGTCCAGAGATCCCTAAACAGAAGTCTGCTCATGAACCAGCGTTCTTTTATCTCCTGCAAGTGGAAGGGTGTCGTGTGTGTGTGTGTGGTACAGCCATTTTTATGGGAAATGGCAAGGGGGCTGCAGGCAGCAGTGAAATATCTGTGTAAGTCTTTGTTGGATTGCAGCCTCTTCTGCAAATGGAAGGGCACTCTTGTTTAGATATCCGAGTCTATGGGTTTCAAACCATAACCAGACACCAGTTTGCAATTCTGATTTGCAGGACAGTTGTAAACTACAGCTTGGCAGTTCAGATATAATGACAAACTATGGTTTGCTGCAAACCAGGAAGTAGTACAAAAGGAGAAGGAAGCTGTGTATGAGCTTTAGACTTCCAGGTACCTTTGTGTATCACCAAACTATGGACTAGCCTTTGTCTTGGGAATTTGATGGCTTGACTTTGCTAGTGCATATTTTTGAAATGTTATTAAAGTCTAATGTTTGGGAACCGTTCTGTTTAGAGTAGGTGGCATAAGAAGTTTTTTGTTTTTTTTACCTTCAGTTTCTGAAATGATCTGTGCTGCAAAACCTCTCATGGAAGCAGTTCTCTCACAGCCATGTTCCCGCTTCCAATATTCTCTTGGGAACAGTGTGGGTTAACAGATTTGTAACGCCAAATGAAGAACATGCTGGCCATTTGACTTTTCCTCCCAAATGCCAAACATGTTTGCTTTCTCCCTGCCTGCCTCTTTTTGAATCTGAGAAATATGAAGAGGAACAACATATTCTGGCTTGCAGAAGATAAAGCAGAATGGCTCAGAGAAGCTGATTGATCAGTGGAATTATCTCCATGAATTGCATGTAAGACATGCATTGATTGAAGACAATGCAGGATGGGCGAGGTGTCCTTTTACACTAGCATTCTCTATTTAGAGCCGCTAATGGAGGGTGGCAGGGTGGTGAGTGTGTTTGTTCCAGCCTGGCTGCCAAATTTCCTAACGGGGACCCACTCAATCACGCAAGCCTTGTCCTTTTTCTTCTTTGGCACTCGCTAGTTCTACGTGCATTTGCCGCTATCTGAACGCCTCCCCTCTGCAAAGCACAGGATAATAGTGTTATTTGCAAACAAAAATATTGACTTGCCTCAAGTGCCTCTATCTAGACATGAGTGTTTATCACATTTGCATCACTTCCTTCAATAAGCTCCTTTTCTCTGCGGGTGGAGCTTAATGGCTAAGATCTATGATCCAGAAAGTTCACTGTCTGAATTTTGCCTCTGTCGCTAGGGGATAAGACTGATGCACATAGCTTCAGCTGAGAGCGGCAGGAAGCTCGTTTGTTGCAAAACAGACCATTGTTCCATTTTGTTCAATACTATCTCACAGGGAATGGCTCTCCAGGGTTTCAGACAGGGGCCTTTTCCAGCACTAGCTAGATATGCTGGTTCTTGAACCTGGGACCTTTTGCATGCAGCTATGCAGAGCCTTCTGGGAACATTCACTTCAGGTTTCTATTTGTTTATTTGTCATTTAATCTCAATCAGACAGAGGTTCATCTTAGCTGTGGTTAGTGGAAACAAGGTGACCTCAAGCCATAGTTCATGGGGTGGGGAGGGCTAGCAGTGGCTACTAGCCATGATGGCTATGCTGTGCCTCCACATCTGGAAGCATCTGCTTGGCTATTGTGTGAACAGGACTGCTGTACTACATGGGCCTTTGGCCTGATCCAGCAGGCTCTTCTTATGAGAAATTAAATTCAGTTTTCATTTAATGGTGCACTTGCCGAGTTCATACTTTCTGAAACAATATACCTTTCCAAAATGACATAGCCCTCCTTCAAGAGTTTCACATGAGATACTAAGAGAAACTGAGATTGACATAGTTGCCCTAGGACAAACAAGCTAGCCTGGCCCAGTGGATTAAAACTGCCTCGGAGACAAGCACTCCAGGTAGTTTGAGGTAAGTCTCCCCACCTCCCAACTTGGGGCATCATGTGGGGGGCGGGCAGGGAGAATCAGCCCTCCCTGTGTTTTGAGGCCTCGTGACTATTCCTGTTGAGCACTTGTATTGTCAATCAGCCTATTCCGTCCTATGCACTGTGTTTCACAGGCAAAAGGAAGCCCGTCCCCCACCCTCAAGGGCAAATAAGCATTGTGAAAAGGAGAGAGAAGTATTGGGGATGGAGGGATATGGTCTAGTGGATTCACACCATTATTCAAAAGCTAGATCCTCATCGTTGGCGATGAGGACCAAGAGAATTTCTGGCCAACTCAATGGATTCTGTACAGTGATGGCGCAGCAAACCATAGTTTGGTGTTACAAGAATGGGCATGGCCTCCCGCTGGGCTCACACTTCCCTTCCTCTGGTGTAGTCAAAAAGAGGTCAGAAGCTTTCCCTTCTGTTTAGTGCATTGCCTGAACCCTCATCTGTGCCTAACCATAACTATGGTTGATGAATACAAGGCAGATTCATAAGCTTCACAAGTTTCTAGCAACTGGTATTCAGACACTGCCTCTGACTGTGGAGGCAGAGCATAGCTATCCTGCTGAGTAGCCATCAACATTATTATTTTATTCTTATTTATTGAATTTATATACCGCCCTATACATGGAGGTCTCAGGGCGGTTCACAGAACAAAATCAAAATATAAAACCACAAAATATATCATCAAAATAAAAACCCAATAACCCCCCTTCTCCTCCATGAATTTGTCTAATCCTCTTTTAAAGCCAACCAAGTTGTGCTCATCCTTATACCTTTCACACACATTTTTTGCTCATCCAATAGCCCAATTACAAGGGGTAACAATGTGGAGGGGGGAGGGTGCCCTCTTGGGGGGACTTCAAATTAACAGCATCCTCTGTTTTTGTACCCACAGACTTTATCAGTGACCCAGGAAATGAGCTGTAGGAATACAGATAAAAGCCAGGGCTTGGGAGATAAGGAAGTGGCTGAAATGCCTTGTGTAGTGGCAGATAAAGCGGAATGCCTGTTATGGCAATGTCCACAGAGGCTTTGTTTCTTAATGCAGTCAATAGCTGCAGGGCGCCTTGGTGGTTTGGCCCAGCAACAAGGCCAAAGGGGGAGGGAATGGGGACGCTGTATCAAGGATCCCCGTTGCATAAGACGCTTCGCTTGAGCATGGGAGGGTCTTGCGTTTCCGATTACATAAAGAAGTTTGCGGTAAGCAAATATATATATTTATATATTTGTAAATATATATATATTTAAAGTAACTTTAAAAACTGCTTGTATGTAAGGTCTAATTGACTGTGTCGCATTTTGTCTCAGATATATCCAGACCCTTTCCAAGTTAGCTGAGGCTGTTGCAGCTAACCTAGAGATGTGTGCTGGTTTTGGTTTTAATTGTATGTTTCTTTTTTTTTGGTAAATCTCATTGATGTGCACTGTTTTGATGCATGCTACGCTGCAATCCTGTCTGATGAATAGTGGCATAAGAGAGGACCAGATTATGATAATAATGAATAAAAAGTCATAAATACAATAAGGGATCTCTGTGTGTGTTTGTCCAGAATGGATCCTATTTAAATTATTTTCATTTTGTTCTGCTTTTCTTCCAAATCTTAGCACCATTGTGTTGTTGTTTTCCTCTGTCCTGTCCTAGATGTGTTAATAATACATCATCATTGGAGGTTGGGGGGGGGGGGTAAGGTCTGGAATGGTTTCACCGGAAAACTGTCACAAATCATGCAAAGAGAGGGATGAACTTCAAGGAGTTTCCTGCTGAAAACTGTTCAGTTATTCTTCTTTTTGCCCAAGAAAGCAACATAGCATAAAATGAAAATCAGATAGGTGGGACTTGGGGAAGCCCACTTAACAAGAAAAATAAGGATATGACAAGAATTTGTTCGTATTGTTTGTCTTTTCTGTTTGTGTTTTTGATTTGTGTTATAAAATGAATAAAAATGAATAAAAAAATTTTGGGGAAAAAGAAAGCAACATAACTAGATTCTTCGTTTCTAGTTTTTATCTGAGTATGTCACTTAATCATTTATCAGAGATGGCAGGGAGAGAGGGAGCTTTTGAGGGGCGGGGAATGAGTAATAACCTTGGTGGTTTACTTAAAGGATAGAAACCTTTGCTTTTAAATGTGCATTCCTCTAATCCTGGGACTGGGGACCTTGTGACGCTCCAGATGTTGTTGAGCTCCATCACTCATCAGAACCAGCCAGTAAATCTAGAAGTAAGAATTGTAGTGGAGACCTAAAGTTGTCCACAATTTTTCTAATCCCTTAAATCCACAATTTATTTTCAGTGAAGAACAGTAATGCAGCTAGGGCTGGACTTTGGTGCTGAAATTCTAGGCCCCACAGCCCCACCCTGCTCCACCCACAAATGACCACATGGTTAAAGGCAGATGGTGTGGCAGTTGCAAACAGGTTCCATATCAGCAGCTTACTTGGCACTGATATCGTAGAATTCCCTTCTGTTGTCTTCATCACCGTCATTTTATAATTGACGGGCAACCAGTCAACTATAGAGATGTTATGGTAGTTACAGGTGCTTCTCTTACCGTTTCACCTTGAAAACATATCATACTTTTCTACATAAAAATGAGGGCTTATTTCCAAGCAAATGTGTTGATCATTAGATGGCCACCAATTTGGATGGCTTTAAAAGAGGGTTGGACAAAGTCATGGAGGATAATGCTATATCAATGGCTGCTAGCCACAATGGCTCGGCTCTGCCTCCATTGTGGGAAACCACAGGAGGGGAGAGGGCTTTTGCGCTGGGGGCCTGCTTGTGGGTAGGTAAGAAATAAAGTAGACAGGAATAGTTGTGGTATAAAAAGTTGCAGAATTTTGGCAAGGAGTTGATTGGAAGTGAAACAGTATGTCCACCCTGAAATTTTTGCAGGTGCAAACAATATTGAAAACGCATCACATATAACTGCCCCAATACAAATAATCATGGATGCACAATGGAAAGGGCATCTGAAGGGGCCATTAATGGCCTAACTTGTGCGTCATGGTAAGCCAAACCATGGTTTACCTGGGACCACATGAATGCAGCTTCCTATGCTCCTTCCATAACTTTTTACTCCTACATCATGCTGAGCTAAGCCAAAGTTTTGCTCCACATGTACTCTCAACCCAGGCTCATGGGCCCCATCTGCATGTTACATTTTAAGTATCTTCATATGACTTTAAACGGTCATAGGTTCCCTCAAAGAACCGTGGGAACTGTTGTTTGTTAAGGGTGCTGAGAGTTGTTAGGAGACCTCTGTTCCCTGCACAGAACTACAGCCTCCAGTGTGGTTTAAAAATCTACCCCCCTTCGCAGGGAACTCTGGGATTTTGCCAGGACTGTACTTGTTTTTAGAGGCAAGTTGATTCATTTGGAGGCTTCTGTTGGTGGTCAGTTGCTGCTGGCAGACCAGACCTGGTAATGTGGCTCCAAGTGGAGACACCAAAAGGAAGACATCAAAAGAGTTTATCTCTTTTCGGTATCTCCTTTGGGATATGGTGAGGCTGAGAACATTCCCTTTGATGATGGTTCTGAGGATGGGCTTGCTCCTGGGTGATAGAGAGAAGCAGGTGCAAAGATGTGAGTCAACGTGACTTCTACACGAGAGGTAGATGCTGAGGAGCTGTATCTCTGGTGACAGTATGAATGTGGCTCATGTATGTATTTTCCATATGATTGATGGTGCTTCTGGTGGTTTTTGTTCTTTTATATTTGTATTAACTTATTGTATTTATTTATTGTGCATTTGCATTTGTATTTACTGTACTTCTATTATATCCTGTATTTGTTTTAATTGGTTTCCCGCTTGTGTGTTGGGGGGGGCAGTTTGGGCGAAAAGCAGTACAGTGGTACCTCTGGTTACAAACTTAATTTCTTCTGGAGGTCTGTTCTTAACCTGAAAGCGTTCTTAACCTGAGGTACCACTTTAGCTAATGGGGCCTCCCACTGCCACCGTGTGATTTCTGTTATCATCCTGAGGTAAAGTTCTTAACCCGAGGTACTACTTCCTGGTTAGTGGAGACTGTAACCCGAAGCATTTGTAACCTGAAGCATTTGTAACCTGAGGTACCACTGTATATAAATAAGCCAATGAATGAATACTATGGTTAGGTGATCGGAAACTCTTGCTTCTCTGCTAGAAATCACCCAGAGATCTACCAGTAGATTCAGATTTACCTTCTGTGCACACCTGTGGTAAATAAAATAGTCTTCATTGCCTTTCCTACAGCAGACAGTGAAGGAACCAGGCATATCATTCTTGAGAGCTCATTAGCCAAATCCAGATGTTGCAAGGCACCAATTGGCAAAGTATTAAGATCCAATAACTTCTTCTCAAAATACCAGTAGCTTTTAAAAATTAATTAAGCTGTGAATGAAAGAGTTCTTGGTCTGAATTGCATCTGTGTTGTGAATGCGCTGGATATTCTTCTTGGAAGGACTCGGACTCCTGCCCCCACAGTAGGAAGATAATGGTCTTTGCCTACCTCATAGGGTCGTTGTGAGGTTTGCGACAAGAGAACCAATGTGCAGTGCTTTGAATGATTGACAGCTAAGTATTACTGTTGCCAGGCATGACTGCTCCTCTGCTGAAGCTGTTACCCCTTCCTTGGCTCTCTGTTGTTGTGGAACTGCTGAGCCTAAGCTTCATAAATTATTCTTGTACGTGCGACTGACGTCAAATGAAAATGTCATAGAGATCTAAGTTGGCAGGTGAGCATGTGCCAGAGAGCACACACTGAGAGGAAGGTTGTGGGAGACCCGGGTATCAAAAGGGACTGCTTGGGGAGCTATTCCCATGGTTGGTGTGGCGGCTGGGAGTTGTCCCTACCCCTCCAGGAAATACTCCAGTTACTGCTAATGGAAAGAAGATACTGACTCTCTCTTTCTCTCTCTCTCTCTCTCTCTCTCTCACACACACACACACACACACGTGCACACACACACCTCGGTACAGATGGAACTGCCGAAACAAACACATAATCAAAAGCTTGTAAGAATTAACCTGGCCCAATAGATTCAGGTACTGCAAACATTTCCAGCATTAGAACCTCAGTAATTTTTGTGGGAAAATCATTTTTGAGGGTTAATTATTTTACCGTTAATTGTGGAAACAATGCTGACATGCCATTCTGTGGAGATTTTCTCTCCCCCCTTTTCCCTTTTACACTGGGGGCTCTCTTGGCACCGAATGAAGAATTCAGTTTGAGTTGTTTCAGTTGACAAAGGCATGCTGGCAGTAGATATATACTCCATATCGCTGTCATGATGGTCTATTTTTAAATTTCAACTGCCGGCCAAGCTTGGGCGCGGAAGGCATGTATGTGTTTTGATCATTGTGCGTGCATTTCTGTTTTCATAATGCTGGCTTCTTTTAGGCCATACCATGTTGTATCCAGCTCAATTCCATCCTTTCCTTTTGGGACGAAGCAAAGCATTTTATGTGGTTTCAGTGCACACCGCTGGCCTTCCCCAAGGAGTAGGGGAAAAACAGCAAAACATTCTTGCCCTCTCCTTTCTCTGGGTGGGGATGTCTGCTACATGACCATTGCCAATTCTCAACATGCTTGGTTATCAACAGCCTCTCAAGGAAAGAATTTTAAACGATTCTGTGACGTCAGAAGGCCAAGAGGGAGGGGGAGACATCCCTCAAGCCCACCACCAAGTTAAGATCATCATTATAAGCCTGCAGGAGGAATATCTTACATAGCAGCTAATTAGTGACGCCCTCACAAAGTGTTCTAGAATTTTCCTTCCTTTCCAACTCGAGATGGAATTTCATAGAGCTATCCTCTAATTTCAACAAGTAATGGGGCTACCTGCCTAATCCATTTTTATTTTTTTTTGCCACGATGTCTGAAAGCAACCAGGAGATTGACGAAGAGTTTGTAAATAAGTCACGGGTTACGAAAGGGAACAGTTTAAGCACAATGGACCAAAAACTGAACCTGCTCAACGAGAAGGTAGACAAACTGCTGAATTTTCAAGAAGACATGACGGGAAAGCTTCAGAAGGTTAACCAAGGGATCGATGATTTGGGGAAAGGCCTTCACAGGCTCACCGTCTCACGGACGCCTGCCGACCAGATCAGTGGAGTAAAAAGGGGCCTGAAATTTGAAGACGGGGTTCACCAAATGGACACCCAAAGCACATGTACCGAGATCCTGAAGCTTATGAAAGTGACCCATCAAGATGCTTCAAAGTACAGGGAGAGGCTGGAGAAGATGGAGAAAATGGTGGACTCAGTGGACAAGGTTGTGAGATGTTTGGGAGAGACTTTCAAAAACTCAAAGGTGGTGGATTTTATCCTGAAGGGTGTTGTCCCTTGGCAGAAAGGGAGCCTGGATGAAACCGCAGAAGAGGTGAGTCCCCCTCTCCCCACGTTGCTTGTTCAAGACCTCCCGCATTAGTAGAAATCATATCACATTTATTTAGAGGGATGGGGAACCCATGACCCTCCAGGTAGTGTTGGCCTCTAACTTCTATCAGTCCCAGCTAGCATGGTCAATGGCCAGCGATGTTGGGAGCTGTGGTCCAACAATATAAGGGCTACCGGTCCCCACCCTGCTTTAGATCCCCTCCCACTGTGTATGGTTTTATATTCCAGACAACTGGTCTTCAACTGATGAGTCAGGACCTTGAAGTGGTAAAAAAATATGAAAATAGAAAACCAAGTATACATAACAAAGGAACATATTTTCAATATTTGCTGGATTAATATTTCCCATGGGCAGCTGGCTGACCACTGAGAGAAACTGGATGTAATGTTGATAGTTTTTGAATAAAATTGTTTGTGCCCTGGAACGGTAGGATTCAATGCTAAGTTTAGCATTCTCTATATCATGGTATTTTGCCCATCCTTTCATCTGATTATCCTTCCTTAAAGAGAAATAAATTTTTAGTTTTCAGGCAGACATATTGTATAAGCCTTTACATTCTTTTTTTGTCTCGGTTTATGAATTGCTAAAAGAGCTGTCTTGACACATAGCATCATTGTTTCATTGTATTTGTTTATGTGTTCAGTTAATTTTATCTGTTTTGCCTTTGCTATGTGTTGTCTAAATTTCAGTAAGTCATCACCAAGACGGCTGGACCAGATGGTTTCCCCCCCCCCCGATCCAGCCGATCTCTCCTTAAGTTCTTTTGTCTGGATAGACCTGTTGAGACTCATTTGTAGCAGGAGACGGTGTCAGTATTATCAAGTGTAACAGCATTAGCAAGGGGGGGCAGGCCTGGTGTGCATGTGCGCGCACATGAAAATCACCCCAGAAATATGTCTCCAGTTATCTTTGTAAGGTTGTGAGTTTAGACAAGAGCTGGGAACTGAGCAGTAGGAGAAATGGCAAGGCGGTATGAAGGTAGACTGCTGGAGACGATAGAGTGCATCACATATATGCATGTGGCAATGTGCTGCAGCTGTCGCGGCGAGATCAAATGGCAAGAGAAGCTTCTAGTTCTCATGGCACTACGGCGCAGAGATGTGCATTCCCCCCCCCGCCCTTCCTCCTCGCCTCACTCTGGATGCTTTAAGTACTTGGGTCATGTAAAATGTAGTAGTTTCTAATATGTCTATTGTAGTACAGTGGTACCTCGGGTTAAGTACTTCATTCGTTCCGGAGGTCTGTTCTTAACCTGAAACTGTTCTTAACCTGAAGCACCACTTTAGCTAATGGGGCCTCCTGCTGCCACCACGCCGCCGGAGCACGATTTCTGTTCTCATCCTGAAGCAAAGTTCTTAACTTGAAGCACTATTTCTGGGTTAGCGGAGTCTGTAACCTGAAGTGTATGTAACCTGAAGCATATGTAACCCGAGGTACCACTGTAAAGTGATTTTTTTGGTGTGGGTGTGTGTTTGTGTGTTGCCGACACAGCTCCTTGACAAGGGCAACCCTAGGCTAGGTATGCCTCCGGCCTAACGTTAAACATGCAGGGAGTTTCAAAGCACTGGTGCTGCTACACCGAAAGATACAACTCTGAATGCAGGCAGAACAAACAGCCTTGCAGAAACGTTCATTGCGCACATCGAAGTGGTGGAGCAAGGAGGTCGAGAAACCGCCTCCTCTTACTTGCTGTGCAGTGCTATGGATTGGGTCCAGAGGGAGAGGGCAAGGGAAGGAACATTGATTTCCATGGGAAGGGCACTGAGGCCATTTTGACCAAATGCTTCCCAGCCCGAATCTGAAAATGACACCGAGGGAAGTAAATGAGGGGAAAGGTTATATAACCTTTGCAAATTAACCGTGGCAAGTGGGTGGCTATTAGCCGCAATGGCTATGTTCCCCCTCCATTATTGGATGAAGCCCTAAACATCCTTGGTCCCGTATACCTGAAGGAGCGTCTCCACCCCCATTGTCCAGCCCAGACACTGAGGTCCAGCTCCGAGGGCCTTCTGGAAGTTCCCTTGCTGTGAGAAGTGAGGTTATAGGGAACCAGGCAGAGGGCATTCTCGGTAGTGGTGCCTGCCCTGTGGAACGCCCTCCCAGCAGATGTCAAGGCAATAAGCAACTATTTTACTTTTAAAATACAACTGAAGGCAGCCCTGTTTAGTGAAGTTTTTAATGTTTGATGCTGTATTGTTTTTAATATTTGGTTGGAAGCTGCCCAGAGTGGTTGGGGAAACCCAGCCAGATGGGTGGGATATAAATAAAAATTATTATTATTATTATTATTATTATTATTATTATTCCTCTGAATATCCAGCACCTGAGAATCACAAATGGGGAGAGTGCAGATTCCCTCAGGTGTTGTTTTCGGCTTCTTGTAGGCAGAGTTCTTCTAATGTTCCTTTGCTCATCCCTGACCACAAGATTTTGGGGTGGCCACCGACTTGCATGGCTTGCAGGAGGGAGGGATAAGACAAACTCACGAAGGCTAAGACTTGTCAAGAGCTACTAGTCCTGCTCTTGCACTCATTGCCTGCTTGCAGGCTTCCCATTGAGGCATCTGGTTGGCCCCTGTGAGAACAGAATATGGGACTAGATGGGCCATTGGCCCTGTCCAGCAGGCTCTTCTTACATTGACCGGACTTTCCCTTTCCCCCTTTTAGACTAAAGATAAACCAGAAGAAAAAGGTGCAAAAGGGAAGCATGCACCTAGCAGCAAAGGAATCCAGGCAGAAGGCAAGTACTCCTTGAAAGGTATCTACAAATGCATCACACTGAACAGATTTGCAGAGTGGGCACAGAGTCCATTGCTGAGAAATTTCATGGCACTCTGGCCAGTATCAGGACCTTCACTCGAGTTGGGGTCTTAATAAGATAAGAAATGCAACAAATGAGCTAAATGTTTATTTTATTTCTTGATTTCAAATATTCGTTATACACCTTTAGGTGCCAGGCAAAAATGTTTCTCTTTAACCAGGCCTTTGGTTGATCGACATCCAATGCCCTTTTAAAGTGTGGGGGGGGGAGTTATTGGGTTGTTTTTGTTTTTATTGTGATTTTATCTTGTGAACTGCCCTGAAATCTGTGGGTATAAGCTGGTATACAAATAATAATAATAATAATAATAATAATAATAATAATAATGGAGTGCACACACAGAATGGAAGGCGAGATGTGGTTGTGGCACCCAGTTTTGGCCTCGCACAGGGCAACGCTGAAATTTGAAAGACCAGAGTCTACCCATGATACCACTTTACAGTAGCTGCTCCCAAAGAATCCTGGGAACTGCATGTGTTTCTGTTTCTCTTTTTTAAAAAAAAGTGTTCAGTGACTCTTACTTTCCTCCCAGAGGTACAATTTTCAGAGTGGTTTAACAGCTGATCCTTCTTCCTAAGGAACTCTGGGAATTGTAGCTCTAAGGGGGAAATAGGGGGCCTCCAAAAAACTCTCAGCACCCTCAACAAACTACAGTTCCCAGGCTGCAGGTTCGATTCCTGCATTGCAGGGTCCCTTCCAACTCTAAGATTCTATGATTCTAATACTTTCCCCCAGATAATATACATCCTTATTCAGAGGCTCCCCAAAGTTTTTACAATGAAGACACACCTATCAAGCCTTAGTCTTACTTGGGACCAACATACACATCCCATGCAACTGATACAGGGAACATCATTTTTAAGATTCTATGGGAGAAGTAATAACTGTTTGAAACAGTGTGGTGCTGCTTTAAATGTACAGTACAAATGGAGCCTTAGGCAGCACTCTCCCATCCTTTTTTCTTTTTTCTTTTGCAAAGTGGGTCCTCCACCCCATATATACTGCCTTCCACTAATGGTTCATCCATTGTTTTTTCTGTTGGTATCATTTCTGTCCTTAGAAAACAAAAGGGAGAAAAAGTTGGATGGCGGTGATGGAGCATGTGAAAAGGTGAACGTGGCTGGTCCGGTCCTTTCGAAAGTTGACTGCAGTCCACATACAGAACAGCAGGCAGCCCAGTTGGAAACCAAAGAAGCTCAGGGACAGGCAGGTGACCCCAAAGCTTGCCCAAAGCAAAAGGACGCTGCTGGGGTCAGTGCTGTGCTCCAGAACAATGGCCTCTCCTGCGTAAGCAGCGGCAATCCAGCTGGATGCCAGAAGACAGACAAAGCCTCTGGCCTGGAAGATCCTCTTAAGAAGAATGTCAATCCAAAAGCAAAGGGAAATGAAAACGAGGTTTCCCGGCTGGGTGCTCCTTCTGTGAAAACTGTGTCATCTGCCTCTAAGCCTGGTGGTGAAGTTATACGGACAAGGTAATGGCATAGCCTAGAGGTGGGCAAAGCTTTTTTGCCCGAAGGGCAGCATTCCCTTGCGGACAAGGCTTCCGGGGACTGCATGCTAGTGGTGGTCAGGGATAAAAGTGGTTGGAGCAACAGAGGTGACTCATAATTTTGTAGGGGAAGCTACATTCCAACCATGCAAAAGCCAGAGCCTTTGAGAGACAGGTCTGTGTCTCCTCCCAGGCAAGCAAGGGACGTGATTGCAATTCAAGGACACATTCTAAGTAGGCGAAGGTTCTCAAGGGAGGCATCAGCGCAGGGTAGCTGAGGGGTATTACCTGGGGAAGGGGCCTGGGGAAAGCCGTGACGGCTGGATAGAAAAGCCCAGAGAGCCACATTCAGACATCGGGTTCCCCACCTTTGGCATAGCTTCTTATTTTCTCGTAAAATGCTTCTGAATGCCAGTTGCTGGAAAACACAGGAGAGAGTGCACTCATGCTTGGGTCTTGCTTGTGGGTTTCTCATTGCAGGCATCTGGTTGGCAGCTGTGAGAATAGGATGCTGAGCTAGGTGGGTCATTGGCCTAATCCAGCAGGCTCTTCTTACGTTCTTATCTGGACTGGAGGGCACCATGTTGGCCACTCTTGAACTAGAGTACGAAAGCTGTATACAAAATGTGGCCGGGGAGGGGCATTGCTCATGCTACAAGATGCTCTGTAGATCCAGGGTTATATACTTAAAACAAACAAACAAACACAAAAAAATTCCCTCCACTGCAGGCTTTTGGAACAATGTTATTGACAAGTAAATCTATTCAGCAACCAGGGACAGCCTGCGCATGAGGCTAGGGGAAGCAATTGCTTTTGGGTGGCAGGCTCTGGACTGTTGCAGAGAGGCAGGGAGAGACAAGGGACCGCAAGTTTGCATAGGTTGTGTCCAGCAGATGGCAGTATTAGAAATACAGGCATTGCACCAAACAGGTTACTTTGTGTTCCTGCCATGTTGAAAACTTGATCAGGCGATACCTTGAATTACGGTCAGATTGGTCATGCTGCAAAAACTGAAGTTTTTACCTTGCAATAGTCTTAAGTGAAGGAAGTATTCTGCAGATTTAATTAGGGTAGGTCAGCCTTCCGCAACCTCTAGGTGTTTGGAACTACAACTCCCATCAGCCTCAGCTGGCACAGCTGCTCTGAATCATATTTCCAGTAGGAAGAAAAAACCCCACAAAGGTAATACCTTCATTAGGGCCAGCTAAAACAGTGGCTCCCAAATGGGGCAGTGGGATTATCTAGTAGGGTGCTAAGAGGCAAGAGTTTGGCAGGGAGGTGCTAGAGATGCAAATGACCGTCAGACTTTGAAAAGCTGGTATCAGTGGATCAAGTTCATCCATTTGGTCGATTTAATTAAACTAAATAGTTTTAATTGGATTTTGACTAAATGTGCAATTAATTGTTACTGCTTTGAATTTTATTGTCGTATTATCTTCTTTAGTGGGTTGTGCAGAATGCAATTGTGAACAATGCTTTTCATGGGGTAGGATAGGGAGCACTGAGGATGAGTTTGTGGAACTAAGGGGGAAGTGGCCCAAATAAGTTTGGGAACCACGGAGCTAAAAGTTCACAAGGAAACATCTGAAACTGAAAAGTGTTTGCTCCGCAGGCTTTCGATCAACATGGAAATGAGCGATGCCCAAGACAAAGCATTGAAGGGGAAAGAAGCTGGTGTTGGAAGTCAAGGAGGCAACAGCAACGGAGCATCAGCAATTTGCCCACCGCTATCAAAAGGTGAAGGAACAAAATGCTTGCCAGACCCTTGTAAAGCTAAGCAGCCCTCGAAAAACAGCAGGGCTGAGCCAGCCCAAGAACTAAGAGGGGCAAAGTCTTCAGATAAGCAATCTGAGCAAGCGCCCAAACTGATGGGTCCTCCTCCTCCATCACCACTTAAGAAGACCGAAGGGAGAGCAGAGGTCAAATGCAAAATGGCTCCATGCCCAAATTCAGTGGCAAGGGACTCTGGGAAAGATCCAGGAGGCAAAGTGAAAGCTCCCAAGGAAACGACAAGGATAATGAAAGACTCTGTGAAAGACGGCAGATTGGAGACTGTGGAATCAGGTAGCTCACCTGCAGAAAGGGAAGAGAGAAGAAGACCCAGTCAGGTTGCCACGAAACCGACTGAAGATGCTGCGTCTTTAGCAGCCGGTAAAGTGGAGGAGGTCATCATTGGTAAGAAGCTGGACATGTGCTACCTAGACACGCCTGGGTCACATGGACACTACAAATCTAAAATATTTTGAAACTGATTCAGTGGCATTGAGGAAGGGGTTGGACACTGTCCATTGAGTGCAGTATTGCCCACACTGACTGGCAGTAGCTCTCCAGGATTTCAGGAAGGGGGTTCTTGTGGTCCTACCTGGAGATGCCAGGAGTTGAATCTGGGACCTTCTGCATGCCAAGCAAATGCTCCACCAGGGAGCTTTGACTCTTTCCCTTGTAGAGTTTCATTAGCAGTTTCCTATCCACCCACTGGCCAGACCAAGACCTGTTTAGGTCCAGCAAGGGAGGACTTTCATTTTTTTTTTTAATTGGAAATTTTATTTACAACATGACATAAACCCCCCACCCCCCAATACACCTTCATTAAACGTGAACATAACATGGGCTTTCAGACCAGGGGTGGGGGGGGGGGACAGTAGGGGCTTAATTTGCAAATAGTTCATTGAGATGAATTGGTCAATTCTGGCTCCCTTCAGTTTCTCATTTTTCCAATCTTAAATTCCATTCCTTTCATTTCCACTTCACTTTGCATTAAAAAAAAAAGTCCCGATGAAAATTCACCAGTATCTTAGTGTTAATTTGGTATGCCACTTTGCCTAACATGCACAAGAGGTTCCTAATGTAATGCATTTTTGCATACTAATATATGCATTTTGTATGCACACTTTAACCCCAGTACATACATTTTTGTACACATTCCCTTGGCTGGTGAAAGGCATAGCAAAACTGTGAGGAAGACAATGATTTTCAAGTGGGTGGGACATCACACAATATAGGCGTAATTGCCTACAGCGTACAGATATGCTTTTGACATTTTCACCTTGTGTCTTAACAGCCTCTCATGTCAAACTGGTTGGGCAGATTTCGGAAGCACTTAAAGACCTATAAGGCTGCATGGAATAATTAGTTGAGCAGTACTCACCATAACCAGTTATGATCAGATCAAGTTAATAGATTCCGTTGATTTAATACATTTTGTTGATTTATTTAAACTAAATAGTTTTGCTTGGTTTTTGACTACATGTGCACGCAAGAAAAACTAGTGCAATAAGCACCATTTGTTTCTGCTTCAGACGACAGCCCTCCGCCTCCTGCTCCTTTTGAACATCGGATCGTGAGCATCAAGCAAACTGAGCTGACGGCGTGTTACTCTGTGTGCCATCACGAAGTCTTGGGAGGGTGAGTCCCGCTAAAACGCCCTCATTATTTTTATATATTTAAAAATCATACCAGGTATGATAACATCTAAACCCAGGGGTGAGGGACGGGATACGGTTGCCAAACCAGAAGAGGAGGGAAGATCAGTGTTGCCCAAAGTGGGCAGTAGTGGCCTCTGGGGGTTGGTGGGGTTACCTAAGCAAGCAGGCGTGCCAACTTTAATAAAATATTGGAAGGAGGCCCAGGTAAGCCATATCCTGCATAAGCGATCACATGATGTGGTGCATGCACACCAGGCTCCCCCATCAACTTAGGGGGAGCCTGGCCCCCTCAAATATTTTATTGTAGGGCTGAAGATGCCTCAGAGTTGACTCCTAAGCAAGGGGGTGGCAGTGGGGCAGTGGAGATGGAAATGACTATCAGACTTTGAAAAACTAGTACCACTGGATCAAGTCCATCAGTTCTGTTGAATTAATTCAACTACATCATTTTAATTGGATTTTGAATACATGAGAAATTAATTGTTACTGTTTCTATTTTTTTATCATGCTGTTATCTTTATAATTATCATTATTATTCATTTCATTTGTATACCACTTTATATATGTTTTAAAAAATAATCTAAAAGCGGTTTGCAATAAAGCATCCAATGAAACAGTCCAGAATAAAACATTGCTGAAGAAAGTAAAGTATAAAATAGAGTACTGTACATTCAAAGCAACTTGATTAACGGGAACCTGAAATACTACCTGAAAAGATTTCAAAACAAAACATTGCCAAGGAGGTGAAGTACAGAATACATTTAACGCAGCAGAGTAAACAACAAACTCAAAACCAATTATCTTAACATTTCAATGGAAAACATTATAAAGAAAGTCAAATGTAAAATGCACATTTAAAACAACATAATTGGTGAGAGAATAAAGCATTATTCTCCAATGATGCTGCTGTTGCTATCAGTCATGCCAATGTTGGTTCATGTTAGGCAGTGGCTGTCGAAGTTTGGGCTTGATGATCTGGGTCTGCACTAAGAGGCAGCTAAGATGGTCTTCAGAACCGCAGTTCTGAATAATGCCCTTTTAATTCCCACAGTGGTTTAACAACTAGTCTCTTTTCCTAGGAGACTCTGGAAACTGTGTTGGAAACTGTGTAGCCGTATGGGTCTCCTAACAACTCTCATAACCCTTAACAAACCAGAGTTCCCAGGATTCTTTGGGGTGGAGCCATGCCTGTTTAAAGTGCTATGATACTGCTTTAAACACATCGTGCAGATGGGGCCTTACTCAGGTCCTTTCATGTGAATGGGTCTATCCTGGGTAGGACTTAGTGGAGAAAACCCTACAATGTTACTTTGACATTTCCCAACATCTGGACTGAGGTTGTAATGTAGAAATTGAGAAGGCCCGCCCGTAGCTATTGACTCTGGCATCATTTAGAAACAAACAGATTTAGCACAGAAATATCCACTCGAAGGAAGCTTCGGTAATGTGTTGCTAAAGGACAGAGACCAGGCGTGTCCAGTTACGGAACCCAACGCAGACCACCGTCAGGTTGTCATTCCACGGTGAAAACGAGGAATACAAATGGGGTGTAATATTTTAACGTAAGCACTGGACAACTGGCTGGAAAGATCAAGCCTAATCCCCCCCTAAGCTGGGAGAAAGAAGAGCCCTTAGACCTCCCGACCTCCACAATTCCGTTCCCTTTGTACCAAGTTATTTTTAATTGACGATAAGAATAGTTTGTCTCCGGAGGCGTCTGCGGTGAGTGGGCCTCTAAGCCGCTTCCCCTCCGGGCTTCACTGCTTTGTCTTCTCCATCAACAGGGGGCGTTTTGGTCAAGTTCACAAGTGCACCGAAAAGTCAACGGGACTCTGCCTGGCAGCCAAGATCATCAAAGTGAAAGTAGCAAAAGAAAGGGTAATTATATCCTCGTTAAAAATAAAAAAGCAAGGCAAAGAGTGGGGACCTTTTCTTTCAAGCCAAGTCTAGGCATTGCCTCCAAGCAAGACATCCTACTCTCCCTTTCTAGCTGTCTCTCTAAACCCCATGGCTACAGAGCATCCTCAGTCCTGATTAGGTTGTTCTAGGGCTCTTCTGCTCTTTGGGATTTTTTGTGTGCATTTTTGCAAACCTTGAGGTCTCCCCAAACATGGTGATACCAACCTCCTCTCTCAGCTGAATCTGTTTTGGTTACAAACTTGGCAACACTTGCCAGTCGAGTTTGCTGTTAGAAGGACTGGATAGTTCTTCCCACAATCTAAAGCCCAGTGGGGTTAGATCCTGGGACTAATTGGGGTTTGTGAGAAGAGATCAGGAACGGTACGCAGGTACACAGTACACAGGTTCGCATTTGATCACAAATAGCAGATCCAGGCCTGCAAATGCACAACAGTGAGTATTGATTCCTTTTAGGCTATGCACTTGGTTTGTGGTGGGCAGTTTGTTGGTGCGACCCAAAGACCTTTTAACTGGAAGCTAGACTCCATTGAAATCAGCAAATCACACTTCCAGGCTGCTTGCATTTTGGGATACAGCTTACTCCCAAGCAGGCTATTGTTTATGGGAAAGTGTCAGGATTCGGGGCTCAGCTTCCTCTCGCCCTTGGCTGTAGATAAGCAGTACAAAGGAATCTCTTACCAGTAACAGAAATGTTTAATGAATGCAGCAAAAGAACAAGTGACCATTCTCGGAGTGCAGGTGCTCCCAGTTAAGGTTTCCCCCATTTCCCTCTAATCACTTCCGTCCTCTCATCTCCTAACCTCCTGATCTCTCAGCCATTGAGCCTTTTGCACAGCCACCTTATCTAATCTTCCAGCCTTGGGACTGAGAGGCTGCACATCTTCCAGTGTGAGAGAGTCGGCTAGCTCACACTCTTCCCGTCCTTCTTCTTGCTGTTCACCTCCCAGTTCTGTCTGACTATTGTCTTCCGAATTGTGCCCCTCAGCAAACCATTGTTCCAAATCAACACTACTCCACTGCTCCTGTGGAGTTTCAGGATCCTGGCCATGAGCAGGGGGAGGGGAGGCTCCCACCATTAGTCATCAGAGTTGTACTTCTCAGCCTGGTTTCTGACAGAAAGCCACCTTAGCGGTGCAGGATCACCCAGATCCCAGAGCCCTAGCAATGGACAAATAAGTCAATAGAAATAAGTTCATAGAGATCTCACTGGAACCCGCCACTGTTGCTGTGCCTGTGTGGGTGCCGCCATGTTACCCAGCTAAGGGAGGCTGCAGCGGGTGGGTTGGTGTGGCCTGCAACAGGTGGGGGGGGCAGCTTTCTGTTTTGCCTCAGGCTGCTCCTGCTGTGTGCCTTCTAAACCCCCCACCCTGCTGAAACGCAATGTCTGCAGACTGCTGCTAATGCTCACAATACTCTTAACCTCTAATATTTCAGGAGGAGGTGAAAAACGAGATCAACATCATGAACCAGCTAAACCATGTGAATTTGATCCAGCTCTATGATGCTTTTGAGTGCAAGAACAACCTCACCTTAATCATGGAATAGTGAGTCATAAAATATCTTTTGAGTGTCTTGTGTGAGCAACTGCAGGAGAAACGCTATAGAACTTGTCTGTTATAACATTGCATAAACCTGCCCTCCCCGCCGGGTGCCTTCCAGATGTTTTGGACTACAACTCCCATCATCCTCGATCACTGGCCAGACTGGCTGGGGCTGATGGCAGTTGTAGTTAAGGGCACAAGGCTGGCAAAAGTTTGAGCAAACAAAATAATATATAATATATAAAACACCTTGGGTTGCCCTTTATTCCCAACTTTACCAGTTGAAATTGAACCTTGCTGATCTATTGATAAATCAGTTAAACCTGTGATCCTGTGCACACTTACTACAGGATGAGTTCTACTGAGTTCCACTCCTGTTCCCTCTCACAGAGCTACAATTCCCAGGGTGGTTTTATCACCAATCCCTCTTCCCAAGGGGCTCTGGGGGCTGTAGCTTTCTGAGGTCTGCTAGCACCTCTCAGCACCCTTAACAAACTACAGTTCCTGGGATTCTTTTTTTTGGGGGGGGGGGGGAAGCCATCACTGTTTAAGTGGTATGGTACTGTTTTAAATAGGGATGTGGGTGGTGCTGTGGTCTAAACCACTGAGCCTAGGACTTGCCGATCGGAAGGTCGGCGGTTCGAATCCCCGCGACGGGGTGAGCTCCCATTGCTCTGTGCCAGCTCCTGCCAACCTAGCAGTTCGAAAGCATGTCAAAGTGCAAGTAGATATATAGGTACCTCTCCGGCAGAAAGGTAAACAGTGTTTCCGTGCACTGCTCTGGTTTCGCCAGAAGCGGCTTAGTCATGCTGGCCACATGACCCGGCCAGTAAAGCGAGATGAGCACCGCAACCCCAGAGTTGTTCGCGACTGGACTTAACTGTCAGGGGTCCTTTACCTTTACTGTTTTAAATGCATATTGTGGATGAAGAGAAGAAGAAGAAGAAGAGTTTGGATTTGATATCCCGCCTTTCACTCCCCTTCAGGAGTCTCAAAGCGGCTCACATTCTCCTTTCCCTTCCTCCCCCACAACAAACACTCTGTGAGGTGAGTGGGGCTGAGAGACTTCAGAGAAGTGTGACTAGCCCAAGGTCACCCAGCAGCTGCATGTGGAGGAGCGGAGACGCGAACCCGGTTCCCCAGATTAGGAGACTACCGCTCTTAACCACTACACCACACTGGCTCCTATCAGTGGGGCTATCAGTGGCTCTACCTGTCATTGACTCAGGCTCCACCTCCTAGCTGCCCTGCTTTCTGCTCCAGTTGTTCCAGCAGGTACTGCCACTGCCTGATCCATCAGGTTCAAATTGCAACACAAGGGATTTTCACTAAAGATTAGGAAGAACTTCTTGGTGGCACAAGCTTTCTGACAGTGGAATAGGCTGCTTTGGAAAATGGTGGACTTAGGCTGGATGGCTCAGTTGGGATAGTTGGCTAGATAACTTTTGATGTCCTTCCAACACTTATGAGCCTACGACTGATGTCTGCTGAAGTTGGGACCTAATGTATGTAAATCAATTGAGCTGAAAAGAGGATACCCATCTCCCTTCCATGTTCTGTTCTGTCTCCTTATTAGTGTTGATGGTGGTGAACTGTTTGACCGGATCACAGATGAAAACTACAACCTCACTGAACTAGACGCTATCCTTTTCACCAAACAAATATGTGAGGGCATCTATTACCTGCACCAACAGTACATCCTTCATCTGGATCTGAAGGTGATGGAAATTCCTGCTCCATGCCAATTTATAGCCAAAATAATTGCAGCTTATGCAATTGCAGCAAAGAAAATCTGAGCAAGAATTTTGAACCAAACCCCCGTAAGAACAACCCCAAGGTTGATTTAAATTTGATTCAGTTTTAACCAGAGATTATAGGAGACTTCTGCTTTGTGCATTTTTATTTATTTCATTGACTTATGGCTATGAACAATCAATATTTATTGTATTGTTAAAATTCAGTAACACCTCCCATTCACAATCCAATGAGAATGGTGGCACCATTTTTTTCCTGATCTTTTTTTTTTTAAATGATATTTATTGAGAATTTAAAATTACAAAGAAGAGGGATAAAAATAAAAAGGAAAAAAGATAGACAAAAAAAAAAAGGAATTCAACAATACAAGTCAATAAAAAGAAAAAAAGGAAAAAACAAAACACACAATGCATCAAAACAAAAAACAAAAGCAGACAAAAAATTTAAAAACCAAATCCAATATTCCCAAATCTTTATCTTTCATTAACTTGTTTCATCGACCTCTTCACACCTCCCTTTTTTGTATTCTAGTTATTAATTATCTCAGCAAATCCTTTCCATCTTTCACTATATTCTGTCATTAAATTACCTTAATTTATTTTAACCTTATCGTACCATAAAAAGCCCTAAAGCTTAAAACTTAGAACTTATTTATACATAATTCCTTAAAGCATTTCTACTAAAGCCAAATAGTTTCATTCCAACATTTTTTCTAACACTCATTAATTTTACAAAAATTCTCTAAATGAATTTTTTAAACTTTCTTCTAATCTTCATCCATCGTCTCTTCTTCCTGGTCTCGGGTTTTGTCAGTCCTTTCTATCCCTTCCATCTAGTCCATCAACCTGGTGACCTTCTATCCGAGGCTCTTAAGTCTTTTCCATGTCCCTTCTGCAGGTCTTCTTCATATTTATACCTGCACTTTACTTTGTCTTCTGCTGATCTTATTCTTAATTTCCTTCCTTTCTCACTGAGGGTAGATCTCGGGAGACTCCAACTTGACAGTATCTTTATCCCTTCTCGACAGGTCAGCCCATTCTCCATAGTCAGCACTGAAATCCAAAAGATATTTGAAGGCATATTTCAAAGTCCCTCCAAGGTTAAGGGCCCCCACAACTCCAAACTCCCCCGACCCAAAACCAGATCCCAAATGTCAAAACATCCCTGCATAGGGGGGGTCTATCCAACTTCCCATCTCCAAACCAAACAGTACTCCATCTCTCCAAATCTGACTTTTTCCAGGTTTAGTCGTCAGAAACAACAACTTATGTTCCTGCAAGGCCGCAACTCTCTCCATTTCTGTTACTTGAGGTTCAGCAACAACCTCCTCCTTTGTCTTCTGCACAACTTGCTCCATTTCTATTACTTGAGGTTCAGCAACAACCTCCTCCTTTGTCTCCTGCACAACTTGCCCTGTCGAAGCAAATTCCTGGATTGGTTCCTGCGTGGTTTCTATATAGGTATTCACTGTTTGTCCAAAATTGCTAACTGCAACAGTCATCAAATCCATCTTCTCATGTAGCTGTTCCAGTAAAGCGTTTGTCTTGCAAAAAGCAAGCACTAAAACTTCTTCTGGGCACATTCTTATTCAAGGTCAAATGTCTGGTTCTCACAATCTTTAATCTCCACAGCTGTAGAATTCCCCAGATTGACTCCGGCAACAGTTTCACAAGCTCCCTCTAGAGGAAACAATTTCTGTTGGTATCCGTCTTTTTAAAAGCAGATCCAGCAACAAAATTCCTTTCGTTTTTCAGATATTTTGTTCCTTTTAAGTGCAAAAGGAAACATTGGAATCAATATGTTTCTCTTTTTTAACCATCTGTCAAAACACGTTTTATTCACAGTCAATGAACTTCCCCAAAGCGTCTGTCTCTGACACCCCGTTCCCAGGTTCAAGACGGTGGAAATTTATCTTTCTTTACTCTCTCTCCTGCAGGTTTAAACAGTCTAGGATTTTCCCCCTCTTCTCCTGCTTCCAAGGGGGGTTTGGTAGTTTTAAATGATGGAAATTTAGTTCTTTACAAACGACTTTCCAGACTTTAGCTTGCAATGTCTTTGCTTCAATCTATTTACAAAAGCGGAAGGTGGACTTCCTGTTTAGACCTTCCCGCTTCGGTGCCAAATTAAGATGTTTCATAATCCAATTTTCCGTTCTACTCACGGGCAGTTGTTTAAAATCCAATTGTCCACAGGAGAAAGTCAGCGCTCTCCGGCAACAGCAATGCAGCTTTACTCCGTGAAAAGAGCAGTCGATTCAAAGCACCGCGCCGCTCACTCCACGTCACTCCGGATCCCCGAAACCGGGTTTCCCCACGAGTAGGGGAGGCGCAAAAGGTGCCGGCCGAATCCCACGTCCACAGGCTTCTCCCGCCTGTGGTTTTTAGTGGGTCTCCGCCTCGCCGTGGCGGTCCAGACCCTAGTTTCACGAAGCGGATTCCTCCCGGTCAGAGGAAATCCGCCATTGCCGGAGGCGCTAACCCGGAAGTCTCATTCCCCCCCCCCCCCGATCTTTTATACTTTACTTACTTTAAAAAAACAGGGTTTTTGTTTGTTTTAAAAACAGCTTTATCATAATTTAAGGTTATGTGTTGTTGATATCTGTGTTGCCAAAGTCAGCTGGTAAGCTTCATGGCTAAGTGAGGATTTCAACCCGGGTCTGTCTGGTCCTAGTCCAACAGGCTAATCACAACACTTCATTTGAAATATCAAAGTCAGGCATCCAATGCTAAAACCCAGTGGGCAAAATTCATCATGTTTTGGCGCCTGAGCAAATAGCATTTGAGCTTGGGGCTTTCCCCTTGCCATGCTGAAACATAATTTTACACAGATGAGCTTTGTAATCACATACAAAGATTGCAGATGACGACTTCTCAGATTAATCTAAGCATGCTTTCTTCTTCCTCTGCAGCCTGAGAACATACTGTGTGTGAATCGCACAGGAAACCAGATTAAAATAATTGATTTTGGATTAGCAAGGAGGTAAGCCTCCCCACCCCTCCACTTCTTTGGGCTGCTAATTTTTTAAAAATCTAATACTTTATATCCATGTTTGGGAGTTCACGCAATAATGTTCACGCTAATGCAACAGGTTCCCCCCTTACTTCTTCCCCTGACCCCACACCCCTTGGCTCTTGAGGAGATGTTGGAAAAACGCCTTGAACAGTGCACAGAGTGGGGGGGGGCAGGGGGGGATTGTTCTATTCAGCAAGCTGAAATGCTTGAGCTGATATCGTAATAGCATGATGCCGAATTCCTCTCCTTGCAATGGAAAGGCGAAGCCTGCGTGTTTTCAGTGGCATGATAGAGTGTTTAGCTATGCAGTATAGTACAGCTGGGAACCTCCAGCTCCCATCAGCCCCAGTCAATGTAGCCATTGGTCAAGCACGATGGGAGTTGTAGTCCAACAACCACTGTCAGGTTCATCATCTATGCATGGTCCATGCGCCTGCCTACTGGAGCACCACATCATCGATGACAAATCTGCACCTCTCTCTTTCTTTTTCCTCATTGCTCATCAAGGTACAAGCCCCGTGAGAAGCTGAAAGTTAATTTTGGCACGCCGGAGTTTTTGGCTCCCGAAGTGGTGAACTATGACTTTGTGTCGTTCCCGACAGACATGTGGAGCGTGGGCGTCATAGCATACATGCTGTGAGTAAACGCTCTGGAGAACATTAGCTCCGTAGAAAAGGCCACCGAGTGGCATTTTGTAAGGTCAGGATGCAGAAGACTTCTGTCGAGAGACTTTGTGGGCCACCAGGGAGTGGATCATTGCGTTATCCTCCAGTGTGGGGATGAGGGATATGGAAAAGAGAAGAGGAGTGGTGTCACATAGCAAAAGAGGGAAAACCCCTTGTGACGCAGCTATATTTACACACTCAGACCGTAGCACCAAAGCAGCACTAGTTGGAGCGCATTGGCACATTTTATTTATTTATCTTATTATTATTTATTAAATTTATTGGCCCTCCAGATGTTGTTGCAGTCCAGCCTCAGCCAGAACGGCCAGTATTCAGGGAAGCTGATGATGGGACTTGTAGTCCAGCAACAACTGGAGTGCTGCTGATTGCCCATCTTTATAGGCTGGATTGCTGCCCCCTTGCAGAATGTTCCAGAGAGTTGCAGCAGCCCCCAAGAAGGCCCTGCACAACGTGCTGTTCTTCCACTGCATCAGACTAGACAGATTGCACAGCCTCTTGGGCATGAAAAGAGGCAGGAATGTCTCCATATGACACCTTGGTTTCCTGTTTCAGTGTGAGCGGCTTGTCACCCTTCTTGGGAGAAACTGACACGGAGACCATGAATTACATTGTCAATTGCAGCTGGGATTTTGATGCGGAAGCGTTTGAACAAGTGTCGGAAGAAGCAAAAGACTTTGTTTCCAGGCTCCTGATAAAGGAGAAAAGGTACAGTGCCTCTCGTTTGAAAAAGCAATTTATTCCTAATAATTCTTGTTGCCACCCCTTGACTTGGATACAATCACCCAGCCTGCCAGATTCCCTTGAAAATTCTCAGCCCAGCTGAATCCACCTCTGTCCTTGTGCCCAATGAACCTGCTTCCCATCTGTTGCACACCAAAGGGATGGAGGGGAATGGGCTTCTATGGTCTGCATGTATACTGAGATATGGAATCTTTCTCAAACCAAAGAATGAGTCCAGGACTGGTGCACTCTCTGTGGGTCGTTTCTGATGCATGGCAGGGCATGCATCAGATTCAGAATTCCTGCACAGGCTTGTCTCTTACCTACAGCATTAAGATCTGAGATGAGTCTCTGCCTGCTATGCCTTAAAAGAAGCAGAATCTTGTCTCCAGTGGTGCTAATACAGGTAATAAGAGATCCCTTGTCTTCCAGTCTTAGCAGTCAGTGCTCAGATTGCAGATAACAGATCTTGCGGATGTGATTGGCCCAGAGTTGGAAAGATGACAAAGTCCCTACCAGAGAATAATGGCAAACCAAGTTGATGGACTATGCCGAGATGGCAAAGCTGACTGGAAAACTCAGAAACCAAGGGGATAAAAACTTTATAAAAGAATGGGGAAAAATTGTAAGTTATCTAGGAGACCACTGTAAGCAGATGGAAACAAGAGCAGGATTCTGACACACTTGTAGTGTAAAAAACATGGATAATATGGTTCAATATATAAACTGGAGTACAGACTAATATGCAGTTGTGGATATTTAAAATAAGACTCTATGGACGGGATGGGGGGAAGTCTTGAGATTTGGAGAATCTCCACATACAGTATGACTTTATTGATGTTTGTTTATTTGTATTTTTTATTTGTAAAACTAATAAAATTTCTTGAAAATAGATAACAGATCTCAGTGACTGACAGGTGGGTGTGATTTGCCTAAAACGACCTCGCAGACCAAATTCAGAGGCCCGCAGGCTAGAACTTCCCCACCACTGATGTAGACCATCCCTGCAACCTGTTTGCTTTCATTTGGTTCCAAAATAATCAAACAAGACATTCAAGCCTAATGCTGAATGACTGTTGTTTCATTTCCAGAGAAGGTCAGATTCCACCCCATGTGTCCATTCACAAATTCTCTTCCACCCTCCCTCGTATCTTCACAGTGGCAGAACAAGTGCCGCAAATTGCCTTAAACACGAATGGCTGGCAGACCTGCCTGGCAAAGCCAAGAAGTCCAAGGTGCGCTTGAGGTCTCAGCTGCTACTACGGCGTTACATGGCTCAGAGGAAATGGAAAGTAAGCTCTGCATTGACTTCTGACACTTTTTCCAAGCACCATTCAAGGTTATTGTGACTGTCATCCATGATGCCCACTGGCTGCCTCTCTCAGCTTGCCAGGCCATGTTCAGGTTCTTCTTACTCAGAAATGAAAACCCTAAACAACTTGGGACCAGGGGTGCCTCCAGACGACCGTTCTGTTAGCAAGCATATTCTGTAATACGTCATTGAGGCTCACCTGGCACCATGATTACATGTATTTAGGCACCAGGCAAAAACTTCCCTTTTTAATCAGGCCTTTGGCTTTTATCTATGGCCTTTTTGAGTGGGTGGGATGTTTTCATGTAGGCTTCATGTTTTGTTTTTTGCTTAAAGTATTGTAAGTCGCTTGAAGCTGCCATGGCAAAAAAGGTGATCAATTTAATTACAGTGGTACCTCAGGTTACAAACGCTTTGGGTTACAAACGCTTAAGGTTACAGACTCCACTAACCCGGAAGCAGTACCTCGGGTTAAGAACTTTACCTCAGGATGAGAACAGAAATTGCGTGGTGGCGGCGGCGCAGTGGCAGCGGTAGGCCCCATTAGCTAAAGTGGTACCTCAGGTTAAGAACGGGTTCAGGTTAAGAACGGACCTCCGAAATGAATTAAGTTCGTAACCAGAGGTGCCACTGTAATTAATAACAATTGATGCAACAATGGTGCATTTATGCAGTCAGTGTGCTTCTGAGTATCAGCTGCAGGAGATGGCCGTTGCCTTCCAGCCCACCATTTGTGGGCTTCCAAAACACATCTGCTTGGCCACTGTGCTAAACACAACAGAGGATTGATCCAGCAGGAGTTTTCTTACATTCTTATGAGATTTCCCGACAGAACATCTGCTCTGCATGCAAGAGGTTCTAGGTTCAATCTCCAGGTGGGCCTGGGAGAGTACCCTGCCTGGAATCTGACAACACTGAACTAGATGCACCAAGAACCTGACTTGGTGTAAGGCAGGCATAGGCAAACTCGACCCTCCAGGTGTTTTGGGACTACAGCTCCCATCACCCCTAGCTAACAGGACCAGTGGTCAGGGATGATGAGAATTGTAGTCTCAAAACATCTGGAGGGCCGGGTTTGCCTATGCCTGGTATAAGGGAACTCCCTGTTCCCAATCCATTTGAATCTGACATCTCCTGTATGGCCATTGCTATTCCTCGGTATCTGAGCTGTCTTGGTTGCAGTGCTGGAGGAGTAACCACAAGAAAGGCAGTGACTGCAAAAAGGCGTTTGCTCCACAAAGATATTAAGAATTTCATGTCCCGCCTCCCCAGGAGGGTTCAGGTATCGCTCTGCATTGTCTGCGTGACAAAGACCAGAGGCAGCTGCTGCTTTGTTCTTTGAGCCTGTCAACACCTTGACATGCCCCAAATGGTTGCAATTAACAGCAGGGTACCTCCAGGCATTGAGTATGCTGGCAACTGGGCAGAAAAAGGATACCCATCAGGCTAGATGAGTAGGAAGCTGTCCAAAAGGTCCCCGTGAGCCGAAAGAGGGCATATGCATGTGAGGCCCTCGTCAAGAGCCAATACGCCTCTGAATGAGAGTTGCCGAGAATCGCAGGTGGGGAGAAGACTCTTGTGCTTGCATCCTGGGCTAGATGGCCCATTGGCCTGATCCAGTAGTGTCGATACGATGAAGCAAGATTCAAACCATTTCCAGCTCCATTTCCTGTGTGACACAGCACTCAACCCTGTCACGCTTAACATCCCGGTGTTGTTTTCTTTTGCAGAAGCATTTCTACGTGGTGGCCGCTGCCAACAGGCTGAGGAGGTTCCCAAGCATGACTGAGAATCCTGCATAACCTGTTGTAGAAGACCGAAAATGGAAGGACTCTGGTTTTTAGCCATTGGCCCACCCTCACCCGTTTTGGCAGTTAGGATGCATTTCCTCCTCTCCCATTATCCCATAGCCACAAGCGTGCTGAAGTTTCTGCCTTTGAGCTCTAATAGGATAGAACGGGACTTGCTATACAAGGAGGAAATGGGTTCTGTTGTGGAGGGGGACAGCGACCATGAGTTGCCTCATAATACCTTCATTTCTCTAATTATATCTTAGTGCTTAGCAGTGACCCTATCTGAGTGGGACTGGTTTCCTTTGAGTAGTTTGAGAACTGTGAGGCGTATGCTATAACAAAGCAACACAGTGTGTCCTTGCCTACAGCTGATTTCTGCCTGTTTGCTTTCAGCTTAGTACATTGGGTGGGTACAATGAAACAAATTGTGTATCTTCCCAAACATTTGTTTCCCATTGGACACTTTTGCTTCCTCTGCTGCTTCTTGATCCCATTTGCCTCCTTCCGCTTTGTCGCCACTGCTGGTTGCAATAAATAATTATATTAATTCAGGATGAAGGGTAGAGATGTTTCAGGCTTGCGGGATTTACTTTCTATTTTACAATAATACTGAGGTCCCTTCACCTGAGCCAGGTGTAAAAACAGTGGCTATGAGGGCAGCACCACTTACCTTAAGCATCACACGAGACTCACAGTGGGACAACTTACACAGACAAGTGTGAATGTTCATCAAAGTTCCTGCAGATCAAGAAGTTGATCTCCAAATTCTTAAAATCAGCCAGCAGACACTCAAAAGGCAACCAAGTAACACTTCTCTTTTGGTGAGGACAAGATGAGCAATTGAAAAAAACCAACCAGCTATCACAGCAAATTAATTCTTTTTCTTTATGTTTACTTAGTTGGAAATTCTTGCAGATAGACCTACCACAAATCAGCAATTACAAATTACATCCTGATGACACACCTGTTTAAGCCCCAATTGCCTGTGGTGATCCACACAAATGTTTGCTGTGATCCATAACATCAGTTATTATCGACTTATTACAAGACACCTAAGGAGGGAGGTGCAGTCTCACTTTGTGGGGAAGGCAGGATATATTAGGGATCAACCTTTTGGGGCCTGTTTGCAAACTGGAGAAACTGTCATTCAACATGCTAAACCACTACACTACCAACTGGCTATTCTCAGTAGGGCGGGTTTTCTTTTTTTACACTTCCTTCAGCAGCCTCAGGCATGCATATTTTAAACTTCCACATAGGGGATTCATCAATGACGAGTTCTGCATGCATATGATAATTTGGAATGCGGTTGACTGGCAGTAAGATAGGGAAACAACACTAACTCTGATTTATATATTGATCTCTGTCATTTGTAAAACAAGACTAAAAAGGAGAAGAAGAAAAAATATAGAAATAAAAGTATTTATTGATGTTGCTGCAAGGAAGTAATGTCTTACACAAAGCCACAATAAAAATAAACCTGAGAGACAGAGTTAAAATGCGGAGTTAAAAATTGTGTTGTCTAAAAAGATTTTGGAAGTGGGAATGAGTTGGCAGCAGGCATATTCAAATACCAAATCTTTGCACCCTGATTTGAAGTGTCTTCCAGGGAAGCAACTTCCATTGCAAATAATGGTTTACATCTGAACAAGCATGGTTATGGCTGAGATGCCTGGATTGCCAAATCCAGAATTTGTTGTAACATGCAAGGTTTCCTCCACCTCCAAAAATCTGAGCTGCGGCACAGAAGTTCTTTCTCACTGCAAAAACACTTCCAAGCTTCCTTGAACAATATAACACTGAGTTCACACAGGCCCTTAACAGCAAAATAAAGAGCCCACACGTTTTGAGGGCCATTTCAGTAGTGTAGCCTTCCTGACCAAGGAGAACCAATCAGTAGGGCGGGCTTTCTGCACTCATCCCGGAAGCCTCCAGGGGAGGAAGCAGGAAGCAGAGGCCAATTCCCACAATCCATGTTTTGTGCTATGACACCCAGCTGGGAAGCGTGCACGCTCAAATCAGTGCCCAAGAAAAACCATCACGAAGGTTGCTGGCCTAAAAATACCATCGATTCTAAAAATCCCAGAGGAGCTGCCTGCTCAGGTCAAACACTGTCCCTTTGTGATTTAGCTGCGCTTTCCAAAATTCTCCTCTTCCATTCTTCATACTCTTCTTTTGCCTCCGTTTCAATTTTCGGACGCTTGCGAGGGGCCTCTGCTTCCGTTTCATTTGCTGTTGTGGGGCGGAAAAGAGAGAAGACTTTGGAGAAGATGCTCGTACAACAAGTAGTCTGGAAGAACCCAAATCAAGTATACTTCTAGCTGGTCAAGGACTTGCTCCACCCTCAGTCATCAAGTTCTTTCCCCCCCAAAGATATATTTACGTATGAAAGTATTTATAGCCCTGCCTTCTTGCAAAGCATCAGGGCAGTGTGCAACCATATTAAAATAGTAATAAAAGAAATGCAAAACAATCATTAAAAGGTCTGGTTGCTCAAGGGACCTTTCAGACAGCTGCATAGGCCTGCTGGCATGAATAAAGGCCTTCAATAGATGCTGGAAATTTATAAGGGAGAATGCTTGACAAATCTCCGCTGGAAGAGGGCTCCACAGAACAGAGGCCAGTCAATCTTATTTAACACTGAGGACAAGTATTAGCACCTCTTTCTGCTATATGTCTGCAAACTTTGGGGCTCCTTTCAGCTTGCAGACACCTCCCTCTTGTGGCTAGATAGCAAATGCTTTAGCTAGATAAGCAACAGCACAACATTGGGAATAAAGGGAGCAATAGATGTGGCAGAGTTCTCTTGATTCATCCCCAGTTCTAACATTTGCGGAGAATCAAGATGACTAGTGTGTCCTTGTCTTCCCTTTTTATTTTACTCTTATTTATATCCTGCCTGCTGTTTCAGAATTCAAAATGGAGCCCATCCAGGCACTGCCCGAATCATGACCAGTTTAGCTTATGCCAGGTTCCCACATTTGGTTGCCTTAGACCAAACGTGGACCCAATCTTCCAGGCCAGGAATGTGGCTTTGCACAATTGCTTGAGAAACACAGTTATGTCTGACTTGAATGCAGAACACTTCCATCACTGGAGGAACCTGTTTCCTGCTGCAGACATTAACTCAGAGGCAGGGGCTCAGCATGAACTGTAAGGGTGCGCAAAGGTCTTGCAGGAGATGGTTGGCTTAGAACAGCTGTGGGGATGGGGGAACCTCCAGCTCTGAAACCTAATTAAATTCCCTATTTGGTCCATGGGGCTTTTTTTGGCCAAGCTACGTCCACCTGCCCTGTACCTGGCATCAGGTGTGTGTGGCGCTGTGGGTTAAAACACTGAGCCTAGGGCTTGTCGATCAGAAGGTCGGTGGTTTAAATCCCCGTGACGGGGTGAGCTCCTGTTGCTCGGTCCCAGCTCCTGCCAACCTAGCAGTTCGGAAGCACGACAAAGTGCAAGTAGATAAATAGGTACCGCTCCGGCGGGAAGGTAAACGGCGTTTGCGTGCACTCCTCTGGTTCGTCAGAAGTGGCTTAGTCCTGCTGGCCACATGACCCGGAAGCTGTACACCGGCTCCCTCGGCCAATAAAGCGAGATAAGCGCCGCAACCCCAGAGTTGGCCACGACTGGACCTAATGGTCAGGGGTCCCTTTACCTTTACGTCCACCTGCCCTGTACCTGGCATCATGTGTGTGTGTGTGTAACAAAATGTGTGTAACAGGTAAAGTAGCTCCTACGTGATTTCAGGCACTGCTGATCACAGATGCTCGCAAAGCACCATGCCAGCATGACAGGTAGGTGGCTAACCACACCTATCAAAGCTGGTCCACATGTGTGTCTGCGTGGAGCTAAGAATCCAGCCAGTGGTGCCTATTCCTCACCTACAGCACATGGATGCACACACCAGCTCCTGTGGCCTTTACACAGACCAGAAGATGATCGGGTCTATCTATAAATATATAAAATGTGGTATGTCGTGGAATGTTGCCAAAATTGTGGTATTACTATTTTATGCCAATTGCTACCTTGTTAAGTTCAAGGTCTTGGTACTAACATAATACAGTGGTACCTCGGGTTACATATGCTTCAGGTTACAGACTCCGCTAACCCAGAAATAGTACCTCGGGTTAAGAACTTTGCTTCAGGATAAGAACAGAAATCGTGCAGCGGCAGCAGGAGGCGCTATTAGCTAAAGTGGTGCTTCAGGTTAAGAACAGTTTCAGGTTAAGAACAGACCTCCAGAATGAACCCGAGGTACTTAACCCGAGGTACCACTGTAAGGCCCTTTACAACTTAGTACTAGGTTACCTTAACCCATAGTAGATTGCTATGGTCTGTGGGAGAGTTTATCCTACCAGTTCCAAAGATCTCAGAAGCCTGCTCTGCAGTAACTCAGAGCGGGGCTTTTAGTGTGGCTGCCCCTGTTCTCTGCAATACACTTTCCCGGGGAGATACTCTCTGTACTTTCCAGAAACAACCGAAGACGTTTTAGTTCTGAAAAACCTTCCCAGCTGAACGAAAAGGCTGCAAGGACTACTCTGTATGGTTTTAGTTTGGTTTTAAATGTATTGGCTGTTTTTTGTTTTTAACTATCTTTACCGCACCTTGGTTGTTTAGAATGCAACTAATAAAAACAACAAAACATCGCTCTAAATATCACTATAAAAACAGCAAGACGACTTTTTGACTTTTACCAACCCTGGACGCCCCAAACTGGTTCATCCAACACAGCTGAGAACACTTTCCTATCACTGAAGCTGCTCTTAGAGCCTGGCTCCCAAGTTTCCAACAAAGGACCCTGTTTTGCAGAAGCAGTAGGCGAGCGAGTCAAGTTTCACCTACCAGCATTCTTGCCAAGGCCTTCCAGCAAGGTCTCCTGAGGTTTGGAGGCCTCCATGGCCAGTGGAACACTTTCACCTTTGGAAGAAGAGAGAACAACCTCCTCAGTGTGGTTTATGTGAAATCTGGACTTCTAGACCAGGGTGGGAAGTCGTTACCATCATCCAGCCAATTTTCAGGGATGATGGGAGGTGGCATTCGGCAGCTTCACAGGCTCGCCACCTCTGTTTCAGATCATGGGTAAAATTTATCACCTGCACATGCTGGAGAGAGGACTGAGGCTACAAGGGATGAGTAAGAAATACGTACGGCCCATTTGCTGGCTTATCTTCTCTAGCTGGCCATGGAGACGGTCAAATATGGCTTTCTTCACCCCAGACGCAGCTACCATTTTGTTCTTATCCACTTTAAGTTTCAAACACCTGCAAGAAGAGGCTGGCTGATTTTCAAAAGGATCATCCAACCAAATATTTCACCATACTCTTCACTCTGATTGTAAACAGTCATTTGCCTGTAGCAAGTAAGAGTTGCCTGCAGGAAGCCTGACATCTAGAAAATGCAGGGGTGGCCAAAAATAGTGCCCTAAAGATCCTGCTGAACTACAACTCCCATCAGCCCCAGCAAGCATGACCCACGGCCAGGTGCAATGGGTGCTGTAGTTCATCTACATCTGGAGTTCCTTGAAGTGCAACTATGATGGAAAGGACAATGCTAGGGAGGGCAATCCTTGTGTACTGTCTTCTAAACTGAACTGCACTCCCCTCTGTCCATGAGCTGTTGGGCAGGCTGGGAACAGGATGATATTGATGGGGAATGTGTGTGTGTGTGAAATCCTGTGTTGCGGAGGATGGACTAGGTGAACGTTGGAGCCCTTCCAATTCTGCAATATTAAGCTTCTATGAATGGGCCCATTTACCATCAGCTCAGGCCCCAGCCATGAGTATGTGGCCCTTGAGTGCCTACTCCCTGCTGTGTGTGGCCCTCTGGGGCAAAAAATCTGCTAACTTCTGTTCTAAACAATCTCTGCATTTTGTCCTGGTGCAGAATCCTAGTTGCTATCCCCACCTGCCCATCACCTGAGCAGAATGAACACAAGGAGAACTTCTTAGTCCCAACGCCACCCCAAATACAAAATGGAACCTGGCCAAACTTTACCTGCAAGCTGTAAACAATGCTGCGGTGGTGAATAAGGACTTGGACAAATCGAGATCCATCTTCTGAGCTTCTGGCAGGCTGGATTCATATCTGAAAGAGCAAAGCCACTTTCTGAAACTGCAGCTGTTTTGTCGTGACACTAACAGAGGTTGCCCAGAAGGGAGTGAAGCTCTCAGACAGAGAGTTGATGCAGCCAAACTGCACCATCCATACATGCGATGGGCATCAAATGATGTAGGCAGCTTTCCAAAAGCAGCCCAATATGGACTGAGCATGCTCAGGGGCCATAGAACAGAGTATCCTCAGCAGCTAGAAATCTGAACAGGAATATAGGTAGCAATCGTTTTAGGCACATTTGATATGTGCGTGACTGCACACCCACACATTGTGCCAAACCCGGAAGTGACCCGAAAGTGTCACAAAAAGGGATTTGCAGGCTTTTCAATGGTGTTTCAAATATACATGATTTCACTTAAATGTGTGGTGCCTTGGAATGTAACCCCCGTGTAAATTTGGACTTGCCTGTACAACAAACCAGAACGTTTTGTTGCTGGCCCCGCTGACCTTTCCTAAAAGCAAGGGTAAAAGCTTGGGCTGCAGGGTCTCCTTAAAAATTCCCTACCTTTGCAATATTTTTGAGGCCATATTCACTGCCTCCAGGCAGCAAAACTGAACAGCCAGATCTCGGATGCCAAGGCTGGAGTTCACACCCAGGAGGCTCTCAAAGGACCTCAAGCAGCTCTGGTAAGTAGTCTTGTTCATGCCAGAAAGTTTCACTAAATAAGCCTTGAGTGGGAAGAAAAGCACAGAAAATCATGAGGCAATTTCTCCTTGCAAGTAACAGCCTCTTACCTAGTTGCTTGGGGGTAAATAAGGATCTCTTCTATGCGACCAGCTTAACAGAAGGTGGTCTTGCATAGATATATGTAGTGTGAGAAAGAAGAGACACAAGAAACTAACTTCTGTTGAGTTTTCTGCTCTTGTTGCAAGGCTGGGATCCTTCTCACAGCTGGCTTGATTGCAAGCCCAGCACTGATGCATCAGACTTGCAATGTAGATGGGCAATTCTAGTGTTAAGAGTGAGAATGCCACGTGCACAGATTTCATCATGCAGGTGGGTTCAACACAGAGCCACCCTGATGCATCTCCCTGTGTCTTGTAGCCTCCAAGCATCTGGAATGCCTTGAAGCTAGAATAACAAGGGGCTTAACTGTCCAAAGCGGTAAGAACATAAGAGCCCAGCTGGATGAGAGCAAAAAAGATCCATCTAGTCCAGCCCTGTTACTCAAAGCAGCCAACCAGATGCTCATGAGAATCCCCCAAGTAAGATGTGAGGGCAGCAGCTCTCCCACACCCCCTCTAACAGCTTGCCCTCCAGCAACATGTATCATGGAGAAGGCGACTGTCAGTGGCTACTAGCCACAAAGACTATGATCTGTCTCCACAGTCAGATGCAGCAATGCTTCTGACTGCCAGTTTCTGGAAACCACAGGAAGGGGGAGTGCTGTTTTGCTTGAGTTCTGCTTTCAGGCTTCCCACAGGCACCTGGTTGGCCACTATGAGAGAAGGATGCTGGACTAGGTGATCCAGCAGGCTATTCTTATGTTCTTAATTGACTATGTCAGCTCAGGCTGATGGGAGTTGCAGTGCACCAAGATCCATTCTATTCACTATGTCGTCCAATAGCCATTGACGGCTCTGTTTCCTACCAATTTGTCCGATATCCTGTTAAAACCCATCTAAACCTGCAGGCAAGCAGGGTGCCAGCGCCTGGGATGCTGGAAGGCAAAGGCTGCTGCCCCCAGGCCCACTATGGTCGACACTGGCTTATCTTTAATTACCTTCCTCCTGAGAAAGATAATTCTTAGCGGCTGGTGCTGTGAAGGGAAGAACAAAACCAGGAGGCTACAAGCACAGTTCACTGCCATTTTTATGATCTCCAATGCACCTCATCTAAGCTGAGTATTGTGTACAATGCCTGGCAGTGGCTCCCCAGTGTTTCAGGTAAGAGGCTTTCTATTTGAAGATGCTGGGGCTTGAACCTGGGTCCTTCTGGATGATCTAGCCACTGAACTACACAGCCCTTCCCTAGATCTGTCCAATCCTGCATCTGAAGCAAAGGTTTCTAGTTGCCATGTGCAGTCAAAAGAGATGGCTTAAGAAAAAAGCACTTGGGGTGGGGAGGTGGTCGTATAACCATTTATTACTTTGTCCACGGGGTTCTTTGTGAAGGCAGCAGCCAAGTCCAGGCAGATCACGGCTTTGCTTGTGGCAGTCATCTGAGCCAGCAAGGTGGCACATTTCACTTGAGACAGGCGCAGATACTCTTCAGCTTTTCTGTGGTACAGCAAAGAGAAGAGACGGTTAATTCCATTTTCACAGCCAGGACAGCCAAACAGAACTTGCATATATCCTATACCTTTAAAGCACTTTCAAACCACATGCTTTCCTGCAAAGGATCCAGGGCACTGTAGCTAACACCTCATGAAACTGCAATTCCCAGCAGCCTTTAAGGAACTACAATACCCAGAATCTTTTGAGGGAAAGCAAGCACTTTGGATATGCTTTAAAAGTACAGCGTGCACAAGGCTAGAGCCTTCAGTCCGATCCAGCAACTGGGCCCTTGTAGCGTTTAGGGAAACTTTTAGGTTATCATGAAATTAATATTTTTGTGTTGTGCCAATTTGAATGCAGCTGGTTTATACAGGTCTGAACATTTGGGAAAGGACCCAGAGGACTTAACTAAAGGAAAGACAAAGAAATACATTCTATGAACCTCCAAGGTCATTAAAGGCAAGATAGTTTCTAACCCAAACTGCTTTTCGATGTTTTAATTGCAACTGCTTTCAGAAATGTTTTGATTGTTTTAGAATATTTTTGCTTTTCTCTTTGCTTTTAAATAACGGTGTGTCTGTTTGCCTCCCTTTGAAGGATGGGATAGAAATAAACCATCATTGTTAATTTATTGGTCGCTCCCTGCCACCTCCTCCCCGTAACTCAAAACGACAATACGTAAACGAACACATACATTAGAACCGGCATAAAAGTGGGGGGGGGGGGGACAAAGAAAAATCAAAAGTTATTTTTAAGGCAGGATTAAAACATCCCTCTAACTTCAAGGAGGCCACAGATAATAAAATACCAAAGGCCTTTAAATAAACAAATACAAAATTTCAATGAATGAATGAATGAATGAAATAAAATAAAACCCCCTGCCCTCAATTCACCTGATAACTCCGGGCGCAGTGACGCCCAGCTTGGAAGCCAAACACTGGATCACTTCGCGCTCCATTCCCGGCCCGCTAAACTCAGCCTACGCCTCCACTGCTACGATCCTCCTTTGCTTTCCCGCGCGCGCATGGAACGGCGCGACACCTTCAAAGCCTGCCGGGAACGTTGCGACACGCTTGCCGCGCCCCTTTCGAACGCTCGGCTGCCTCTCCGAACGTTCCCGCCCTGGCTCCACCCACTCCTCTGCTGTCACTCGCCGGAGGCTCTCCTCAACCCACTCCTTCCCTTCCTTCCTTCCTTCTCCGGAACGTGACGTAGCGCCGTTCCATCCTATTACAGCTGTCCAGGAGGAAGGGCTGGTGAAGAGGCACCTAATCAGTCAGGAAGACGAGCCCGAGGAGCGTAGAGGCCCTATTGGCGGAGCGGAGCGTCCGTCGCTGCTCCCGAAAGCCAATCACTGCAGCGGAAGGGAGTCTTCCCTCTTCGGCTTTCGGCCAATGGGGAGCGAGAGTAGAAGAAAAAGAGGCGGGGTCCCGAGCGGGTTTCCTTTGTCACATGACAGTGGTGGGAAGTGGGGGGGCGGCTGAGCAGGCGCCTAGCTAGGAGGGGGTTTGTTGCAAGCGCTGCGGGGGTTGCAGTGAGCGACGCGCCACTATGGTGAGTAAGAAAAAAAGAAGGGGGTGGTAAAGAGGGGTGGGGGTGGGGGTCGCCCTGGCAAGAGGGGCTGCTCAGGCCTCCTCCTCCTCCGCAGTCCTTTCTATGGGGCAAGGCTGTTGGCCTGGCTGTTGTTGGTTAGTCACCCCCCTCCCCAATTAAATCTATTAAGCCTTATCAGTTAATTGGGTCTATTTATATCGCCAACGTTAAGTGTTCTTTGGGTGCATTGCAGTCAAAATGAAACTGCAGAGCTGGACTACTGCAATGTGCTTTCCGTGGGGCTGCATCTTGAAGACGGCTTGGGGAACTTCAGTTGCTGCCAAAGGAAGCTGTCAGGGCGCTAAAAGTGAACGGGACGGGAGGTTTGAACACGCGACATGACTTTTGTGTTTAGTTGTGCTGACTGCTGGTGTGTTTCTCAGCGCAACTCAAAAGGGCTGGTATTAACCTTTAAGCCCCCCAAGCCCACCTTTCCTCAACCTCTGGAACAGGTGTGGGCGACCTTTGACCCTCCAGATGTTGCTGAAGAACAACTTCTGTGGTCTCTGACCATTGGGCATGCTTGCTAAGGCTTTGGGAGTTGTAGCGCAGGTTCCCCGCTGTTGCTCTAGAGATGTTTTGGGCTGTAATTCCCAGGTAGTGCAGCTGTGCTGACCTGGACTGATGGGAGGGCACATTGTTGGGGAAGGCTACCCTAAATTGGTTGGGAATGAATTACTTAAAGATTGCCTGCACTCCTGCGATACTGCCTGTAATCCAAGACTTGGATATGTGCTTGTGCACTGACTGGAGAATTTGGTTAGGTTCATTAGCATTCACCAGAAGACCTTGTTGGTGGTGGCCTCGCAGTTGTGGAAGTTTTCCGGTTAATATTTATTTGGACCCCTTCACGTCAGGCGTTGAGAATGTCTGCCAAACTTCTTACTAATACCTTTCCTTAAGAGAATTTTGGTGATCTTAAGAATCTCTTACACATCTGTCTTCGGCCACTCAGTGCTTTGTACTGTAATGTTCATTTTTCTCCATGGCTTTATAAGGGATTGGCTCTGAAAAGGGACGAGCATATAACACATCAATATTAAAAATGCAACAATAATTGAACATTTTAATGCCACTCTTTATTGTTTCAGGTTCAGGACAGTGTACAGCATAAAACATTTATTTTATTTTTTAAACCCCCACAATACACACTTCAAAAAAAGAAGTTGAGCACAATCCTAAGTATGTTTACTATTGAGCTCAATGGGGGTTTATTATCTTCAAGAAGTGTGCTTAGAATTGCACTCTACAACTAAAGTAATTTAAACTGCTAAATTAAAAGACCATTTGAATTAAAGAAGTCTCAAGTTCATGTGGAGCTGCAAAGGCCCTGCTTAGCTAGCAAATACTTTTTCCAGAAAAGGGAAGCAGTAAATAGCCCCAGGTGTGGCTTCCTTCATGACTAATGCTGCCATCCTGTGGGAGCCTACTCAGAAGTAAGCCCCACACTATCTAGTAGTGCCCTGGTAAGTACAGAGTCTTGCAGCACCTTAAAATACTGAGATGTTAGGGTAGGGCTGATGGGAAATGGGGGTCTGGCAACATCTGGCGGTCCAAAGGTTCCCTGCTCTTACATTGGGTGCTTTGTGTACATGGAAACTTCTTCATATGCAGATACAGAAATAACATACAAAAGAGAGGAACAAATGTGAAATCTGGGTCAACAGTAAAGGTTATGAATTTGATGGGCTCGTGAGAGAGCCATTCATGCCTTGGAGTCGTTTATATTTTTTGTTACCATGTGTGACTTAAGACCTTGTTAGGTGTTGCATCAGCGGTTGGGCATCTGAGTGGTCAAATACTGTGCAAATATTTTAAAATTGTTAGAACATCAGAACAATGAAAAAGTTACCTCGATCAACAACCAGGTTTGATATATATGCTAATTGCAACCCCCCCCCCCAAAGTCCTACATAAGTTTGTGCAAACAGGAACTCCTAGATTTGGGTAGCTTTCTTGCGTACCATTCTTTTGTTGGAAAGGCGCCTTCTTTGAGCCCAAAGAGACCTCTTCCTCTGGTGTTGGGATAGCCAACATGGAGTCTTCCAGAGATTATTGGACAACAACTCCCACCATCCCCACCTTTTGGAAGCACTGGCTGGGGCTGATGGGATTTGTAATCCAAAACATCTGATGAGTATCACTTTGAGGAAGACTGCATTATGCAGCTGCATGGAAAAGCTGGCATTGAGGTAGATCAGTGATGGCCAAACTTGGCCCTCCAGCTGTTTTGGGACTACAATTCCCATCACCCCTGACCACTGGTCCTGTTAGCTAGGGATGATAGGAGTTGTAGTCTCAAAACAGCTGGAGGGCCAAGTTTGGCCATCACTGAGGTAGATGGTTGGAGGTCAGGAACACTATTGAATCTTGAGCTGAGGAACTTAAAAGCTCTGAGTGTGTTTGAAAATGGTAGGGATGAATAATCTTCAGATCAGAGCAGGGATAAATCATCTTCACTCAAGGAGCATGTTGAAATGGCTGGACCAAGAGTGATGATTAATTTGTCAGCTTATTCTGCGTGGTTGATTGCCTTGCTGGCTGTTATGATCATCATTGAAGGTCTTCCTCTTGGTGCCTGCACCATCAGATGTGACATGGGTGGCATCCTCGTTTCTGGAACCCTCCCCATTTCTATTCATCCGGCGCCAACTGTAATTTATATAGTTAATTTATCAGGATATATACTTGTCCCCACCACCAGAATTCCCAGGGTGGCTTCCAGAATATGAAAGTACAATAAAGCAAATCAGGTTAATGGTCTTTGGGTGTCGGCTAGAAACACTTTTGCTTATGGGGACATTCAGAGGCCTTGACATAGAGTAGCTGGACCATGCCAGCAGGGGCTGATGGGAGTTGGATACCAAAACATCTGGAGGGCACCAGTTTGGACTCCCAACTCCCATCCGCTCCAGCCAGCACGATTGTGCAGAAGGGTACCAGTTTGGTGAAGGCTGGGTGAAGACAGTGTTCTTCAACCCTAAGTCCCCAGATGTTGCTGGACTACAACTCCCATTATCTCTGGTGATCGGCTAAGCTAGCTGAGGATGATGGGAATTGTAGTCTAACAACCTCTCGGGACCCAAAGTTGAGGAATACAAGAATATTTAGATTGCAGCCCTGTACTCACTCACCTGAGAATGAGTGAACTAAATGGGCTTTACTTTTTAAGTAGAGACAAGCTTGCAGTTTGGGTCTCCACTGTGTTTTATGTTTTATGTTGCATTGTTTGAAAACTTAGATTGTCAGGTTGTCCTGAAAATGTGTCTTAAATGATACACTTTTAAAAATATAAACTAAGAGTGTTGGGCGTGTTTTCAAGAAATGAAGGAAATGAGTCATGATTGTTAGCTGTCAGTATACATATGGCTATAGAATATATTTTTTAAGATTACTGAAAGATACGGGGGCGGGCGGGGAGACTATAACAGCATGGACTTCTAAAAGCAAATGTACTTCACAGAGTACAATTATTCAAAATAATATACTTGGAACATACCGTAATTGGCTTTCTACACTAAAATAAATGCATTTCCTCTGCAATTTTGGTAAATCATTGAATGTGGTAACCAAGAAAAATAAAACCATTATAAAAGTTGGCTGTATTGGCATTTCATTAAATGGAAACAAGGAAACTTTGCAAGACAAGACTTTCTAGGCTAGACTTTCTTGTGCTACCTTGGAAGAAAATCCCATGTGTTGACACTCTGCAGGACCTTATTTACTTACTGTGAGGTGTTTATATCTTGCCATTCAATCAAGGAATCCTCAAGGTGGCTTACAACAGATTGCACCAATACAGGTCAAACAAAGACCGCACGTCCAGCCCCACAGCCTTCAGTTCTTTGGCCGGTGGGTGGGGTGAGAGTGTGCTTCTCTATGGCCATAATGGACTTTCTACTTTTACATCTGCAGTCCCAGGTCCTTGCTGATCCTAGCGTCTGGTTGTCTTTGCCTACTCTTGGGCAGCTAAGTGCAGCATTCTCCATCAGTGATCACCAGTAGCGTTGGTCGTACAAGAAATCACCATTAGCTTATTCCCACAATGGATAATTAACTTAAGAAATTTGTTGCCGGGAGATGGGCTCCTGGGCCCCTAAACTCAGGTTATTTTAAAAGAGAATTAGACAAATTTAGGGAGCAGAGGGTGATCAGCTGCTGCCTTAAAAGACCTCCCCCTTTCCATAAGGTTCTAGGTGGGGTTACAACAGTATGATGTACAGTTATGAGAACAGATGGAACCACTGCAATTAGGAAAGAAGGAGAGTTGTTCCAAGTGGAATGGAGCCGTATAAACGACATTTAGCCATGTGACCTTATTTAAGAAGTTCCTTACCTGCCCTTCACCACAAGGTTGCAGAGTGGATCCCCAACCATACAGTAATGAACCCAATAAAGCAAATGAAAGGATGTACATCAGGCAGCAGAGGTATAGGGATCCTGTGTTGTTCGAAGATTGCACGCCAGTGGAAATGAATTCCTGGGGGGCAACAGCAGGGGAGAATGGTAGCTTCCTAGAAGCCTACAAGGAGGGCTTGAAGGTTTCTGATTGGTTTCTGGTTGGGGGAAGCGGGGTGATGGACTAGGTGGAATATCACTCTGACCCAGCAGCTCCTGCTCCTATGTTCTTGCTAGGAAGTAATCACCTGTTTCCCTTACCCCTTTTTCCTAGCCGACTACACAGCAGTCTCCTCAGGATGAGCAAGAGAAGCTCCTGGATGAAGCCATTCAAGCTGTCAAGGTCCAGTCCTTCCAAATGAAGCGGTGTTTGGTAAGAACTGTGGGGCTTGAATCCCTTAATAGTTTGGGCCCAGAGTTCTTCAACCTCAGGCCCCTCAGATGTTGTTGGACTGCAGCTCCCATTATCCTCAGCCAGCTGTCGTTGATGATGGGTGTTGCAGCACAGCAACATCTGGCCCAGTGTCTGTTAAGGAGCGCCATCTCCCCTATGAAGCTACCACTTACTAAGGTCTGCCAAGAAGACCCATCTCTTCAAGGCAATGCAGAACACCACAGGCTGCTGCTCTGGAGTATTCTTCCCCAAAGGCTGCCTCTCCAACCATTTTTAAGCATAAAATTACATTTCTTGTTCTTCTCAATTCATTGATTTCTGACATTGTGTTTTCAGCTTCTGCTGTTTTATTTGTGTTTTGTGTTTTAATTTTATTTATCTTTGGATATAATCTTACTGCTGTAAAACTGCCTTTGAATGCCTATTCAAAATAGTGGCCTAGATGTCATATCAAAAATATATTTCGGGTTGTTCTGGAAGGGTGAATTGGCAGGATGCTCCTTGACCTCCAGAGCACTGGATATTCCTGAAAGTTACAAAAGGCAGTCACTGCCTGGAGGGGAACTAACTGGGAAATGAGATGTGCGACCAATAATCTTACTTTTAAATGTTTTGTTTTGTTAGGACAAGAACAAACTAATGGATGCCCTGAAACATGCTTCTAACATGCTTGGTGAGCTGCGGACTTCAATGCTTTCACCAAAGAGCTATTATGAGCTCTGTATCCTCTTGAGACTTACCTTACAGCTAGCTGAGTCTTGTTTGGGGTGATGGTGATAGGGAGGGAATGAACTTGGAACAACACCTGCAGATGGAGGAACAATGGGAGTGATTTTCTTGCTCATCGTATGATCCAAATCCCTGCTTCCATGCAGGGAATCCAGAACTGTATTATTTATTACATTTCTCAAGGTTGGGTTAGCATAGTGGTTCTCAAACTTTTTCAGACTACCGCCCCCTTGGTTCCACAAATTAATCCCCAGTGCCCCCATCCCTATTAAAAGCATTATTCAGAACAGCGGTCTGCGCAACTCACTAGGGATCATAAAAACATAATAACATTTACGCGCACATTTATTCGAAATCCAGTTGAGCCATTAAGTTGAATTAATTCAGCATAATTGATGAACTTGATTTAGTGATACCAGCTAATAGTTATTTACATCTCCAGCACTCCCTGCCATCCGCTTGCCTCCTAGGTAATCCCACCACCTGCAAAGGTTGGTACAACTCACTTTGGGAACCATTGGATTTCAAAGTCTTTCCCTCTTCCTCTTGCCTAGCTATCTCTGCTTGAAGACTTGAACCTTTTGCCCTCTGAAATGTCAGCGCCTTCCTTCCCGCTGTCCCCTTCACCTGCTTTAAATTCTGAACTCTTCCAGGGCTACTGATTTTCCCTTGGTATTTCTGGGTAGTCACACACCCACACAGCATATCACCTACCTGCTGCTCTAGTCTGAATCCTTAACCGCAAGGAAAAGATATGGCGATCTCCGATGAGCTACACTACCTGGAGGTGTACCTGACGGATGAGTTTGCCAAGGGAAGGAAGGTGACGGATCTCTATGAACTGGTGCAGTATGCTGGAAACATCATCCCGCGGCTGTAAGTAAATAAGAATCGAGGGTGACGTCTTGCGTTCTGGGCCCAGTAATCTGCTTTCTGCAACTGCAGTAGCTTTTCCATATCACCTGAAATTTTCTTGTGGTAGAAGGGAGCATTGTTTGGTGGGCAGCAAGTAAGTGGCCTCACTTGGGCAGATGTTTTGGACTACAACTCCCATCACCCATAACAACCACACAATGGGAGTTGTAGTCCAAAACATCCAGAGAGTACAGCGCATGAGAAGGTTGCTTTTGCTTCTGTGATTTCACTTAAGTATCCTTAACCATTTCTCTTTCTCCTCCCTCCTCCCCTAGATATTTACTCATAACCGTTGGGGTTGTCTACGTGAAGTCCTTTCCTCAGTCCAGGAAGGATATCTTAAAAGACCTAGTGGAAATGTGCCGTGGTGTTCAGCACCCTCTGAGGGGCCTGTTTCTGCGCAACTATCTCCTTCAGTGCACGCGGAACATCTTGCCTGATGATGGGGAACAGACAGAGTAAGGAGCCTGGTGGGGCAGAAGTGGAGCTTTCATAAGTGTGTTGCGTGTGTTTGGTAGGCAGACACTGGAGCAAAGCTGCCTGTTCCCCAGGCATGGGCTGAGGTCACCTGAGGGTAGCAGCAGCAGGTGCAATTACCGTATTTTTCGCTCTATAAGACGCACTAGACCACAAGACGCACCTAGTTTTTGGAGGAGGAAAACAAGAAAAAAAATATTCTGAATCTCAGAAGCCAGAACAGCAAGAGGGATTGCTGCGCAGTGAAAGCAGCCATCGCTCTTGCTGTTCTGGCTTCTGGGATAGCTGTGCAGCCTGCATTCGCTCCATAAGACGCACACACATTCCCCCTTACTTTTTTGGAGGGAAAAAGCGAGTCTTATAGAGCAAAAAATACGGTAGTTACTGGAAGAGAGGTCACCTAAGACCCCTGTGTCTTGGTTCCAAGATGGAAGATGGTGGAGTGTAAATCCAATCAGTCCAATCAGGAGCTACCAATTTCACCTCTGATAACAGCAATGGCTCCCAACTTGGGCAGCTTTCTAAGCAGATTAGACAAATTCATGGGAGGATAAGGCTGTCAATGGCTGCTAGCTGCCATGGCTGTATTAAGAATATAAGAGGAGCCTGCTGGATCAGGCCAGCATCCTGTTCTCTCAGTGGACCAAGCTGATGCCCCTATGGAAAGCTGGCAAGCAGGACCAGAGCACAGACGCAGTCTCCAGCAGCTCTTGAGACCCAAGATGCTGAGTTAGATGGGCCCTTGGTCTGATCCAACAGGGTTTCCGTGCAGTTTGCCAATCATTTGAGGTTCCTTTTCCAGGCTGCAGAGCGGCCCAGAAAGTCTTCCAGGATCATCTTTCTCAGTTCAGCTCATCTTCTGGCAGATTCCCATGTGGGAGTGAACACCTCACCCATTCTAGTTCTGCTTAAAATATTTAACTTGAAGAGTTAGCGTTACAACTTATACAACTGCTGGTCTAAGGAAAACAAAGTAAGAAACTTTTTACAGAGAATCCTTCCTTCCTGTCTGCTCTGGACAGAGTAATACCCACCTCTTTCAGAGCCCGTCTAATATAGAAGTCGGTTGCTGGGGAGAAAACTTGTTGCTAGGGGCAAAACTGTGCAAGGATCATTTCAAGCCTTATTTTTTAGACTACACTTACACAGAGCTCTTCTGATGTTCTTAAGTCGTGGTTGGGCAGGGGAAGGGAGGAAACCTGGCTCTCTGCTTTGGGACGTTTGCCAGCTATGCAAGTTGCTTCCCAGGAAGCTGAACATTGCAAGTTGGTTGCATTCTTTCGCTTTTGTTCCTTGTTTAAGAAACAAAATAGCTTGGCCCTCCCTCCAAAGTTATGAGCTGATCTTCTATTGCAGCCCCAGGGGTAGAACGTGCTCCTCTAGCCTTCTCTCTCCGGCCTTGGGACTCTTACCGAGGGCACGGCCATCACTGGCCCTGCCATTTTCTCTCCTGGAGTGTTTTCTGCAGGGTGGAATGTGTCCTTGAATTCTGAGAAGGACTCTTGTTTACCTGGATGGAAGATAGAGAGGGTTGTGTGTGTGTGTAGAAACTAGCCTACTGTACAACAGCTAAGTTTGTATTGATTTATTTGCCTACTTTTCCTTGAAAGGAAAGGACCCCCCCTTCACCCCATTGCCTGATATATTGTCATGCACAAAACCTCCCTAGCTGAGCACTTTTATGGGAAGAGACTATGTACAGGAGCACAGCTTCATGTCCATGAAAAGGACACTCACATCTTGTTTGGAAGAGATGCAAATTGTATGTTACAGTGTGCGGCTTTCTCCCTAATCCGGCACAGGCTTTTAAAATGGAGTGGTTCCCAGCGTGTGTTTAAATCCAGACAGGGGTTCTTCAAGCTGCATATATTTAGCCCAAAGAGGGCTCTTTTTAACGAGCATCTCTCTTCGTGGTTCAAAGAGGATGCTGCTTTGTTTTATTTAAAATATGGATTTGACCCTCATCTTGAAAGCAAATCCTCTCTGTCCTCCTGAACATCCGTAAAAAGGAAGTGCTTGCTCTCTTGACTTTACAGCGAAGAAACGACCGGAGACATCAGCGATTCCATGGACTTTGTGCTGCTGAACTTTGCTGAGATGAACAAGCTCTGGGTGCGAATGCAGCACCAGGGGCACAGTCGTGACAGAGAGAAGAGGGAGCGCGAGAGGCAGGAGCTGAGAATCCTGGTGGGAACCAACCTGGTTCGGCTGAGTCAGCTGGAAGGGGTCAATGTGGAGAGATATAAGCAGGTGAGATGGTTTCTTGGCTTGGCTTGGCTCCAGTTCTGAGTGGGCCTTTTCAGGTGTGGCTCCCTGCTTGTGGCATGCTCTTCTGTATTCAGGCACACCTGGTGCCATCACTGTGTCTATTTCTAGGCAAAAGGCAAAATCATTCCTTTTCAACCAGGCTTTGGGCCCTTAATTTGGAGGGGTTTAAGTACCGTAAATTTGTGGTCACTTTCTTGCTTATCTTTTAGCCGTTGGGTTGTGTTAAACCTGCCTTTCTACGTACATTATGGAGGTGTTTTTCGATTTTTCTTTGGGTTTTAATTTTTGTGTTACTTTGTAAATTGCTCTGGGTAATCTTTTATGAAAAAGTGTGATAATATGCTATTAATAATAAGAACAGCAACAATAAAAATAAATTGGTTAGTTGTAGTTTCTTACAGCTGCTGAAAATGAAAGTTATATAATTTTGTCCCCAGTAGTCATAGCTTTTAATTCAGCTTGTTAGTCACCTAACAGAGAGTTTTCTCTAGGCCAGTGGTTTTCAAGCAGTGTGCCGTGGCACCCTGGGGTACTTTGAATGATGGTCAGGGGTGCTGCAGGCAACACTGACATCTGTCCCTCTTTCTTTCGCTCCCCCCTCTCATGTTTCTGCCTTCCCAAGGCTTGCACAGCTATTTGTTGTAGCAGCCCTGGCTGCAGGTTCCCCAGGTGAATGGTGCCTCTGCGGCTGGCCAGGGGGTGCTTCCCAGGCCCCTGTGGGGCAGTGTGAGGAGTCACTTCTCTTTGGGGTGGGGGGGCAGCTCAGAGACCAGGGGCAGCAACTGCAGCTGCTCAGAGGATTCCCAAGAAGAGGGGAGATGACTGAGGGAACACTCCACAAGGGAAGGTTTGAGAAAGGGCGAGGGGCTGCCAGCTCTGCAGGCAAGGGGTGACATAACTGGGCTCCTGAGCCCCACAGGGGTGCCGCAGAAAGAATGTAGTTGGTCCAGGGAGCCTTGGATTCAAAAAGGTTGATAGCCTCTGCTCCAGGCAACTAAGAATACAACTTAAAAACCACACAAAATCAAACATCAACCACCAGCCATCAAATTTAACAAATCAGTAGCAAAACCACCAGCAGCCTCCACAGGAAACAAAACAAACCAGCAGCTCTGAGCAACGCTAACATAAAAATTTGGCACAGCTGGATCACATTCAGTCCAAGTGCTGGGGCGAAGATGAAAGTCCTAACCTGGTGTTGGAAAGCTTGGTGGTGAAACCAGGCAGGCCTCATTCCAGAAAGCATTCTGTGTTGGTGGTAGGGGAGTGGACAAGTGAAAAAGCAGCCTTCCAAGTCTTGGAGGGAAACACCAGATGAGGGTCTTGGAGGGTCTGGGTACGTGCATCCTGGGAGAAGTGTTTAAGTGGGGAATAGATTTTAGAGATGGGAGCAAGCGGGCAAGCTTGGAGAAGGCCCAAGGGAGGGAATTGACACACAGCTCTTTTTTTCTTTTGACCAGATTGTCTTGCCTGGCATATTGGAGCAAGTTGTCAACTGCAGGGATGCCTTAGCTCAGGAATACCTCATGGAGTGCATCATACAGGTGAGCCTGCAGAGGGAGATTACAGACGGCTTTGGTTAAGTGGCATGGCCAATACATAACAGCATGCAGGGTGTTTCTTCCTTTCGACTCTTCTTGGCCAAGGAAATAGGAACCAACTGGGCATAGTGGTGAGTCTATGGGAAGTATGGCAAGCATAGAGAAACCATTGCCCTGCTCTGCTCAGCCAACTGACTCTTCCTGTTCTGTCTAGGTCTTCCCGGATGAATTTCACCTCCAGACCTTGAACCCTTTTCTACGAGCCTGTGCAGAGTTGCACCAAAATGTGAATGTGAAGAATATCATCATTGCTTTAATTGACAGGTGCGTAAGGAAGCATTTTAATTACACTGCAGGTGGGGAGGAAACCGATAGGCACTCAGAGAGAGCAGGTTATCTATCTTTTCCCAGTTATGAATTTCTCTTCATGGTTTCCAGGTCCTTTGCTCCATGCAGTCTTGTTATCTTAAGCAAAAAAAGCCCCCCTGGTACAATTCCTTCCGGTGATTGGTGGAGCTCCTGTGATGTCATGGAATGCTCACAACCTTTCTTTGGAGGCTGGCAAGACTTAACCCAGGGAAGTCTTATAGACAGTGTAGCTTTCTGTTGGGATTAAAACACACAGTTGGGGGTTAAAAAAAGGAAAGCTGGTCTTGTTGGTAAGAATTAAATTGGACTGGGAGTTTGATAGAAAGTGGAAGCAGGGGTAGGGTAAGCAGTAGACTGAGAAGAAAGAGCCAGAGTGAAGGCTGGGCAAAAAGGCTGCAGGAAAAGTTTCATTAAGGGGGGAATGCATGTTGCTGCTAAGCTATATGCCGCTTAACTCCCAAAGCATGAAGATGCATATTTAAAATACACAATATAACGATTCCATCAGAATAAACACCCACAATTAAAATGTGCGACGAAGCAAGCCAGTTAAAACAGCACGGCAATTAAAACTGCTTAAATAGCCATTATAAAACAGGAGGTCAGGTCAGGTGGAACGCTTGTCTGGAGCCGACGTGCTTTTCAAGAGCCCACTCTGCAAAATCATAATTGAGGAAATGAGGTTTTATCTGATCTTTGTTTTTGTTTTTTGGAGGGGGCAGAAGAGATCTAGCATTGGCAAACCAGAATAGGGATTCTCAAGCTCACATGTGGCCCTCTGGATCTCTCTCTCTGGCCCTCGGGAGTCTTCCCAGGCCATAGCCCTCACTGCCCTTACTTCACATCTTCCATGCGTGTTTTTGCCTGCCTGAAATGTGCCCTCGAAGTCTAGTAATGCCTCTTGCTTGCCTGCGTGGAGGGCGTGTGCAGAAACCAGCCTACTGTGCAAAGGTAAAATTTATATCCCTTGCTCTGCCCACGTTTGCATGTGGCCCCCAAAAGGTTACCCAGAAGGTAATGCGGCCCCCGGACTGGAAAAGGTTATCCACCCCTGCTTTCAACAGTAGCAGTTGCGTGCTGTTGGCAGGGAGGAAGATAGGGAGGAGGGAAGGATGTCTGCAAGCCAGCAAAAGCTCTTGTCTATGCCGACAGCTTGCCAGCAGGATTGGGGCATGTGCTGTTGTCAGAAAAGGGTATTGCTGGGTTTGGGTGCTTGGAGGGCAGAAGAAATAAGACGCATAGAGGCAACAGGAAGGTTGAATTTCACACGGATTGTTAAGCTAGCCAGCCATGCCTGTTTTGCAGGTTTTGGCATGGTGGTTTGGGAGATGTCGAAGCAGAGTTCTGCCATTCCCTCTTGCCTTTCTCCGTTCCCTTTCTGCAGATGGATAGCTGTGGTTGGAGGCAACAATGCTTCTGAATGCCAGTTCAGGAGGGGAGACGGCTCTTGTGTTCTGGTCCTGCTTGCTGGATTCCCATTGCAGGCATCCGGTAGGCTGCTGGACTAGATGAGCGATGGGCCTGATCCATCAGATATCTCTTTTTAAGTTGTTGGTTGCATCCAGCTAAGCTTTACTCAGAGTAGACCTACTGAAATTAATGGACCCCAATTAAGTCGTGCTCATACGCTTCTACTCCAAGTAGGTCTGTCTAGTGTTGGATACAAGCTCAGATGGCAGCGTTATCAGCATCTTTCCGAGAAATGTGTGTGGTTGCATTGGTGTCTGTGTTTATAAAGCTGATTGCCTTTTAAACATTGGCAAAAGTTTGCTTTTGCATGGCGGGCAGGGATAAGCTGTGCATTTGTGTGGGAGCAATGGGTGATTCAGCCGCTCGGAGTGAGCTGAGCGCCTGTATGTTTGGAGGTGGCTTTGCTTTGACGACCTCTCTGACTCACGCAGAGAGGTTTGCATTGCTTCTGGAAAAGCCTTTGTACAACCTGAAGCAGGCAACCTTTGGGTGACTTTTTGTACTCTCTCGCTTGAGTGTTTTCCCCGGTTATTTCTCTGGAACATCTAGTCCTCTCTGCAGCTTGAAATGGCGAGAGATGCGGGTGCAAACCATCCATTTATTTCTCTAATTCCAGTGTTAAAAGCCCAGCGCTTGACAGATTCCCCACCCTCCCAGTTCATCCTTTTGGCATCTAATGCCTCTAATGCAGGGAGAGACTGACTTGCTCAGCTTGCTGGCTTAAATCTGTGGATAAGTTTGCACAGATCTGGTTTTTGAAGGCCTGTGACCTGGCCACCTTCGGAAGCCAGTGGCGGGACCAGGGGGAAACAAAAAATATGGGGTGGCACAGGAGGGGCAAAGTATATTTCTAGGTGGGCAAGAAATTAAAATAACAGTGTATGCTAATGACAGGTGTTCAGAAATGGGGGACAAGTGATGGGATGAGCTCCTTGTTGGCAGGGGGCATTTCACTGTACCCTTTTTGGTGCCTGATAAAACAGGTGGCACTGTGGTCTAAGCCACTGAGCCTCTTGGGCTTGCCGATCGGAAGGTCGGTGGTTCGAATCACCATGATGGAGTGAGCTCCCATTGCTCTGTCCCAGCTCCTGCCAACCTAGCAGTTTGAAAGCACACCAGTGCAAGTAAATAAATAGGTACTGCTGTGGCAGGAAGGTAAACAGCATTTCCATGCGTTCTAGTTTCCGTCACTGTGTTCTGTTGCGCCAGAAGCGGTTTAATCCTGCTGGCCACATGACCTGGAAAGCTGTCTGTGGACAAACACCTTGGCCTGAAGCAAGATGAGCGCTGCAACCCTATAGTCGCCTTTGACTGGACTTAACTGTCCAGGGGTCCTTTATCTTTTACCTTAAAACAGGTTTGTTTAGACACAGGTGTTTGGAAAGTTGATGCGAGTTTTAATCTGTTTTTGGTCTATAGTTGTTTTACCTTTTCGAATGTCTTAAATTAATCGGTGTACATTTTTCTTAGTGATTTTATTGTTTTATCATTTTTGTAAACCTCTTTGAGGTTTTTTCTTTCTTTCTCTCAGTCAAGTGGTGTATAAATGTGAAATGACAGATAAGTAAATAGAAAAATAAATAATGACCTAGAGTAAAAATTAGATGGGCATCGTCAACTTAAAAGATGCAATCCTGCCTCAAAAGCAAAAGAGCGAAATGTTTACGAAGTGTCTGGAATCAGTTTCTGGCAGGTTTCGCTTACTGCAGCAGAATATTTGGCCGCACTCAGAGGTACAAATGCATGTTGATCCGAGCAGAAGGACATAAAATGATTGCCCTGGCAGATTTGGTAATATGGGTTCAATAAAGGTTTTATGCAAGCCGCGGTAGGAGGAGCAGCACAGGAAGATTTGCATCTCTGACTCAACCTCTCCAAAGCTTCAGGAGCACTTACATTTTTGGACTCCCAACTCCCATCAGCCTCGGCCATCCTGGAGAATGGGTCAGGAATGATGGGAACTGTAGTCCAAGAATCTGAAGGGCCACACATACTGATGTAATGCTTCCTAATGTAATGCCCACAGGGGCTAGGAATTGTAAGGCAGCTGCTCACCATACATTTAAAGTGCATTCAACACATACTGGAAGCACTGATTTCCCGCTCCAAAGAATTCTGGGAAGTGTAGTTCCCCCTCATAGACTTACAATCCCCAGTACACTTAACAAACTATGGCTCCCAGGATTCTTCGGTGGAAGCAATGTGCTCTTAAATGGGCGTTGGATATATTTTAAACGTAGGATGTCTGTACACTCTTGAAACCTAGATTTTACTTTGAGAGGAAGTAGATGCTAACGCCCCAACTCTCAAGCACCCTGACTGGGGAAAGAGCTTCGGTGGGTATTGCTTATGAGTAGGATTGGCCTGCAAATCACATTTCCCCAAACTTCCTTCCCACTGCTTTAGGCTTGCGCTCTTTGCTCACCGAGAGGATGGGCCAGGGATCCCTGCTGACATTAAGCTCTTCGACATTTTCTCCCAGCAGGTGGCTACTGTCATACAGGTAAGTGGAGAGTTTGGCCACTTCCCTCAGCAGTTTTTAAAAAACTCGGGTTTACTCTGGGTAGTACACAAGTGCAGCTGCTGAGTCTGACGTCCTCGCAGTGGGCTTCGGAGACCCTTCAAAGTGGCATCTACTGGCCCCACCTCTGGTGTCATGCATGACATCAGGTGTAGGGCTGGTGGGTGTGGCTTACCTGAAACAACTTCACAGGCCAAGTGGGAAGGTGTGGTGGGCCAAAAATGGCCTGCAGTCCAGAGGTTTCCTGCTCCTGGTGAAGTTTGTTGAGGGCATCTGAAGGCAGTCCTCTTTGGGGAAGTTTTTAATGACTGATGTTTTAATGTATTTTTAATCTTTTGTTGGAAGCCTCCCAGAGTGGCTGGGGAAACCCAGCCAGATGGGCGGGGTATAAGTAATCATTTTTTATTATTATATTATTATTATTATCAGCTCCATCCTAGCTTCCTTGGGTTGCATGGGAAAATCTGAAAGATTCTTCTAAGCCTGTGTTTCCCAAACTTGAGTCTCCAGCTGTTTTTTGAACTACAGTTCCCATCATCCCTGACCACTGGTCCTGCTAGCTAGGGGTGGTCGGAGTTGTAGTCCAAAAACAGACCCAAGTTTGGGAAACACTGTTCCTAAGGGTAGTGTGACCTTTTGGTGCACTTCCAATTCCCCAGTTCTGTGATTCTATGAAAAGCCTCCCTGCAGTTAGGGTCCCTGACTGCTTAATGCAGAAAGGTTGGGACAGAGGAGCTGGTGTTGGGACTCACTTTATGCACCCCTAACCCATTTTGCAGTGGGGACGCGGGTGGTGCTGTGGTTTAAACCACAGAGCCTAGGACTTGCTGATCAGAAGGTCAGCGGTTCGAATCCCCGTGGCAGGGTGAGCTCTCGTTGCTCGGTCCCTGCTCCTGCCAACCTAGCAGTTCGAAAGCACGTCAAAGTGCAAGTAGATAAATAGGTACCGCTCTGGTGGGAAGGTAAATGGCGTTTCCGTGCGCTGCTCTGGTTCGCCAGAAGCGGCTTAGTCATGCTGGCCACATGACCCGGAAGCTGTACACTGGCTCCCTTGGCCAATAAAGCGAGATGAGCGCCGCAACCCCAGAGTCGGCCACAACTGGACCTAATGGTCAGGGGTCCCTTTACCTTTAACCCATTTTGCACCCTTATACATCTGTCCTGAGTGCCTCAGCAGTGCTTGTGTGTGTTCAGAAGGCATTTGGGAATCCAAAAGAGTCTCCGTACGAGTGCCTCTTCCAGTTCGGATGCGTGTAGGCCTTTGACGTGGACATCTTGCAGAAGTTGCACAAGCCTGGGCCTGAGCAGCGTCTGAAGGAGAGAGCACCTGTCCCGTCCCCCCCACCAATGCTGCCCTGTGTCTGTGCGTGAAGTATAAATGTAATAAATGCAAGTGCCCTTTCTGCAGCCGCCTGACATGCAGATCTCCTCTTTATTTTCCCCGCGCTGTCCGCAACTCCAGTCTAGACAAGATATGCCTTCGGAGGACGTGGTGTCGCTTCAGGTCTCTCTCATTAACCTGGCGATGAAGTGCTACCCGGATCGTGTTGACTATGTCGACAAAGTGCTGGAGACAACGGTGGAAATCTTTAACAAGCTGAACCTGGAGCAGTGAGTGGAGGCCGTCTGGCTCGCGGCAGAGCAGGCCGCGCTCCCTGCTAATTGGGGGTGGTGGGCGGAAGGGGACCAAAACCAATTAAGTCTGCCTGGCTAAATTGGCCTGGCTCTTTTTCTTCCAAGTGCAGCAGATGGTTCTGTCCTAACAATGAATTGTTGCTGAATGGCTGAACCTTGACAACAGGAGGTCTAAATGTTTGCATTGGGCAAATATCACTTTGCTTCTAGATCTGTTTCTGCTGTTTTTCCCTCTCTATTGTCCTGAGATGTCAGCTTCCAAAAGTGGGGCCAGGGGGTAGAATCCATTTGTTGTTTTTCTCCGGAAGCCAGAGGGCCCTTGAGTGTCTCCTGCAGCAAAAGAAATGAAGTAGAAGTAGAAAAAAGAAAAGAATATTGAGCCTAGGGAAACTGGTTTATGAACCCAAACTTGTCTGGAAACCAAGCCCTCATGGGGTCACATTTAAAGGAGCTGGGGATATTTAGCCTGGAGAAAAGGAGTCTGAGAGATGGCAGTGTAGAAATCTTTAAATATACAAAGGGCTTTCTCAGGGAAGATGGAGCAAGCTTGTTTTCTGCTGCTCCAGAGAGTTGAACCCGAACCAATGACAAGAAAAGAGATTCCAACTAAACATTAAGAAGGACTTTGAGGGTAATTGCTGTTTGACAATGGAACAGACTAGCTTGGAAGGTGGTGGACTCTCCTTCCTTGGCAGTTTTAAGGCAGGCGTTGGACAGCCATCTGCCAGGGAAACTTCAGTTGCCATTCCTGCATTCAGTTGCCATTCCTGCCATTCCAACTTTACAATTCTGTGAGAGTACCAGAGAGCTCACAGCCCTTCCATTCTCATGTTTTTACTCCTGGTTTACTCCTAGGCAACCTTTATTTCAGTAATATAATTTGGGGGCGCGGAGTCACTTTGTTCCTGTTATGAAAACAACTGGGAGTCAAGAAATCCTTTGCTGCTCTGCTGAAAATCACCCAGAAATCTACCAACAGATCCTGATCCCTCCTCTGCTTCACCTGTGTCCTAAACTATAGGAAACCTGATACATGCCAGTCCATTGTTGCCTGCTTAATTCTTAATTCATTTCTTTTTTTTAGCATCGCCACAAGCAGTGCCGTATCCAAGGAGCTGACAAGGCTCTTGAAGATCCCGGTTGACACCTACAACAATGTCCTGACTGTCTTGAAACTGAAACATTTCCACCCGCTCTTTGAGTACTTCGACTATGAGTCCAGGAAGAGCATGAGTTGTTACGTGCTCAGCAACGTGCTGGATTACAACACGGAAATTGTCTCCCAAGACCAGGTAGGGAAAGAGCGTAATGGAGTTGGCAGCACCCGTACTTCAGAACTGCCCCCTCCCTGTTGGCATGAATACCTTAGTTGTATTTCTTTCGGTGCCTGCCTAAAACCTTTGGGCTCGTGGCTGTTTGATCCAGGCCAGTATGCGTTGCATACTGAGCTGCAGGGAGCATGAGCTGGGCCTCACTGCCCTTATCCTCCGCCTCCTGCAGGTAGATGCCATCATGAACCTCGTGTCGACGCTGATCCAGGACCAGCCAGACCAGCCGGCTGAGGATCCAGACCCCGAGGATTTTGCAGACGAACAGGGCCTCGTGGGCAGGTTTATTCACCTCCTCCGTTCCGACGATCCTGATCAGCAGTACCTGGTATGGCTTCTTTAAAGCGTTGGAGTGGGGCTGCTTCAAAGAGATGCTTTTTCATCTAGTTCAGCGGTGGGGGAATGCAGCCCCCCCCATCACTCTTTCTGACCCTTGGGGCTCTCCCCAGGCCACACCCCCTTCCTTGGCCACACCCCTTAGTGGCCCTTGCTTTACACTCCTGAGCACAAAAGCAACTGTATCCTAACTTGTGATTCCCAGCAACTGCCATTCAGAAGCCTTGCTGCTTCTAACTGTGGAGGCAGAGCATAGTCATCAGCCCTCAATAGCCCCCTCCTCCATCGATTTGTCAAATCTTTGTTTGAAGAGAGCCAGCGTGGTGTAGTGGTTAAGAGGGGTGGACACGTCATCTGGGGAACCAGATTCGCTTCCCCGCTCCTCCACATGCAGCTGCTGGGTGACCTTGGGCCAGTCACACCTCTCTGAAGTCTCTCAGCCTCACTTACCTCGCAAAGTGTTTGTTGTGGGGGAGGAAGGGAAAGCTGCTTTGAGGCTCCTTAAAGGGAGTGAAAGGCGGGATATCAAGTCCAAACTCCTCCCCCTCCTCCTCCTCCTCCTCCTCTTCTTCTTCTTCTTCTTCTTCTTCTTCTTCCTCTTCTTCTTCTTCTGCCATCCAAGTTGGTGGCCATCCCTAGCTCCTGTGGGAGGGAGTCACACAGTTTTAATACTGAGCTGTGTGAAGGAAGTAAACCTGATACTTATTTTAAACTGGAAGGGCTGAGAACTGAACCTGCATGCAAAGAATCTGCTTTGCTACTGAACTGTGGATCCTCCATAGCCATCCTTCTCTCGTGCATGCACATTGGCAAACAAGATTGCCTGCTGACTTGTAGAATCGTAGAATTGTAGAGGTGGGAGGTCACCCCCCCTCCTGGGTCTTCTAGTCCAACCTCCTGCGATGCAGGGATCTTCCAAGCCCAGGTTGATGCCTGTTATTTAGTTGATAAAGCAGGGTGTTTGTTTCTTCGGATGGGGTGGGGGTGGCGCCTCCCATCTTGCCTCCCGTCAGTTATGGACATATCATCGTGTGATACATATATTCTCTTGATTTAGATTTTAAACACGGCCCGGAAACACTTTGGCGCGGGAGGAAACCAGCGCATCCGTTTCACGTTGCCCCCCTTGGTCTTCGCTGCCTACCAGCTCGCTTTCCGCTATAAGGAGAATTCTAAAGTGGTGAGTGAACCGAGCCCAAGATGCAAATCCTGACAGGTTTTTCCTCGCTTAAGAACATAAGAAGAGCCTGCTGGACCAGGCCAGTGGTGCATCTAGTCCAGCATCCTGTTCTCACGGTGGCCAACCAGGGAGAGGCTTCTTCTGGGAAGCCTGCAAGCAGGATTCAAGTACCAGAGCACACTGTCCTCCTATGGCTTCCAGCAACTAGTATTCAGAAGCATTGCTGCCTCTGAAAGGGGAGGCTGAGCATAGCCATCATGGCTAGCAGCCGTCAGTGGCCTTTGTCCTCCATTAGATAGGGCTTGGGTAGAAACAGTTGAATAAGAGACAGTAAAATGGCAAGCTGCAAGAGATAAAGTGCTTAAAGAGAGAGGGAGAGAGACATATTCAGTGATCAAGGGTTAAATACAGTGGTACCTCGGGTTACAGACGCTTCAGGTTACAGACTCCACTAACCCAGAAATAGTACCTCGGGTTAAGAACTTTGCTTCAGGATGAGAACAGAAATTGTGCAGCAGCAGTAGAAGGCCCCATTAGCTAAAGTGGTACCTCAGGTTAGGAACAGTTTCAGGTTAAGAACGGACCTCCAGAACGAATTAAGTTCTTAACCCAAGGTACCACTGTATCTTAAAACTTTCAGGAACTGCCCCCCACATGGAATAGAGCAACAACAAAAAGCTGTTTCCTTGAGCCTATCTACATGGGACTGGAACCCTTGTCATCTTGGGATATAAATATTCACAGATTTGGGTTTTCCGTAATTTGTTCAGGTTGCGGAATTCCAGTTCTTGTTGCAGACAGTGTGGAAATGTTAAGTGGAGCCCTCTTCTTGGTCCTCTCTACCAAGTTTGCTTCTTGTTTCTGTTGTACTTTTTTTGACACAGTATTTTCCTTTGATGTCTTGGGGTGGTTTCCCCCCCAATTTTAGGATGACAAATGGGAAAAAAAATGCCAGAAGATCTTCTCGTTTGCGCACCAGACGATCAGCGCTTTGATCAAGGCCGAGCTGGCAGAGCTCCCTCTGCGGCTGTTCCTCCAGGGGGCGCTGGCGGCAGGAGAGATCGGGTTTGAGAACCATGAAACGGTGGCTTACGAATTCATGTCCCAGGTGGGCTCGGCAAAGGTTTTTCTTCCCACTGTTTCCAAAAACATAAGTTCGATGTGTAGACTGGTCTGATAACAGAGTTGCACATGCTTATTCTATGGGGTTGAACCCTGTGCCGGATCAAGAGCCTTAACTGAATAAGGACCCTAATTAGTGTTCTACTGGAGAGCATCCTGTTCTCACCAGTAGCTATCAATAGCCCTTCATGAATTTTCTTATCTTTTAAAGCCATCCAAGTTGGTGGCCCTCACTGCCTCCTATGGGAAGGTGTTTTGTAGATTAAGTGCACTGCACTTCCTTTTATGTGTCCTGAATCTTCTAGCACCCAGTCTCATTGGACGTCCATGGCATGCATAATTTTATAAACTTCTATCATGTCACCCCTTCCTTGCCTGTTCTCTCAAAGTCCTATATTGGATGTCTGCCTGCAATTGATGGACTATATTTGGTTTTCATAGCTCAGTCCTTCCTTTCTATGGAATGGAAGTGTGTGTGATAAACTTCAATACAGTGAATGTAGGAAGATGCCTTTGAGTGCGCCCAACTTAATTCAAGTGTTTCACTGGTATTTCCTTTTCTGGATCTTAAGGCAGGTGGCTTCCCCAGCTCTGCTGCCTGAGACCCCTTTAATACCCAGAGATTTCAGGGACTGATGCAGAGACTTCGCACATGGGAATCAGGTGCTCAACCCACTCCCTGCTCTCCCTAAAAAGAGCAAAAGATCCTGTATAGCTACCCTCTCCTGACAAGGAGATCCAACTGAAATGATCTTACGAAGCAGAGCAAGATGTGCTATAGACAGTGTGCTAGGAGACTGGCCAGAAGCATGGCATCAAGACATCAGAGAAGTACTTCATCCTCCAAAGTGCCATGCAAACAATTTTATTAATTTCATAAAATTTGTACATCACTGAATTGGAGAACAACAACAACCCTCAAAAGTGGTTTACCAAAGATAAAATAATGACACGATCACTAAGAAAAATTGACAATATTTTACAACTAGCAGTACTTTATGACTAATAATTTAAAATAACAATAGACTAAAAACAGATTAGAACTCGCATCAACTTTATAAAACACCTGAGTTAGGCTTGTCCTAAACAAAAGTGGTGTAAGGGGATCATATAGGCCAGGGTTTCCCAAACTTGGGTCTCCAGCTGTTTTTGGATTACAGTTTCCATCATCCTTGACCACTGGTCCTGCTGGCTAGGGATCATGGGAGTTAAAACAACTGCAGGGCCTCATATTCCCCCTTCCTGGTGTAGAAAGTCGTCTTGAACATCCCCTTCTCTCGTGTTCCAGGGAGCTGAGAGCTCTAGCTTTCTTCGCTTGTTTGTTTTTGTGAAAGCCAGGAATTGCCACAAAGCCAGTAATCAAAACTTCCGGCTGCCTGTCCTCCCTCCCTCATTTCTCTTCTGAATCAGGCGTTCTCTCTGTACGAAGACGAAATCAGTGACTCAAAAGCCCAGCTGGCTGCAATCACCTTGATAATTGGGACATTTGAGCGGATGAAATGTTTTGGCGAGGAGAACCACGAGCCCCTGAGGACCCAGTGCGCCCTGGCGGCTTCCAAGCTGCTGAAGAAGCCGGATCAGTGCCGAGCTGTCAGCACCTGCGCCCATCTCTTCTGGTCCGGCCGGAACATGGACAAGAACGGAGAGGAGGTGAGGGGGTGACTTGGACCGCAGCTCTTCCATCAGCTCCAGGAAGCCCAGCAGCTGCCTGGCCCTGCTCCTGGGGTGGGGTGGGAGTCGGCTACTGTCCCAGAATCTGCCCAGCCTTTCCACTTACTGATGCTGATTCTGACTTGGATTTGAGGGGTTGTCTGTGTGCCGAGGGTGTGGTCCTCTACGTGGTCCTAAGACATTACTGCGTTGCGGGGGTTGGATTATAGATGACTACTTGCATCCCTTCCAATTCTGCCATTCTCTGATTCTGTGGTCTAAAAGCAAACTTTCTGAAGTTAAGCAGGCGTGAGTCTGATCAGTGCCTGGATGACAGACTCTAGGGCTGGGTGATTCCTGGTTTTCAACATTGCAATATATCACCAGCTAAACATTGTGATAAACTGATATATCACAATGTCTGAAATAAGGATGGAGCTGTGTAGAGGCGCTGGCTGGCTTCACAGTTTTTCCCATGTCGTGGTTTGCATAGTGCACACACGCATCATGATTCGCAATATATTGTCCAGTCAAAAATTATGAAACCGATCTCACAATATGGACTTCAAATCAGTTTTGGACGATATATCGCCCAGCCCTAACACACATCATGATTTGTGATATATTCCCCGGTCAAAAATTATGAAACTGATATCACAATATGGACTTCAAACCAATATCTCTCCCAGCCCTATGATAGACTGCCTGGTAACCTCACATTCTCTGCCTTGGGTTTCATGACGGAAGGAAGGTGGGAATAGAAATGTGCTTCAGTCAGGGGTAGGGAACCAAAAGTGCCCCTCGTGGCTTCCCTTTCTGGCCATTAGGACTCTCCCCAGACTACACCTTTTACCAGTCTTCCTCCACACTCTCCTCTTGAGTGTTTTTCACCTGGGAAGAATGTGTCCTTGAGCTCTCAACTTTGGCTTTCCTGAACAGTGGGGGATTAGAGAAGGGCAGTGTGTGCTCGCCCTACTCTACCAAGCTATGTTTTGCTCCTTTGCCCACTTTTGCCTCTGGTCCCACCCAGTGCTGGAATGTGGCTCTCACCAGGTTGCTTAGAATGGAATGTGGCCCCTCTGGCTTTGGATAACTTCATAGGCCGAGGTGAACACTGAAGCTGAGAAAGGATCCCCACTCTTGTACTAAATGAAATAGCTTCTTGCAAAATAGCCCCGTTGAATATGGCTGGGCTAAGCCGAGTAAATACTCATAGGTTGGAGGTGGAAAAACAAGTTGGTGGTGACAGTGACTGTGTAGCTATTTGCATGCAGTTGGGACTTGCTGGCTGAGTTGCAGTTGCAGTGGGGTGAGGGCAGGAACGGGGTAAGTTATGCCCCAAGAAAGTAAGACTTGGGTACAGTCATACCTCATGTTACGTTTGCTTCATGTTACGTTCTTTCAAGTTACGTCCCGCGGCAACCCGGAAGTACAGGAAAGGGTTACTTCCGGGTTTTGCCGCTCTCACATGCGCAAAATGACGTCATGCGCATGCACAGACATGCCGCTGCGGGTTGCGTTCTTTTCATGTTGCGAACAGGTCTCCGGAACAGATCCTGTTTGCAACCAGAGGTACCACTGTATATGGAAGATGCTGACCAGCTCTTTTCTGTTTGGTGCTTAGCTCCACGGCGGGAAGAGAGTCATGGAGTGCTTGAAAAAGGCATTAAAAATAGCAAATCAGTGCATGGACCCCTCTCTCCAAGTCCAGCTCTTCATAGAAATTCTCAACAGATACATCTACTTCTACGAAAAAGAGAACGATGCGGTAAGCGGAAGAGTGCCGAAACAGCACATGTGTTTGGAGGTCTTCTCAGTGGGGAAGGCTGGGCTTGGATGCCAGTGGCCTCCCAGATGTTGCTGAACTACAGCTCCCATCATCCCTGCCTGTTGGCCTTCCAAACTGGCTAGGACAGATGGGCATTGGAGTCCAGCAACATCTGGAAGACTGCAGCCCCCCCCCCCCAGTCTAAATAAATACTTGATATGTGATAGAAGCCTGACAGCTCCGCGTTTTCCTCTGAATAGCAGTGGAGTTTTCCCTCTGTTCCCTTTCCCCCGGATCCAAGTTGTTCGTTCCATCTTTTGGAGATCCTGGGTATTTCACAAGCCGGTCGAAGACCCTGCATGGGAAAAGCAGCTGTGATGGAGGGAATGCATTAAACGCTCCATTCACACTGGCAGCGAGTTCCTGCCTTGTGGATCTGTTTTGCAGTGTGGCTGCAGACCTACAGAGTAGGGGTGTGTGTGTGTCCACTTGCTGGGGATAATGGGAGTCAGAGTCCAGCACAATCTGGAAGGCTGCAGATTCCTTATCCCTGATTTATGTAGTTACTTAGGGTTGTGTTCAACATATCGCTAGGCAAAATATTACACCAGTGTCCGGATTTCACCATGTGCAGCAGAGCCTTGTCCCCTCCCCCTGTGCCTCCCCCTAAATCTGTTCTTTGAACTCCCCCAACCCTCTAGAGCCAGATTAGGGGACTGCAGGGTATGCATTGGGGGAGGGGAAGAGCATTTGGGGTAGGGTGGCCATTGGAGCTAATCCTTACACTATCACAACTATGTAGTTGAATACCGCCCCTGATCATCTTAGTCCCAAGCACTGCGAGGAAAAATAGTTGCAGGGTAGCTTATCTGCAGCTACCGATTTCTTCACTGGGAAGCACCCAGAATATTTTTTATTTTATTTTATCTGTTTCTATAGAGCCGTTCTTCAAAGCAGATTGCAGGGCAGGAACCGCTGCATGATTCAGTTGGGTGGCTAGTTCCATGGACTAATAAACCCAGCTGTCTTCTGCATCCTGCCTTCGTTATACACATTGCTCTCTTCCTTCTGATCGAAGGTTTTGACTTCCTGTTTTTTCCCCCCACACGCTGGGCTTTGTTGGTTCTTTTCCTTTCTCAGGTGACAATTCAGGTTTTGAATCAGCTCATACAGAAAATCCGGGAAGACCTCCCTAACCTTGAATCGACCGAGGAAACGGAACAGATCAACAAACACTTTCACAACACGCTGGAGCACCTGCGCTTGAGGAGAGAGTCCCCCGAGTCAGAGGGCCCCATCTACGAAGGGCTGGTCATATAGAGGGGGAGCCTCCTGTGCGTTTGCACCACACCCAACCGGATCACCTTTCCATTTACAACACAGTACCTGGGTTTTGTTTTTATTACGGCGATGCTAGAGTTTTCATAGATTTGTGCCTTTCGGAAGTGCCAAGTTAGGCTATCTGCGCTCTCTCTCTCTCTCCTTTTTTTGCTTTCGTTTCTGTACTTGGCATGTATGTGCGACATGTTCAGCGCTTTGCTTCCAAGCACTTGCGTTCACCACTTCTACCAGGTTTCTTTCCTCCCCCCCCCCCAACTTCTTGGACCAGCAGCTCTGTAGAGACCATCAGAAAAATTAGCATGGCTGAAGTCATTCCTTCCTTTTAAAATAAATAAATAAATAAAACCCATGTGGCAATGCCTCCCCCTGCCTCTCTCTCTCTCCCCTCTCTTGCATTCTAATTTGTCTTAGATAACTTCTCTTCTCTGCCCCCCCCCAGCTCAGAAACCTTTAATGTCCTAACCTGGCTTTCCACCTGCAAGTGTTAATAGGTAGGGGTGTGTGTTGGTTAGTTTTTACAGAGAGCTTTCATTTTCTTTATAGGTTGGATTCTGCTTCTACCCTTTCCCCCCTCCCCACCCCCTGAGGTTATGTCAGATTTTTCTTCCCTCCTATCCCTCCCCCACCCCTCTTAAAAACTAGAATATATTAATGCATGTTTTTGGAGTTGTAAAGCACCATGCTTAAAAATTAAATTCAGAAGTTTATATTTTGCATATGGAGGCTCTGTGACCCGCGGTGGAGGGCCAGTCATTGTGCACAGGGCGCTATTTATCAAGGAAACTTTATTTCCGCATAGTATTGAGGAGGAGGAGGTGGAGAAAAGTAATAGATGAATTGTGGTCTCTATATAGTTCTATGTATAACCTTCGTTACTGTAAAATTTAGAGGGGTGGGGGAACGCATTACACAGTTCTGCTCCGTATCATGAATTTGCACCAGTGAAACCAATAAAGTTGCTATTAACGAGTCTGGCTCTGAATGTCTCCCATTGCATCTAAAGCGGAGGGGTAGCCATCGTGGTGTCCTGTGGGTGCCGTTGAGCTACAGCTCCCATTGTCTCTGCCCCGTTGGCCATGCTGGCTGGAGCCGATGGGAATTGGAGTACAACAACGTCCAGGCAGGGACGCAGGTTCTCCACTCTGTTTTAAAGGTTGGGTTTCTCCCCTGCCCAAGTTTGAACAAGGTTCCATCACCCCCCCCCCAAAAAAAACCCCAAGAAAGGACAGCCTTTTGGCTTAAGCTAGGGATGGGGAACCTGTGACCCAATGGTCGGGGCCATAATGGGAGTCGTAGGCCATCAACAACACCTGTCTTGTGTCTGTCCCTACCCCAAACTCATTCAACACCAGGCGTCTATCTACAGCAGGTATAGGCAAACTCCGGCCCTCCAGATGTTTGGGACTACAATTCCCATCATCCCTGACCACTGGTCCTGTTAGCTAGGGATGATGGGAATTGTAGTCCCAAACATCTGGAGGGCCGGAGTTTGCCTATGCCTGGTCTGCAGTGTGAGCAAGCAGATGGTCAGGTTTATATTTATAGTTATTCTTGGTTGTAGTTGGCTCTTCCACCCGTAGATACCTGGAGCGACCTGCAGAAAAAAGGGGGCAGAAACACTAAAAGCAACCCCTGTTAAACCATCACTGAAAGTGGCAACTAAAACAGCAGCAGAATTGGATAGTAAAGCCCAGAGGAAAAGATACAAAAATCCAGCACTGTCAGAAGGGAGGGACCCATTGCAACGAGTAATGTTTGATGTTTTATCATGTTTTTAATATTTTGCTGGGAGCCGCCCAGAGTGTCTGGGGAAACCCAGCCAGATGGGCGGGGTATAAAGAAATTATTATTATAGTAACCACATGTAGCACAACTTAATTTTAAATGGATGTAAAACAGCCCCTGGGGGCAGGGATTTAATGTCAAAATTCAGCACTGATCAAACAGAAAGGCCACTGAAAAGCAGACGTCTCCTACAAACTCTGTGAGCTCCTCAGAAACTAGTCTCCTGTGTGCCACCTGGAGGCGACTCCTATGCCTGGTCTACTGCTTCATGTTTTCAAGTGACTCTTGGCCACTTTGATGCCGACGCTGTTAGGGTGGTGAGCCAAAAGCTTTCTGGTATGGAGATGCTGGCCTGGATCCAAAGAGCACTTGCATGAATGGAAAGGCACTTTCACTCTTGGAAGACTCCCGCTTGTGGTACAGCACCTTCTCCCTCCCTCCTGGGAATGTCTCACCACCTGCCGTTTTAGAAGGTCATTGATCCTAAATTTTGGAACAAGACGGAGATAGACTGAAATTGCAGAGTTTTGAAAAATTAAAAAACAAAGTGCGAGACTGGCTTCATTATTATCAAATAATGGAGGCATTTAAATTAGACAGGAAAATTGGCTTCCAGGTGGAAAAATCAAAATTAGAAACAGAATTGTTAGAACCCAATACTAAGAATCTGTCAAGAATGTATAACTTGCTGCTGAAATGGAATACTCAAGATGAAACGGTAAAATCGGCTATGATTAAATGGGCACAGGACGTAGGACATAACATTATGTTTGCTGACTGGGAACAGTTATGGACCACTGGTATGAAATTTACGGCATGTAATGCCTTAAGAGAGAATATTATGAAAATGATATACAGGTGGTACATAACCCCAGTCAAGCTTGCGAAAATTTATCACTTGCCCGATAACAAATGTTGGAAATGTAAAGAAACTGAAGGTACATTTTTCACCTTTGGTGGACGTGCCCAAAGATTAAGGTTTTCTGGGAAATGATATATAATGAATTAAAAAAGGTATTTAAGTATACCTTTCCCAAGAAACCAGAGGCCTTTCTCCTGGGCATAGTGGGCCAAATGGTGTTAAAAAAGGACAGAACTTTCTTTATGTATGCAACAACAGCAGCAAGAATACTTATCGCAAAGTATTGGAAGACACAAGAACTTCCCACGCTGGAGGAATGGCAGATGAAACTTATGGACTATATGGAATTGGCGGAAATGACTGGCAGAATCCGTGACCAGGGAGAAGAGTCGATGGAGGAAGATTGGAAGAAATTCAAAGACTATCTTCAGAAACACTGCAAAATTAAGGAATGTTAGAGTGATGTTGGATTGAAAATAAGTGGTTTCCAGCTGTACAGGTTAAAGCTAGGATAGATTAAGATTAAAGATTAAGATTGGGAAAAATTTAAAGGTATATGACATTAAGAACAAGGATTATGTTTATGTTATATAGTTTAATATTTTATTAAATTAAAGATTGGGTTTAAAAAGTGGAAAAGAAACTGCTGGACAAATAATGTAGATTGGAATACAAAAGAGGGAGGTATGAGGAAGTCCAGAAAATAAGTAATTCAAAATTGGGAATGTAAAAGAGAGTTTGTTTTAAATTGTTATGTTGTGTGTTTTTATTGTTAAATTTTGTATTTTTTTTGTGTGTGTTGTTTTTTCTTTTTTCTTTGTTTAAAACTTTAATAAAAATTATTTTAAAAAATATATAAAAAAATAGAAGGTCATTGATCCTTGGGAATGCTGGCTGCCATCTGATTGTGTTAGATCCTGCCAAGCTGTCAGTCTACAGCAGGAAGTGCAGAACATAAGAGTCTGCTGAGTCAGGCCAATGGTCCGCCTAGGCCAACATCCGTTCAATCCCCAATGGCATCTCCTAGTGAGTCTGGGAGATGCTGTTACCTAGATGCTGCTGACAGTCAATGTAGGCAATACTGAACTAGATGGACTAAATGGTAGGCAGCTTCATGTGTTTCTGTGATATACATGGAGTGGGTGGCGCTGTGGGTTAAACCACAGAGCCTAGGACTAGCCGATCAGAAGGTTGGTGGTTCGAATCCCCACGACGGGGTGAGCTCCCATTGCTCGGTCCCTGCTCCTGCCAACCTAGCAGTTCGAAAGCACGTCAAAGTGCAAGTAGGTAAATGGGTACCGCTCTGGCGGGAAGGTAAACGGCGTTTCTGTGCGCTGCTCTGATTTGCCAGAAGTGGCTTGGTCATGCTGGCCACATGACCCGGAAGCTGTACGCCAGCTCCCTCGGCCAGTAAAGCGAGATGAGCGCCGCAATCCCAGAGTCGGCCATGACTGGACCTAATGGTCACTGGTCCCTTTACCTTCTTAGAAGATGGTCCTATCTAGCCCAGGACTGGCCCTCTCCAGATGTTAGAGTCAATTCCCATTTGCCCCAGGAGGCATGACCAATGATTAGGGGAGAGGGGAGTTGTTTAGTCCATGAAACATCTGCAGAGAAGTTTGCACTGCTATGGCAGCAACTCTGAAAGAGTTCCAGGTCTTTTAGTAGGAAATGGAATTGGGCCCCTTTGGGCATGCAAATCTTGTCATCTGCTAAGCACAGAGCTGATGCCAATAAACCCACATCTTAGCAGCTTTCTGTGTTTATTTTCCAAGTTAGCAAGGTGCCTTCCTTAAAGCATTTCCATAACATGTTAAAGGTGCTTCACAATCATGAAAGCCGATAAGCTGACTTTGACTAGAACATCAAAGTGGATTACCTAAGGTTGAGCAAATCACCTCCTTTTGACCCAGTTCTCCAATATTAAAAACATTTATGAAATACATACAAATGCACCATTGACCTACCAAAGGCTAGACCAGTTCACGGTTCATGATGCCAATTTATTATGATACAATGAAGCATGGGATTCTTGAGGTGGGAGATGCTAAGAGACACTGACTACAGGAAATATCTCTAAAATACATAGGATGCGGAAGTCTGTTGAACTGAACTTCAGCAGGCCTGAATGGGTCATGTTGCTAATCTTTCCATCAGTAGGAAAATTATGTACAGGCGGTAACAGCCCTGTCTGATGAACTGCAGTGACTGCTGTGTTGGAGCAACTTGCAGTGCTAAGCTATGTTATGCTGTCCTTTGTAGCTATACACATCAGGGGTGGAGGAACCCGTGAACCTCCAGCTGTGGTTCTGCTCTCACAAGGTCTCACCAGCATGGCCAATGGCCAACCCTAAACGACTCGGGCCCCAAGAACCTGAAAGACTGCCTCCTTCCCTACAGACCCTCTTGGGTGCTGAGATTGGCAGACGGGAGCCTCTAGGGCAGGGGTGTCCAAACTTGTTGAGCTTTTGTTAGGATTGAAGTTGCTGACCTTGTTTTACGATTTTACCCCAGGTGGGCAGGGTTAGGCTCCCGGGCCGGACTTTGGACATGCCTGCTCTAGGGTGTTCCTCTGCCATCAGAAGCACGGGGAGGTGGCCTTTTCTGTGGCAGCCCCTAAGTTGTGGAACTCCCTCCACACAGAGGTGCACCTGGTACTTTCTATTACACAGTTTCCAGAATATGTATTCATTTATTTAATTTTAATTAAATTGCTGACATTTGTATATCACCAATTTTTCCAAGGAGCTCAAGGTGCTGTACATGGTTTTCCCCTCCCAATTTTATCCTCACAACAACCCTGTGAAGTAGGCTAGGCTGAGAAACTGGACCAAGGTCACCCAGTGAGCTGCATGGCAGAGTGAGGATTTGAAGCCTGGTCTCTCCCATGTCCTAGTCTTGACACTCTAACCATTTACACCACACTAGCTCTCAAATGCAGATGACATAAGTCTTTAACCTGGCTTTTGACACTTGAGATGTGTATCTTTAGGTTTGTTTTGATACACAGGCAGCCACAATAATCCAACTATTGAAGGCAACTCATCATCTGCTTTAGCACGTATCTTGGGAGTGGTCTTGAATTCAACTGCACTAGAATCTGCAGCTAACTAAAAACCTTTCAGGTTAAAGCTGCTGTGTTAAATCTTGCTGCCCTGTTACACCTGCTTGCCTCGGGTTAAGCCTTTCCTCCCCATTTGCACCTCTGCAATGCAAATGCCCCCTACAGCCAATGCAGCAATCAGGCTTGGAAACAGCCTTCCATTGGCTCTAATAGAAAAGGGGGGAAAGGAGGCAGTGGGGTAGATTGAAAGCTCCATGGGCCTCATCTGGCCTCCCATCCCATAATTCCCCACCCCTGCTTGAATGAAAACCTTGATTATTATTTTTTGCAGTTAAGTGCACAAACATACAGTGTTAAATAGGCAGTGCATTTCATAGCATTGCAGACAGAATTCCACTGACTGCTAACTCTTAAGAGCTAAGGCTCCAGTTTTAAGATGCCCAATGTATGAGTTGAGTTTCCTTACAACAATATCAATAATCGATCAGTCCTCATTGAGCATACATTAGCACTGCAGGATATTAGTTGCAAAGTCTTGTATTTTCTCAAAACAGCGCTGAATTTTCTAAATTTCTGCAGCACTGCAAAATAAAATATAAAAATCCAGCACATGTTTGAGGGTAGAATGTTGCAAGGCCATCTTTCGAATGCAGACAAGTCTTTAGGTCTTCAGACTAGCGTACAATCAATGTTTCTTTCTCAAATGAAAAAAACCACACCACTCTTAAAACCTGTTCTCTCGCTTTAAATGTTCTCACAGGAACATATTGGGGTGGATCTTAGCTTTCCCCGGGCACAACAGTTTGAAAAAAGCTTTTCTGAAACTCATGTGGCACAAAGGGTATAAAATGGGGTTAATGGCTGAATTCAACCACAGGAGCCAAAAGGAGGCTTCGTAGAGCGCATGTGGGATGCATTTCCCATGGCAAGCTGCTCTGATGATCATCAGCAGTGTGTAAGGAGCCCAACAAAGAGCAAAAATGCAGACGATGATGGCCAAAGATTTGGCCACTTTTTTATCTCGGGAAAGCCGGAACCTGCTAGCCATGGTGTTGGCAACCTCTGTTTTTCTCTTGGTGGTGGAAAGACTCTCCAGGGCCTTGTAGAAACCATCCCATGGGGATTTAGTCTGAAGATCTACTTGCAAAGGCAGAAGGTCTTGGTTGACGTTAAAATCGGCCGGCTGGCTCTGGAGGTGACCAATGCTGAGCTGCTGGACTGCAGGTTCAGTAAAGGAGGAGCTGCTTGCTGTCTTCTCCTTACTCCTTTTCTGGCTCACTTTCATAAAAAAGTTGGGGTGTTCTTGCTTCTCCCGGGGGTGACTTTTGCCGCCTCTGTGACTGAGTGGCAGCGTCTCCCTCCTCAGTGGGGTCCTCTTCCTAATGTTGATGTAAATGCTTAAGTTGAAGTAGGAGACGCTGATGAAAGGAGTGAAGAACTCTATCGTGGAGGCAATCATGAGGAAGTACCAATTGTAGAAGAACTCAGCATAACACTCTTTCTCGGGCAGGATGCTTCGATGTGCAATGTATTCCCAGCTGATGATCGCTGGGCCATAAAGGAGAAATGCTGCTACCCAGACCATGACCATTTTTACCACTGTGTTCCTGGTCATCCCCTTCTGAGCTCTGTAACTCACCTAGGTGGAAAGGTAAGAGGAAGAGTCAGGTGATGACTATACCATTAAAAACCCATTGCCATTAAAAAACCCCATGTTGTTTCTGGGATTGTGGAAGTGCTCATGGAATAGCTGCACTAGCTGCTGCTCTCAGCCACAGGCTGAAATTAATTTTCAGCCTTTCTGCAGCCAGGTGTGTGAAGGTTGAAAACAGGTTTGTCCTGCTCCCTTAGGGCAAGAAATGCAAATAGGTCTGAGAAGAGGGCTGGGATCGGTGTGATGGCTGCTGGTGTCCCAAAGTTTTCTGCTTAGAGCAGGGGAAAGTGGTGGGGACTGTGATATTAGCTCAGCAGGGATGCTGAGATGCTTAGTGGGAATTGGAATGATGTGATGAAGTTGGGCAGAATAAGGAAGAGTGGCTTGAGCATCACAATAGTGGGTGCCAGAGAGCCATGGGTGGAGGGAGGTCACAAAGGAATTGGGACAGGACGAAGAACAGCTTGGCAGAAAATGAATGGTAAATGGGGGCTTTGGGAGGGGGTTTTATTTCTTTTGCAGAGGGGCAGCTATGGGTCCCAGAAGCAATTTTGTTGGGGTGGGGAGAGGTAAATACCACGCCTCTGAAATTTTTAGCTACAGGTCCTTGAACAGACAAATGCAAGAAGTTTCCTAACATTCAAGCTATGACAGGAGTGTACATTTTTGCTTTGATAAGTGACTTCTCATGGCTGTTCTTTTGTACCAAGAAGCTCCTTGCATGTGGATGAAATGGATGCACTCAAGCCACTTTGCATTTTACTCTGGCTTGTGTTTACAATGCTAGAGGTGTTGGAGAAAGAGAGGAGGGGAGGGGAGCTTATTTTCCAAAGGAATGTGAAAGCCTCACAGCATGAATCTGATTACCATAGGGCAGTGAGGGCTGAGATTAATACCTAGAGGAAATTATGGTAGCGCCACGAACAAAACGTTGGGAAGAGGAATGCAATAAAAGCACTTCACCGCAAGCCCTTTGATAAAGGGAAAGCGATCTCAATGATAGAACGAGGTCCAGAATAAAGTTGGTTTTGCTGCGGGTTTAGCTCTCACAGCTCCCTGAAGGTCACTCAAATTATTCAGGGTGGTTGGCTGGTGCAGTCCTGAAATGCTAGCGACAAAGATCTGGAGCAGGGTTCGGCACCCTGCAGTCCTAAGGCCACATGTGTCTGCCAAGGCTAATTTTATGTGGTCCTTGCACTAATTTCAGGTGGGTAGTAAGGAAAGGTGAAAAGAGGGGAAAGGGAGTGGAAGAGAGAGATAAGGGGATGGCAGGGAGAGAGGGAGGTAGAGAGTGAGAGAGTGAATGAGAAAGGGGTGGAAGAGAGGAAGAGAAGGGTTGGCAGAAATAGAGAAAAGGAGAAAGAGAGAGATGGCAAAAAGAAAAGGGAATTGGGGTGGCAGAATGGGATGGCACAGAGAGAGGCACAAAGAGGGAAAGGGTGGCATAAAAAGAGAGGGAAAGGGGTAAGGGAGGGCAGAGAAAGAGATAAAAGACACACAGAGAGAAAGAGATAAAAGATACACACAGAGAGAGAAAGGGAAGAGGTGGAAGAAAGATAAGAGTCCCCACTCACTTTGACTCTGGCCTCATCCACAAATATTATGCAGCCCCTGAAAGATTACCCCCTAGGGAATTTGGCCCTCAGCAATTACAGAGAAAAATGGAGCTACACAGCATATAACCAATTTTTCATAATTGGGAGGTATTGATAATGGGAATTAACATACTGATGGAGTAACAGGAGAGCAAACAAAAGCAACTTCCTAGTCCCAAAGCCCTGGGACTTTGGAAGGCCTTAAGAAGCTCAGGGTGTCAGTAGTAGAAAGCGATGTCCCTTACCGCCTTTGTCACAGAGATGAATCTGTCAAAACTGATCAAAACAATGTTGAAGACGGAGGCGCTGCAGACCAGGTAATCGGCCACCAGCCAGAGCTTGCACAAGCCCTTTCCAAACTTCCACTCGCCTGTCAGGATGTAAGGGATGTACAGAGGGATGCAAAATCCACCTGTGGATATTGACAAAGAAACAGCACTGGTGAGAGAGTCTTAGCCCAGCTTTCTTACCAGAGAGACAGGTTTTGAGGTGGAGGAACTTTCAAACAAATATACATCCCACCCTCCCCATTACACAGAACATGAATTCGGAGGTGGCACAGTCAAATATCAGTTGGAGACCTCCATTTTGTCAGAATACTTAAGGCAGGGGTGGGCTAGGTGATTATTGTTTGCACTCCAGTTGTCCAGCTCGGGCTCTAGTTTTGTGTCTGCAATGAGGTTAGCTGACACAAGAGGGGGAGTCTTCGTTTGGTGGCCCCGCACTTGTGGAAATCTGTTTCTATGCAATACATCAGACTCCATCACTGCAGGGCTTTAAATAAAGTGTGTGTGTGTGTGTGTGTGTGTGTGTGTGTGTGTGTGTACGTGCATATGTAATAATTCATGCCTGTGAATGGGGGTGTATGCCATTCCAGGACATATTTTATTTTCCATTCTGTGTCGAAAACTACATTATGGCAGTGTCTTCCTGGTGTATGTAGTGAGATGAACCAAACACATTCTGCAACCTTTCTCACACCACAACAAAATCATACAGCTTGTACAGCAGAAATCAGTTCTCAGTCTGCTTTCTCCAGACTGTCATTTGCTGCAAACAGACAGCCAGTGCTACTAAATAGTACACTAAAGGTTCCTTAAAGATTTAGTTTAGCACGTTTGTAGGCTCAAATACACGAGTGATTTCATATATTGCATGGTATTACAAGATAATCACTCCTGAGTGGAAAGCCCTCCCTTATTCCAGATGTTGCAATTGATTAGATGCCACATAAAAATAAAAACCACCTTTAAGAGCCAGTGTGGTATAGTGGTCAGAGTATTGGACTAGGACCCGGAAGACCAGGGTTCAAATCTCTACTTGCCCATGAAGCTCACAGGGTGACTTTGAGCCAGTCCCTGCCTCACTGCCTAACCTACTTTGCAGGGTTGTTGTGGAGATGAAGAGAGGAGGGGGAGAACTATACACACCACCTTGAGTTCCTTGGAGAGCAAACAATACTTATTGAGAAGTGGTGGAAGCAACCTAATGTGATGTCTACTGATACAGCTACAAGCTACGAATTTTCTCATGTACAATTAACCCAACCATGTGTTGTTGATCATCTGTATAATGCATATGCAAAAACATTTTCTAATCCTGTTTGTGCTTACAAATACACCTGCATAGTGACTTCCTCTATCTACTTACATACATGGTAAGCTGAGGCTGAGAAAGATAAAGCCACATAGAGGCCATTTCAATGGAAGCATCTTGGCTGCAGTTTACTGTTTATCATTTATACAGCGTGTTCATTTTGCCAAGTACCGTACTTTCATCTTGGGTTTCCCTTCACCAAAATCCCCATTGTGTATTATTGTTGTGTTTATATATATATATATGTATATATATATATATATATATATATATATATATATATATATATACATACACCCCCCCCAACTTTAAACCCTGCCTTTGCTCCAAAGAGTTCAAGGGAGCCACATGCTTCTCTTCAATTTGATCCTCACAACAACCATGTTGGGTAGGTACAGCTGAGAGACAGTGTACTGGCTGAAGGCCCTCTCCCAGTGAGTTTCATAGATAAGTGAGGATTTGAAACATGGGTCTTTTGGAGCTTAATCTGACATACCAGCCACTACACTGCACTGATTTTGTTACACACACACACACACACACACACACACACACAATTTTTCAGTTAATGTTTCCAAAGTGGTGCCCAAGTAAATAACTGCATTAAAACAATTAAAAATATAAATATCAAATTAGCCTAGCACACAGGAAAAACAGTATTAAAACCCCCACCAATCAGCAGGAAATAGGCAACTTATTAAAAGAGGTTCTGTTCCAAAAGCCCAGCAAAACTAGTTTGCTCACACTTTTGTTAGGGAGCCATATGAAAGAGGGTGAAAAATGACAAAGGGTGTTCTGTGGGGCTGCAACCATGAAGTTTCTGCTGCTTGAGGAATCAGTCACACTTCCAAATAAGTTGGAACTTGAAACACAGTTTCATTGGCTGATTTTAAACATTGGGGGCTTTCCATATATAATTATTAGTGTCCCCCCCCCATTGGGAAAAGGGGCCAAGAGAGGAAGCTTGGGGCCAGATTTCAGTCCACCAGATCCAACTTTCTCGATCCCCTGGCCCAGGGTCCTTCAACCTTGTAGCCCAGAAACATCTGGGGACACAACTCCCATCACTCATGACGATTGGCTGAACCGGCCAAGGGTGAAGAATACTGTCCTGGCCCTTGCCCCAAACTCAAGTTGTTTGTGGGGAGCTCCCTGGCTTCACTCACCTACTAAAAGATCAGCAATGGCCAAGTTGAGGAAGAAGAAATTCCCTTGGGTCCGGAGGCTCTTGTCCACCACGAAAGCCAAGATGACCAGCGCGTTGCCCAGCACCGTGATCAGAACCACGAGTCCCATCAGCGAGGCCAGTAGGGCGGAGACGGGCGCGGAGAACTGTCCGTGGTGCTGAAAGTGCCGCTCCTCTCCGGCCGCGCACCCGTTGCCCAGCGAGGCTGAGACGCTGGAGAAATTGGTATCCAGCCGCTCTTCCGCCATAGCTGCAGGGAGAGGGGAGGAGAGAAGAAGAGGCAGGGCGGCCGGGGACCCCCAAATTGCAAGGGCGCGATTTCCCCCCAAAAAAGTATTCGTGTTACAAGAGCGAGGAGAAGGGTTTCATCCCTCGACTGAGACGCTCTGCTTGGGAGGGCGAGTGAAGCTTCTGGCTTGAGCGCGGGACTTGGTCGGCTTGAGTGAGTCAGCGGTCGTTGGGCTCCCCCCGTCCTCCGTCTGGTGGGGGAGGACGGAAAATGAACGGAGGGACGCGGCCGGGGGATCCGAAAAAGAAGCGGCGGAGATGGAGAGGCGATACAGCCTGCTTTCCTACCTAGTGCATCTGCCAGAATCTGCATCCAATTCAATGCCATTCCCTTGTACGCTTGAAACTTGCAGAAGGGGTGTGTGTGTGTGTGTGTGTGTGTGTGTGTGTGTGTCCGTGTCCCTCTCCCGCTTAGTGCTGGACTACCGAGTGAACAGACTAAGCACATGCTTAGGTCACCAGCAAAAAAAGAAAAAAGAGAGAGGTGTTTTTTTTAAAGAAAGAATTTGATATTTCAAACGACGACAAAGACATAAAGACAACCAAGAGCACCCAAGTGCAGTAGGGGAAAATCAGAACTTTGATAGACGTCCTATCTCCGAACGCCACACTCTCCCCACATTTTTCTGTTCTCTTTTTATTATTCATCCCCACCTAAACTAGGGGGTGTCCAACAAAAGCAGATCAAAATAGCGTGAAAAAAATAGATCTGGTCTTGATCCATGCTTTGTTATTTTAAAATTTTGTTTTTATGCTTGAATTACATATGGGGGGGGGGGAGATACTATAATCCTTTCAGTGCTTAGAGACTCCAAACGTCTTAAATCCAGCCCTAGCCCCACTATATGGACTTTGGTTCTTTCCCCTCCAGATCTTGCAGTTCTCCCTCCCTGTGGATTCCAGAGCTTTGCTGAATATTACTTCAATTGAAAGCATTGCAAGGTACAAAATGGCTCCTGTTGTCCAGCGGAAAATGCCTACAGCTGCAGAGGGCAGGTACCATGCTTTCCCCTCTAGCCAATTGGGGGGGGGGGGAGATAGGAACAAGACTTATCCTACAAACTTTTGGGAAAAAAAGTGATTGTGGTTAAGTCAGCACAAATGGACTAGTTTCTAGAATGGAGCAGGTGGATGTGTGGCCCTCCAGATGATGCTGGACTACAGGTGGCCAGGGAACATGCTAACTGCAGCCGATCCAATGTGAATCAGGCTTGGGGAACTTGGCTGCCTCCATCCCAAATGTTGGACTGCAACACATTTTCTTTTGCCTTAAGCTTTGTTCTGGACAAGTAACTCTGAAACAGGATGATGCCACAAAGCCAGTTTTTTCCTCTTATTTGCCACTCATACACCAACAAAGCTCGCTGACAAACTGGTGCAGGTGCAGAGAAGTTCAACCAGGTTGGTGAAACCAAGTCTGATAATGAATTGTTGAAAGAGCTGGACACGTCTAGGCTAGAGAAGGGATGACTAAGAGGAGACGTGCTAGAGGTCTTCAAGTGGTTTAACACTGAGAATGGCTTGAGGAAAATAAGTCTCTGTCTCTCTCCCAACCCCAGCTGTCTGAGAACAAATTTGCTTTGTGTGCATGTGTTGTTGTTGTTGCTTTAAAAAAACACTTCCCCAATTTTTTTCTTCTGCATATGTGGATGTTGAGTATATCCACATGCTCCCTGCATACTTGGTTGTTTGGCAAAAATATTCCCTGAACATTTAGATCTCCCATAATATTTGGATTTAGTGTTTGACAAAATGGGGCAAAGAATAGTGTTCAATATTTGGTAGCTGCCATGAAGTGATATTTCATTCTTGCCAGCATCTGATGGCTGCTGTACAATGGCATTTAAAGTGCGAGATTGAATTTGCTAGATGACATGCAGTCACATTTAATATTTAGTATTGCAGAAAGAAAATAATGTGGTAAGACTGCTGGTTGAAAGAATAAAGGCTCTTTATAAAGGAACTCCTAGCAAACCCCTGATGCTTAAAGTTGGGGTATTGTGTAGTGGGTTTTGTTGCTGCTATTATTCCCCATTGGTTAAAATGTTGTCAATTGTCTTTAACTGCTTTTTAAACTCATGTGTTTTAAAGTTGGGTTTTTGTTGTTGTTGTTGTTGAATTGATGTGGGATGTGTCTGGGAAGAGAGGAACTGGGGAGATCAGGGGGTCCCCAATCACAGCAGTTCTGGGTAGGAGGAGCTAGGGTGTAGGAAGCTGGGCAGGCCTGGTAAGGGACGCGGCTCTGAGTAGGACCTCCCTCATCCATAACTTGATTATGGATGAGGAGGCTGATCTGGTCTGTATCACAGAGAACTGGGTGGATGAGCAGAGTGGAGTTGGTCTCATCTGGCTACTCAGGGCAGCATCAGGGTAGATGAGAGTTGGGGAGGGGAAATTGCTGTAGTCTCTATAGATTCCATCTCTTTCTCTAGCCTTTCTGTCCAGTTGTGGGGGGGATCCAGAATGTAACTACCAGTCAGTTATTTTTGTTTTGTTATACATTTTGTGTTATTTGCTGTATTTTTATGTTGTGAACCACCCTGCGACCTTTGGATGAAGGGCAGTATACAAATTAGGTAGAGCCATTCTGAATACAAGCTTGGTGTCATGGTGCCATGACATTAACAAAAGTCAAGTCCAAGACTAGCTGACTGAAGAGTAGGAAGGAAGTGAAGCCTGGAAAAACAGGTGGTTACATAACAAGGAATCTGTGAGGGAGGAGTATGTTACCTCTCTGTCTATTGCCCCCACCCCCTGCTCTAGTCCAGGCAACTTATTGCAAGTGCTGTTGCTTTACTTCCAACCAGAAGAGAACAACCCTCCTCCCAGCTTAAGAATTGGTCTTCAGGTGTGTATATGAAGGAACAACAGAAGCATTTTGGGGATCAGAGGCACAGACAGATACAGCATATGACAGACCGCCAAAGAGCTAGCTGGAGGCTCAAAGCTGTTTTGGAGTACTGGGGTGCCACTGTGGATCAGATGGGGTTAGGAGATTGTAGATTTGCACCTTCAGCTGTTTGCCTGCGTAATAACATACGAAGAGCCTGCTGGATCAGGCCAATGGCCCATCTAGTCTAGCATCCTGTTCTCACAGTGGCCAACCAGTTGCCTGTAGAGATAGAGCATAGCCATCATGGCTAGTACCATCAGCAGTCCTCTCCTCCATGAATTTGTCTAATCCTCTTCTGAAGTCATCTAGGTTGGTGGCTATCACTGCTTTCTGTGGGAGCAAAGTCCTCAGTTTAACTATGTGCTGTGTGAAGAAGGGCTTTCTTTTCTCTGACTTGAATCTTCCAACATTCAGTTTCACTGGATGTCCTTGAGTTCTAGTGTTGATATGAGAGAGGGAGAAAAACATTAATCTATCCACTTTCTTTGTGTCATGAATTATTTTATAAATTTCTATCATGTCACCTCTGACTTGCCTTTTCTCTAAGCTAAAACATCCCAAATGCTTCAGCCTTTCCTCATAGAGGAGTTGCTCCATCCTGTTGATAATTTTACTTGCCTTTTCCAACTCCACAATATCCTTTTGCAGCTTTTCCCTGCAAAGCACTGTATTCACAATATATACTTGCAGTTCTCTGAGGCCATGAAAAGGAACGTTTCTGTATGTATCCTGAAAACAAAACATCGCCGGAAAAGCAAAGCAAAGACAAAGAAATGGCAATAATAGTATACGCTAGGCTCATGGGAATGCCCAATAACCAAGCCATACTACAGGGTATAATGTATATTGCCTATGCCTATTGCAATTGACCTTTAGCTCAGTGGTGGAACACATGGTTTACAGAGCCTGGGTTCAATCCTCAGCATATTCTGCTCACAGAATCTCAAAAAAACAACTGCTGGGCTGGGAATGATCTGTGTCCAAGATCTTGGAGAGCTGCTGCCAGTCAGAGCAGGGGATTCTGGACTGGTGGACCCATTAGGGTGGGGGACGGGGGACAGGACCTAAAGCCCTTCAGATATAGTTGGACTTCAACTCCCATCAGACAGCATGCCGAATAGGCATGGAAACTGTTTTCCAGCAACATCTGGGAACCTGCTAGGTTCTCATCCCTGCATTAGGGTTGTATTCAACTCAGTCATACTTAGAGTTGTGTTAGCAGAATCACTTCAATAATGCATATGGAGTCCAGAGGGAAAAGAAACCAATAATTCTTTACTGTGGGAAATTGAACGAAAGCAGGGTATAACATGAGCGGAAATAAACAGAGAGCTTTTGTCCTTCTTAATAGTTCAAGTCCAGTTTGTAGCAGGAAGATTTTCAGCATATAGGGGGAAATTCCCTACGACCTACACAGAAAGCCAGAGCATGAGTTACCTCAGCAAGGATCATGCCATTCTGACTGCTTGCTAGTCAACAATCCCCTTGTTTGGCTGACTAATTGTCAACAGAGTTAACCCTTACATGACTAACTGAATGATCCCTGCTGCTGTACTTCTAAGAAGCAGGCCATTTGAGATTAATAGACCTATGTTAATCATGCCTAATAATTTCAATACTTCTAATCTGAGTATGACACAATTGGAGGCAACCCTTGGGGGTCTGACTCAATAGAAAGGACCTTGGCATGCAAATGTTGCTGGCTGGAAGTGTCTGAGGATGTTTTATGAAAAGAGTAAGGCGGCAGGAATTACTTGATCACAGGCTGCAAATCATTCACAGCCAGATTTGAGCTTTGACTCCCTGTGGTGCACTAAGAAGATTGATCTATAAATGTTAGAGATTGGTAGTTAAGAAAGTGCTTCAGTTCAACCCGGCTCTGAAAGGTTGCAGCCAACAATTTATCAGCCAGAGAAATCAAAAAGCTTTCATTAGAAAAGTCTAAATTTAATTAAGTGGCTGGAGAAAATCTATCACACTCATTTCCTATCTGCTTACTTGGCTGCGCTTGACAAATTAACATTTTTGCATCCACATGGATTTATTTGTGGTTACAGCATCTCCGCT